CCCAGCTAATTTTTTGTATTTTTAGTAGAGACGGGGTTTCACCATGTTGACCAGGATGGTCTTGATCTCTTGACCTCGTGATCCACCCGCCTCGGCCTCCCAAAGTGCTGGGATTACAGGCTTGAGCCACCGCGCCCGGCAACTCATGCTTTTTCAAATCAACTCGATGAGGTAGTTACAATTATTATCTCCATCTTACAAGTGAGAAGATCACCCAAGTTTTAAGTGGGCAGAGTCAAGATTTGAATCCAGGCTAAGGTGAAGAGCTGGTGTTCTTAACTGTAAGACGTCAGTAGTTAAAATAGATCCTCCCTAATTGTAGGTAAATACTGAAGATTTTTTAATTAACACAAATTGTTTTCTTATCTAGACCATTTCACTAGCCCTCTGGTTGGTTTCCTTGACTCTAATTTTGCTCTCCTTAAATCCATTTTCCACCCTACATCCAGTGACGTGGACTTGTACAAAATTAGGGGAAACCCAGGCTTCTGGCCTCTCTGGTGTCCTTTTCTGCTACTCGCCACCTAGACTTTATATGTCTTAAAGTGTAATAAAACCTCAGTACTTGTAGTGTCCACTACACACTAACCATTCCCACTTAAAATATGTATTTTACAAACTATGTGTCTTTTTGTTCCCTTTTCTGAAATGTCCCTTGTTCCTTGCATTTTTGTCTCACTTAAGCATCTTTCTGGATTAAATTTTATTTTCTCCAAGAATCCTCTTCTGAAACCCTTAGAAGTTACCATCCTCTACTGGTACTTAGCCATCCTTTATTGAAATCACTTGTTTATGAGTCAGGTAAAGTTTAAACTCTTATTAAGCTCTTTGAAAAGAGGAACTCTTTCTCTTTTAGTACACTACTCCTTTCTGTCTCCCACCCCTCCTGGCACTTGTTAATGTTCAGTAAAAGTTGAACTTTTGAACTTTACTGGAAATCAAGAAACACTGAGTTTTAACCTCAGTTTTGCTCACTATGTGATCTTACATATTTTATTCTCTGTGTTTATCTTATGTATCTATATACAACTTAATCCTAAAGTTCCATCGGATAAAAATTCCATCAGATAAAAATTCTACAACTTTTTATTTTGCTCTGTATGTGAGGGTACCTGGTATTTAAAAAAAAATTCCCTGACATCAACTTAAAAAATTAACATTTGATTATAATTAACTTCTAAAAAACTGAAAGATGAAACACATCAATGCTTTTTTTTTTTTTCTGTACTGCTACCTGAAAACATCGAAATTTGTTGTGTGGAACGAACAAGATTTCTTCTAAGAAATTACCCCTACTAGCATGACTACATAAAATAAGGTTTCCCAGAAAGAATATCATGCAGATACTAAAAAGAAAACAATGACACGGGCAAATGCTTACAATGCTCAATGAAGAGAAAGGTTATAAAGTTTTAATATGCGATTTGATCTTTTGAAAATAATGGATATATAGCTTAAACGGAAATTATCATTAAATATAGCAACAGCCTCTTCCAAAAAATTTCAAAATCCGGCTTAGTGATAATTACACGATCATAATTCAAAAACCCTTAACCGAAGCAAAGACAGTGAAGATTTGTAACCGGAACTGTGTGAAAGGAGTGGGGGTGATTCAAACAAGTATCATCAACCCGTCCAATGATGAAGGAGAACGTGTATCAGTTCTGCATTGTGAAATTCTCAGTATCGGAGCGTGTAGTGGCTAAGAAAAGCGATGGGCGAATTAGGAAACAAAGAGAAAGGCCACGGACATCACCAGTTCTGGCCTCTTTCCGACCGGAGGAAAGTCGTCAATTCCACGTCCAGCCTAAGTTCTGGGTTCCCGGCCCTACCGAGAGCCTCGCCTCGCCTCGCCTCGCCTCGCGCGCCTGCGCGGGGCTGGCCGGCTTCCCAGACGGCCCTGGCTTCTTCACTACCCGGGCAGTCCACCAGAAGTTTCTAAAAGGGTGAGAGGCGACAATGCAGTGCAGCTGGGTTAAAGGAAGGAGGCTGGTTCATCCTCCGCACTTACTTGGTACTCGATCTCCAGCGAGGCCTTCAGGGGCATGGGCTGATAGAAACACTCTTTCTGGCCGGCGGGAAGGGTAAAGGTGAAGTCGCTGTCGAGGGAAGGTGTGAAACCGGCCGCCCCAGGCAGCAGCTCTGGAGGCAGAGCGGCCAGAAGGAGCACGGGGAAGGACAGCCAGATCCTGTCGCCCATCCCTGCTGTGGCGATCTCGGGCTCAAAGAGGCGTGGGGTACTGTTGTCTCCGCTCCGCGTTTCCTCTTTGGACTCCTCGTGGTTGACAGGGAAACCTGGAGTCTGAAGAAACTCCAGGTGGCGGCGGCTGCGGCGAACACTCCTTCCGAAAAAGAAGCGCAGTCCTCCGAAGGGTAGGGACTTAGGGTGGGGGGGCCGACAGTCCTGTTCCGCCACCTCCTTAGTCTCTGCACCCTCTAGCCAGGCGTGAGTACCGCCCGCCTCTCCCCCTGACGGCCTCGGGTTCCCATGGCTTCCCCCCACACCAATGGGCATTATGGCAGTAATTGTGGGAAATGTAGTACCGAGCGGGCTCGGCTAGCTGGCTCCGACGCGCCCGCCGACCACGATTCCCGGCAAGCCCTGCGCCTCCGGCGGCGCCACACGCAGTCTGCGCCGGGGCGGGGCAGCGGCCAAGTAGGCGCGTCCCAACGGCTGCCGCGACCGTTCGAACTTCGTGCTGCTGCAGTTCGGTGAATCTCCGAGTAGTGTCTGAGGCTTCCATGCTCAGGGGCCCAGGAGAGGGTCCGAGGCTTCCTAACGCAGACTCGAGTGCGAAGCGCGCCGTCGTCCGGGGGATCTCTCCCCAGCCACGACTTGGGTGGTGAGCGACTGCCTCTTGGCGGGGGGAAAGCCGGCCTACCTGGGGGAGTTTTGTTCCTTTCCCTCCCAACACCTTGGATGCGCTGGGGCTGGTCCTCGCGCTTGCTGAGCATGCTGCTTTGAACGGTTGTATCTTTGATGAAAAATAGGAGGTGCAGTGGCTCACACCTGTTATATCAACACTTTGGGAGGCCGAGACAGGAAAATTGCTTGAACCCAGGAGTTCGAGGCCAGCCTGGGCAAAGTGGCCTGACTCTTGTCTCTGTAAGTTAAAAAAAAAAAAGCGAAGATGTCACGTCTGCCCCCGACTCCCCGCCCTTTCTTCTTTCAGTCAAATGTAGGATCAGCTGTGTCTCTAGAAATTAAAAAAAAAAAAAAAAAAAGGAAGATGTAATTTCGCCCCCCCTTCCACGCCCCCGCTTTTTTCAGTCGAATGTAGCTGTGTCAAATTAAGCGATCTTGAGACAAGAAACTACCTTATAAAGTTATGACCTCTTTCCAGAATGAGGAATATTTTTCGACTACAGCCCATTGTATCACATACAAAGGGTATAAAAGAACACTTGTCCTTCGTTTGATGGGTGTGCATGTGCAAACCTGCAAACACATTGTTAATAAGGGCCGAAAGATGATGTTGTCAGGGTCCGTGAGTAGGATGATGTGCTTTTTTTTCTAGGTATGCACAGTCAGTGAAGATAGCCTTTTTTGGGTAACTACTGTAAACTGAAGTGAAGGGCAATCATTTGACAGTAAATGACCCACTAGGAAAATGAAAACATTTTAGTATCCAATATATTCATTGCTACTGCAGAAAAGTTAGGGAGTTATTTCTTTTCTTTCTTTTTTTCTTTTTCTTTTTTTTTTTTTTTTGGAGATGGAGTCTTGCTCTGACACCAGGCTGGAGTACAGTGGCGCAATCTCGGCTCACTGCAGCCTCCGCCGTCCAGTTCAAGTGATTCTTCCGCCTCAGTCTTCCGAGTAGCTGGGATTACAAGCGCGCCCCACCACGCCTGGCTAATTTTTGCATTTTTTTTTTTTTTAAGCAGAGATGGGGTTTCACCATGTTAGGATGGTCTTTAACTCCTGACCTCGTGATCTACCCACCTTGGCCTCCCAAAGTGCAGGGATTATAGGTGTGAACCACCACACCTGACTTGAGAGTTATTTCTTACACGAAAATACACAGATGTTGAACTAAAACCTGATTTAAGATGAAATATACAGGGCCAGGCGTGGTGGCGGGCCCCTGTAATCCCAACTACTCGCGAGGCAGAGGCAGAGAATTGCTTGAACCCGGGAGGCAGAGGTTGCAGTGAGCCGAGACCCACCATACCGAATCGCATTTTAGGATTTGCCCAATTTTCTCTACCCTTTTCTCCTTCACCATCCTTCAGAGAGCTAGAGATGTTGAATAGATAAGGCAGGATGCGGACCTGATTTGTTTACTTGTCTGAGAGTGTCTTCTCACTTAAGCAGAAGCAAATTTGTGGAAACAAAATGGGAAAGAGGATCAGTTTGTCTATTGAGATGACATAGTATTTCATTTAATTTCCTGCCACTTTCTTCCCATAAGGTGAGAGTTTGCTTTTTAATCTGCCTCCCTACCTCTTAGAATTTTTGAGTGGGGAATAAATGTAGCATACTGTTCTAGCTGGATGAGGAAAGGAAGGACAGTTTAGTATTCATTAATTCATTCAAAATATTGAGCTTCTCTAAGTACATTGAAGTCCTGAACGTAAAGCACGTGACTCCTAACCTTTTGGAATTTGGGATGGGATGTTAATTATAAGAAGGGCAATGAAAGAGATGCTACAATGAAAAAGGTAAATGGGATCTCAAAGAGGAATGTAATTTTAAGATTGCCCATAAAGCTCTACAGGAGTAGTGGCAATTATAAAGCTTTAGTTTTTTATTGTATTACAGTATGTATTGTGATGCTTTATTATGATTTTTTATATGCAAAGAAATTTAGTAGTGTCACAAACCTAGAGATACTCATCCACTGAAAAAACAAAAGCTTTACTTCATTTATTTCTCTGAGTTGACCTGGCAATGTTATTTTGATCTCTGTGGTTGTGACTTGTAAATGTGTGTTTTTTAAATTTTATAACTATGGGGCCTAGGAGGAGGAGATAACTTTTATCTGGTAACAAATTCCCTTCTAAGAAAATATGAATGACTATAATGATACCATTTTATCAGATGTCCAGTGCTTGTAACCTGATTATGAAAGTTCAAACACCTCATATTGAAATTGATATGTAATAAGTAATAAAGCTACAATGCGACAAAATTAAATGGTCTTTGCATCCTAATGACTTGGATTCAAATCTTGGTTTCACCATTTACAGTTTGTGTGACTTTGTCTGATTCTTAGTTTCCTTAATATGGAATAAAAATACTTAAACAATTGTTAGGAAGATCAGATATGCTTAGAAAAGGGGAACTGTAATAACTAGACACTAGCGAAAATGAAAAGTTCATTCATTGAAATTGTACTGAACTTTTCTTTGTAGCTTTACACTATAGACAAATTCATTATTATTGCTTTTTTGTTTTGTTTTTAACTGCCATGAAAGATTTGACATTTGAAATAGAAAACTAATGAGTTAAATTCTATTTGTGTGAGTATTTTGACTGAAACTACAGAATCTTTCATGCAAAGTACCAAAAAATTCATTTCTTTTTTTAAGAAATGGAATCTATTTCATCAGACTACTATAATAAAGACAATGAAGAAGAAAGTTTGCTTGCAAATGTTGCTTCCTTAAGACATGAACTGAAGATAACAGAATGGAGTTTGAAGAGTTTAGGGGAAGAGTTATCCAGGTAAGTAGGTAAAATCAGTTATAGAATTCAGTGTGCCTTAAATATATAAATATAAAATGTGTGAATTTCATTATTATATATTGCCACTAATGTGCCTCTGGAATAATAAGAAATAATTTTCTTGTACTTTTTAATGTAACTTTCAGTTTAGGGAAAAATAGGAATATTAGAGAAACATTTACATATTAAAAACACTTTCAGTGTATTAGAACTCAGTATAAAATATATATTTTGGGCTTTATTAATTTTTTATTATTATGACTTTTTTGAATCCTAAGTAATCTTAGCATAGAGGCTCTAGAAATATATAGATTGCTAATTTAAAAGTAATTATGATATATTTAAAATTTAGTGGAAACATTGCCTTACATTCATAACTGTGAACTGCTTAGCAGCATTTAAGGTTTTCTTTCTATTTTCTTATTTAATGTATAGCAATTTATAGTGAATGAACTACCCAAGAACTGAAATATGTTTTTTCTTTTTTCTCTAGTGTTAGTCCAAGTGAAAATTCCGATTATGCCCCTAATCCCTCAAGGTCTGAAAAGCTCATTTTGGATGTTCAGCCTAGCCACCCTGGACTTTTGAATTATTCACCTTACGAAAACGTTTGTAAAATATCTGGTAGCAGCACTGATTTTCAAAAAAAGCCAAGAGATAAGGTTATTGTTTTTAGACCTATCTAGTTCAAAGTAGTTTTGGTTTTAGGTCTGTCTACTTAAAATATTTTTCTTTCAGTTTTTTTTCAAATACCTTATTCATGGTTCGATAATTCTTAGTGTATTACTCTACTTTTAAACTTATTTATTACCTTTTTGCAGTTAAATGTCTTCCTTTCTCAAGTAAATTATAATCCCCTTGATTTTAACACTACATCTTGTACATAATAGGTAATCAATTATTTATTAAGTAGTTAAGGTATACCCACCATTTAGCTTGGATCAAGTACTATGGATAGCATGGCACTATTCTCCCTTCATTATCTTTATATTTTGTCAATGATGTTAGAGATCTTTGCTTGGTCTGGAACTCACTCCTTTTTTCTTATTCTATCATATGTTTATCTCTCTGCATTTATCCCTCTTCCTCACTCAACCCTTTTATCGCCTTTTGCACTCTTCCTATTCTTTATTCCCCCACTCCCTACATGTATATACACAGATATGGTTGCAGATACATGGCATAATCTTTTTGGATACATATTTGCTCTTTCTACTTCAGAAAGCCAACCATTAAGAGCTTTCCTTTTTGTAAGGAAGCTACTTAATTAAGCTGTCTGAACCTACATTTTAGAAAACAGATTCAAATTCCATGTTTACATAGTCTGTAATTCTAAGAAATTTGATCTATGTCCTCATTCAAATTGCTGATTGTTCTTATTGTATATGTACCTCAATTGGGAAAACAATAATGGTAATGCCTGTCCAAGACGAAAGGCTAATCTAGTGTGTAAAGAGCTTGTAGAAACTGAGAACAAAAAGATCAATAACCTAAGAGGCAAAAGACATGAATGGAAAAGAAAATAAAAATGATATCCAAACTAATGAAAAGGTGTCCAGTCTTACTCATAATAAGATAAATTCAAAATGAAACTATACGTAAATAGCAGTTCTTGCCTGTCAAATTATTATAGTGATCCTGGGTAGGTGTACATTGCCTAGTGTGAAGGCACAGTGATATAACCCCAATGGAGATATATTTGGCAGTATTTATCAAAATTACAAATACGTTTACCTTGACTTGAAACTCCCATTTCTGGAAAACGATACTATAGATACACCTGCAGGATACAAAATTAGGCATTGTTTATCATATCAAAAGATTAGAAATGGCTCAGGTATCCAGTAATAGGGGGTTAGTTGAATAAACTGATGGTTTATTCATGCAATAAAAGCTATGCAGTTGAGGGGGAAAAAAAAGGAGTTTCTCAATGTATTGATTATTGAGAGATTGCCAGTGTATATTCAAATTAAAAAACGCAAGGTGCAGAATGTTGTAGCTAATGTGATGGGAAGAGACTTCTGTGTATACTTTATATAGTTTTGAATTTCAAATTACATAAATAAATGACTCAAAATAAAGTTAATTAAAAGAAACTTTGAAAATCACAATCCTCATGAAAATTAAATTTATTGTAAAATATGTATGAAAAGAATATAATAAAAATATGTGCCGGGCGTGGTGGCTCATGCCTGTAATTCCAGCACTTTGGGAGGCCGAGGCAGGCGGATTACGCCTGCCTGAGGTTGGGAGCTCGAGACCAGCATGACCAACATGGAAAAACCCCATCTCTACTAAAAAATACAAAATTAGCCGGACACGGTTGCACATGTCTGTAATCCCAGCTACTCGTGGGGCTGAGGCAGGAGAATCACTTGAACCTGGGAGGCAGAGGTTGTGGTGAGCTGAGATCGTGCCATTGCAATCCAGCCTGGGCAACAAGAGTGAAAAAATTAAAATTAAAAAAAAAAGTATACAGATAAAATATTTTACCTATTATCCATTTTATTGTTGGTGGACATTTGGGTTCTTCCCATTTATTATCTCTTATGGGCAGTGTAGCTGTGAATATTTTTATATCTTCAGGCATAAAAGTACAAAAGTTTATTAGGTTCATATCTAGGGATGATATTATTGGTTCTTAGCATATTCAACTTTGCTGGATAATACCAGCCAGTGTCTTAAAGTGTACCACGGTTTTCCACATTATACTTGTATATACTTCCACCAGCAGTGGAGGAGTGTTGATTGTCACACATATCCTTGTCAATACTAAGTATTTTAACTCATTTTCTGAGGTGTTTAATCATTTTATTAATAATTGCTCATAATTTTCCATTAGTTACATGTAACCTTTAATTGAAATAATTGAACATGTATTTGTTCTTTTTCATGTTTTCAGATGTTTTCGTCTTCCAGCCCTGTGGATCAGGAGATTAAAAGCCTTCGAGAGAAGTTAAATAAACTTAGGCAACAGAATGCTTGTTTGGTCACACAGAACCATTCCTTAATGACTAAAATGGAATCTATCCACTTTGAATTAACACAGTCAAGAGCAAAAGTATGTATCTTGAAATGATTAGCTTGCCAACAGAAAATAGTTGTTATTTTAAGATTTATAATTGGAAAAATATTCCTTGTATTGCCATATTGCCTTAATGTGTTATGTGAAGTAATTTTTATTATGATACTGTATTATCAACATGTTATAAAATTGATTTTGTATTGAATTATATCCGAAAATGATTGAAGGGAACTTTACAGTTTTTGCATTTAGATAAGTCAGTTTCTTAAGGTGTTAAGATTACCAATTTGTGTGGTTTTAATTTTTATAATCAAAGGAATTATAACTTATTTATCTTTCCTTTTAAAATAACACATTGTCATTGTTGGGAACTTTAAAAGTGGAAAAAAGAGGAGGAAAGATCACCCAGAGTTTCCACCATCTAGAAACCACTTTACTGGTTTAATACATAGTTGAATCCAGACTATTTTAACTAGTTTTGTTTTTTTCTGTTTTTTACTTCATGTATTGCCTATGCATTTTCTGATGCATTTACATAGCTTTTCTATTGATCATTTTTTAATGGTAGCATTATATTTCATGTGATTATACCATAACTTAGTTAATAATTCCCATATTTCAGTGGTTTCCTATTTTTGTAGTAAATAATTGGTGTTACACAAAAAATTAGAAGAAACCAAAATGGCCAATAATGAAAATATGGTAAATTATGGTATACCCATAAAATAGATTGCAACAAAGCCTTTAAAAAAAAAATGAGGTTAAATATACTAGTACTAAGACGCAAAGTTGTTTGACTTATATGGCGCATTATGAGGTTTAAATGATATAATGTGTGAAGTTACTTAAAACAGTGTCTGTCTGTAGTCAGCACTAGAAACTATTACCTAATATATTTAGTGGCAGAAAAAACATTACAGAGCATTACACACATGTATAATAATCTTAGTTTTCCTCTTTATAAGAAGTGTACATGTTTCTGTGTGTGTGTGTTTAAATATATATACATGTGATATGTTAAGTTTAAAAACTATGCTTCACGCTTGATAATTCCGAGAGATTGGAAGGTTGGAGTGAGGCTTTCACTATTTACATTTATAAGCATTATATACATACATTATATGCAGTTTTAAATAGTGGAGTTATGGGAAGACTGTATTTTTCTTTTCTGTTTTTTCAAACAAAACAAAATGCTATTAGGGATTATTTCAGCATGGGGGAAAAAATCAGCAATGAACATAAAACTTCTTCGATGTTGAAGATTATTTCTAGGGTAGATTTCCAGAGGCAGAATGACCAAATTTTAGGGTAATAATGTTTTTCAAGCATTTACATTTGGTTCCTCCTCTTTTTTTGGTCACTTTGAGATAAACATGCTGTTTTTCTTGATTTCTTATGAGAGTTACCTTTTCAGTATATTTGTTTGCCATTTAGATTTCTTTGTGATTCGTCTGTTCATTTTTTCTGCTTATTTTAAAAATTTTTCTGCAACTATAGATAATCTCTCTTTTTAAAGTCATGATTGCTTAACGATTTAAAGTAAGAAAAGAGACATAAAGATAATTTAATAACCACTGAACTAATAGCATTTTGAACCTTTCTTTTTAGAAGATAAACACACCAATGGTTATGCAAGGAAGTAAGATACTAGCATTGTACTTCCCAGCTCAGCATTTTCTAAGTTGTTTATTTTTTAGGGAAGCCACCTTTTTCAGTTCATGTATGAGCTTTTGATGTTACATATATGCCCACTATTGAGACTCTTGCAGAAATCAATCAATATATTCATAACTTACCTCTGGCAATGGTTGTACCTACTCTTTGGGAGCCTGGTATCCTGCTCTTTCTGAGCTTTTTGCCCTGTTCTTGTGCCGTCCAGCTGCCATCCTGGGACTTCTATTTGGTGTTCTTCTAGGTTGGATCTACTGTTTCCTGAATTCCATGTTTTGTTATTGTCTAGTTTTTTTTTTTGTATTTGGAGCATATCTTCCAGTTACTTCCTTGCCTGTCTGAAAATGTCTTAATTTCTTCCTTATTCATGATTAAATTCCAGTTTGAAAATTATTTAATGTCAGAATTTTTAGAGCATTACTCGCTTCTGTCCTCCAGTGCTGCCTTGAAAAGTCTGTTGCCATTGTGAATTACTTTCCTTAGCATGTAATCTCCTTTTTTCCCCCCATTTGTTTGTTTTTTACTTTCTGGTAGTTTTAGGATCTTCCCAGTCCAGAGTTTTAAAACTATACAACAATATGTCTTTGAATAGGCCCTTATTACTCAATTGGGTATTTGAGAGCCCTATCAGGCTGGCAACTTGTATCCTTTGGTTCTGGAAATTTTTCTGTTTCTTAATTTTTATATTTAATTTTTGTGGGTACATAGTAGGTGTATATATTTTTGGAGTGCATTAGATGTTTTAATACAATCATGCAGCGTAATAATCACATCATGGAGAATGGAGTTTTCATCTTCTCAGGCATTTATCCTTTGTGTTATAAACAAACCAGTTATACTCTTTTAGTTATTTTAAAATGTACAATTAAGCTATTATTGACTATAGTCACCCTTTTGTGCTATCAAATAGCAGTTCTTACTCATTCTTTCTATTTCTTGTACCCATTAACCATCCTCACCCACCCCCATGCTGACAACTGCACTTCCTAGCCTCTGGTAACCATCCTTCTACTCTCTGTGTCCATGAGTTCAATTGTTTTGATTTTCAGATCCCACAAATAAGTGAGAACATGTGATATTTGTCTTTTGATATTTGAAATAAGTGCCTGACTTATTTCACTTACTATAATGATCTTCAGTTCCATCCATGTTGTTACAGATGACTGATTCTCCTTCTGACTAAATAGTACTCCGTTGTATATAATTACCACATTTTCTTTATCCGTTCATCTATGATGAACACTTAGGTTGCTTCTAAATCTTGGCTATTGAACAGTGCTGCAACAAACATGGAAGTGCAGATATCTTTTCGATATACTGATTTCCTTTCTTTTGAGTATATGCCCACCAGTGGGATTTTTGGATCATATGGTAGCTGTATTTTTAGTTTCTTGAGGAACCTCCAAACTGTTCTCCATAATGGTTGTACTAATTTACATTCCCAACAATAGTGTATGAAGGTTCTCTTTTCTCCACGTTCTTGTAAGCATCTATTACCTGTCTTTTGAATATAAGCCTTGGTTTTTTGTTTGTTTTTTTATTTTTATTTTTTTGAGACGGAGTCTTGCTCTGTCTGTCGCCCAGGCTGGAGTGTAGTGGCGCAATCTTGGCTCACTGCAAATTCCGCCTCCCAAGTTCAAGTGATTCTCCTGCCCCAACCTCCCAAGTAGCTGGGATTACAGGCATGTGTCACCACGACTGGCCAATTTTTTGTATTTTTAGTAGAGACGAAGTTTCACCATGTTGGCCAGAATTGTCTTGATCTCCTGACCTCATGTTCTGCCCTCCTCAGCCTCTCAAAGTGCTGGAATTATAGGCATGAGCCACTGTGCCTGGCCTGTTTTTTCATTTTTTGAGACAAGGTCTTGCTCTGTCACCCTGGCTGGAGTGCAATGGTGCTATCACAGCTCACTGCAACCTTGGCCTCCTTGGCTCAAGTGATTCTTCCACCTTAACCTCCCAAGTAGCTGGGAGTACAGGCACACGCCACCACTCCTGGCTAGATTTTGTATTGTCTTTTTGTAGAGATGGAATTTTGCCATGTTGCCCAGGCTGGTTTTGATCTCCTGGACTCAAGCAATTCACCCAACCTCGGCCTCCCAAAGTGCTGGGATTACAGAATTGGGCTACTGCGCCTGGCCCTGTGATTTTTATTTAGGAGGTAGTCTCCACATTATTTTTTGCACTTCTATTGAATCTTTTATTTAGGCTGTCTTTTTTCGCTTTCTAAAGTTTTTTCGCTTTCTAAAGTTTTTTCGCTTTCTAAAGTTTTTGTTCTGGTGGTTTTGTATTTCATAACATACTAATGTAGTATTCTCTCTTAGCACTCTGAAGATTTAATGATTTTTTTTTCCCCGTTTGCTTTCCTTTCATTTTTCTTTTGTTTGGGCCTCTGACTTTCACATTCAGAGCTTTTTTTAGATGTTAGTATTTAGCTATTCATATTTAAGAGAAAGGCATTTAAATTCAGATTGGTGGTTTGTTGTCCAGTGGACTTTATTTGTGGTGATGGTTAGAGAGATGGTTCTTTTGTAGGGAAACACCTGCCAACTCCCAACCAATATCAGTATGAGGTATTTTTCTTTTCCTTTTTTTTTTTTTTTTTTGAACATAAACTGAAGATTTTATTGTCTTTATAATAAAACAAAAGATGACACTTAGAACTGGGTCACTTGGCCCTTTCTGCTCTTATCTCCTCCCAGTTTAGAATGCTTGCATCTTTTAATAGCCAGTATTCTCTTAGATCCATGGTTGGACTCAATGCACTTAAGCCTTAGCATAATCTTCTTTGTAGTTTTTGCCTTTTCCTGGAAAATCAGCTTAGTCCGGCCATCGTAGCCACTCTGCTTCCTATCATATCACCGCTTTCCCTGGGCATACAGAGAATCCTTGCCCTTCTTGCATGTGTCATTTTGTGGGGTTGGTGTTGGTGCTTGCCAGCCTTCTTACAGAAAGTCCAGCAGGTGTTAGGAATGTTCACCATGTTTGAGGGAGCACCATCAGCATGGGAAGAGACTTTTGTGGGTTGGTTTGTTTGTTTGTTTTAGCTATTGAGTTTCTCCAGCAAAGAATCCTTTAATTTCTCACGTGTTGGATAACCCAAAATGAAATGGAGTAGTAACGTGGGGCTGATGGTTTTGTATTACCTTGTTACAGCTGTACTTCATACCTGCTTATTATTCTTAGGGTCCCACAGTCTCAAGCTTCTTCTGTTCAGTTTCTTCTGATAATAAACTTTCTGCCTCTTTTCTAGTATGCCAACACCTTGCTATTGGTGTTCTGGGAGTGGGAAAAAGGATGACTGTTATTTGCAGAGACTTTGAACTGTATCCCTGGTTTCTCATCAGGTCCTCACTTCTGACCTCTACAGTACCTTGTGCCTTCATGTTCTAAATTTATTTTTCAGTGATAGTTATCTTATTGATGCTCTCTTCCATACCATTTAGATTGTGGTTTCCCACCCTTTTATGGTAGTTGATTCTCCTGCCCCTGGAGGAGATTCAGATTATAGATTGTAATCCTACAATCTATAATACAGATTGTAGGATTATTTATAAATTATTTATAAATACAGATTATTTTCTGTATTTAGATTTTTTTCTAGTAAGCATATATTCTGTAATTAGGTTTTTAAAAAAACTTCTATAAATATTTTATAATTTTTTTATAATTTGATGTTTTATATTTAATTTTCTAATTTATATAAAATTAATCTTGCTAGATGCTTATCAGTAGAGATTCTGTTTTCTCCCCCAAATCACTTTTCAGTTATAAGTTGAAGGTAATGCCAGGAGTTTACATGCCAAGGCTGACTTATAATGATGACATGCCCATGCCCATGTAAATGTTGATCAAAGGAATAGATGGGAAGCTTTATATTTGACCAATGGTTTGGCAGTTCTATTGAACCCCCTCATCTGACAGGAAAAAAACTAAGGACCAAGTAGGTTAATTTATTTTCTGAAAATACTATAAAAGTTGTTTTTATGTTTTAGATTTCTACGCTTGAATTTGCTCAACAGCAGGCTGCCAGTGTCCCAATCTTAGAAGAACAGATTATAAATTTGGAAGCAGAAGTTTCAGCTCAAGATAAAGTTTTGAGGTAAATATACTTTTTATAGCTTTCAAAGTTTTATTTTCTACTTTTACATTTTGTTATATCTTGTTAAATCTTGTTCCCCATGCCCAATAAATCTACAGTAACCTAATGGTATTTAGTTGTCTTAGAACTTGTTGAATCTATTTTTAGTCAATCATAACTCCTCTTGGCTGTAGGTTGCATGCAGTATATAGGAGCTAAAAAAAGCCTAGGGAGAGATGCCTATTTACATGCTTTTATCAAACATGAATTGGTTCACTTCTTCACCTACATAGCAACATATACCCAGTGTTTCAATGGGAGTTCAAGAAATAAAATGTAAAGGAGTCAGACACTTTTTATTATTTTTACAGATAGGGTCTCACTGTGTCACCCAGGCTGAAGTGCAGTGGTGCAATATGGCTCACTGCAGCCTCAGCCTTCTGGGCTCCAGTGATCCTTCTGCCTCAGCCTCCCAAGCAGCTGGGACTGTAGGGACTGCAGGCATGCACCAGTGTGCCCAACTAAGTTTTTAATTTTTTATTTTGTAGACACAAGGTCTCACTATGTTGGTCAGGCTGGTCTTAAACTCCTGGCCTCAAGCAGTCCTCCTACCTCAGCCTCCCAAAGTGTTGGGATTACAGGCATGAGCCACCACCCCTTGCCATCAGGCACTTTATAATTTATTCTCTTTTGCTTTGAATACAATGGGAAATACATGCATATTAAATAACATATTACTCTGAGTGATTCTGAAAGTATAGTTAAGGGACCAGCAGTAGTAGCATCACTTGGGAACCTGTTAGAAATGCAAATTTTCATGTCTTATCTCAGGCTTACTTAACCAAATTGGGAGGTGTGTCACAAGTTCTGCAGGTGATTCTGATGCACACTAAAGTTGTCTTTTATGTCCATCAGACTTTTGTAATTTTCTTTGTAATACACATGTTATTTTAAATTTATTCCTAGGTATTTTATATTTTTGGTAATTGTGAATTGTTCCTACTTTGTTCATTGCTAGTATATGAGACTTTTGTATAATAAAAAAATTATTTTGTAATTGTTAGCTAATGATATTATTTGCAAATAAAGAAAATTTTGTTTCTGAGTCAAAGGAGAGTACGAAAAAGACAAAAAAATTTGTCCAGCATTTATATTTCTTATTACCTTTTCATATTTGCTTTTTGCAGTGGGTAGAACTGACAGAAAAGTTGTTGGATGTGGGGGTGATAACAGTCATCTTTATTTAGTTTCTGAACAATACAGGAATGCTTCTGGTGTCTGACTATAAAATATAATATGAGCTATTACTTCAGATATATTTATCATCTGATGGAAGTACTCTTATTCTTTAAAAAAAACTCTTTATTAACAAGTGATGAATATGCCTTTTTCTTTATCTTTTTTTGTATGTTGTTTCTCTTAACTCATTGATTTAAAGAAATATAATTCCTAATATTCTTGCATACCTGGTATAATCTGTTTAGTAGTCTTAAACAAAGTATCCTTTATTTTATAGAGAGGCAGAAAATAAACTGGAACAGAGCCAGAAAATGGTAATTGAAAAGGAACGGAGTTTGCAGGAGTCCAAAGAGGAATGTATAAAATTAAAGGTGGACTTACTTGAACAAAGCAAACAAGGAAAAAGGTATGTGTTTTAAAGCAAATAAATTTTTCTGAAAGGGAATAAAAGGATATATTACCTATATAAAATTCTAGTTAATTTTTGAAGTAAAAAAATTTTAGAGATTTGGCAGTAGAATAAACTTAATGTTTTTTTTTTAATCTGTTAATTTTTTAAAATTTTCCATTAAAATATTTATATGTGGAGTTTATGTTATTAGCATTCTGGATTGATCTTAATTTCTACAAGACAGATCATGATTATCAGTGTAATGATACTGCTTTCTGAAATTAAGTTCTATGACCTATTTGAAACCAGTACACTGGGGCCAGGCGCGGTGGCTCACGCTGTAATCCTAGCACTTTGGGAGGCCAAGGCGTGTGGATCATGAGGTTAGGCGTTCAAAACCAGCCTGGCCAAGATGATGAAACCCCATCTCTACTAAAAATACAAAAAATTAGCCAGGCATGGTGGCAGGCTACTGTAATCCCAGCTACTCAGGAGGCTGAGGCAGAGAATTGCTTGAACTTGGGGAGGCAGAGATTGCAGTTAGCTGAGATTGTGCCACTGCATTCTAGCCTGGGTAACAGAGTGAGACTCCATCTCAAAAAAAAAAAAAAGGAAAGAAACCAGTGCACTGAGTTTAAAATACTAACATTAATATTACCTCTAATAAAGCTAAATAAAATGTTGAATGAACTCTTTAAAAAAGAAAATTTTGCCTCATAGATATGATAGAGAAAGAAAATGCATGAGAATGTGTGGTTGAATTTTCCTTTAGAAATATATAGGTAGTACAAAAATACCTATTTTGTATAAATTACATCTTGAGATAAAGTCTTCTAGGTAGCTCTATCCAAGGAACCATTAACTCTGAAGGCCAGTTCACTTTTAAACTAATAAGGATTTAAATTTTTTGAGTTTAAACTAATAAGATTTTATAAGAAAATAGGATTATAGCAGTTTTTATACAGTATAAAGTCACAATCTGTACTAAGCAATATTTGCAATATTGCCTCCCAAAGTGCTGGGATTATAGGCGTGAGCCACTGTGCCTGGCCAAGTATTGACTTTGGCTTCACAAAGTGAGTAAGTGGGGAGAGACACATTCTGGCAGCATGTGCAAAGGCACAAAAGTATAAAAGAGCATCATTGCTGAAGAACTGCTGAAGTAATTTTATGTTTTTATAAGTAAATAGGTGTAGTGGGAGATGAGATAAGAAAGATAGGCTGGATCCAGACTGTAAACGCCTTTTTGTGTTATACCAAAGGATTTGTATTTTAACCTGGAGAGCATAAATAGCCAATTGAGATTTTTAGGTAGCAGTATGACATGAAGATTGTTGGAGCTTTCTGAAGAACTAAAATGAATATTGACTTTCTGCTATGGTCTGAATGTGTCCCCCAAATTTTTTGTATTGAAAACTTATTCCCAATGCAACACTGTTGGGATGTGGGGCATTTAAAAGGACTCGGCTTTCATGAATGGATTAACGCCATTATAAGAGGGCTTGATAGAGGGAGTTTGTCCCTTTTTGCCTGTCATGTGAGAATATGGTGTTCCTCCTCCTTGGAGGATGTAACATTCAAGGCATCATTTTGGAAGCAGACAGATTAGGCCCTACCAACCTGTCAGTGCCTTGATTTTGGACTTTCCAGCCTCTAGAACTGTGAGGTACATTTCTGTTTTTTATAAACTACCCAGACTATGGTATTTGTTCTAGCAGCACAAATGGACTAATTAACACACTCTGAATTTGAAAGATCAAAACCTTTGCAGGGACAATTTTTTTTGGTAGAGAAGGTTAATCATAATAGATTGAAAAGCCAGTGTAAAGGGAGAGATTGTTTAGCTTTATGCTGTTTGTAAGAGATTACCTAAAACATAAGGACCCAGAAAAATTGAAAGCAGGCTGGGTATGGTGGCTAACACCTGTAATCCTAGCACTTTGTGAGGGCCAAGATGGGCAGATCACCTGAACTCATGAGTTCAGGACCAGCCTGGGCAACATGGCAAAACCTCATCTCTACAAAAAATATAAAACAGACAGGAGGATTGCTTGAAGCCAGAAGTTAGAGAGCAGCTTGGGAAACATAGTGAGATCATCTCTACAAATGAGAATGAGGTGGGGTTGGCCATTCAGAGGAACTCTCCACTGTGGGTCACCTCTGAGCTGTTCTGTCACTCAACAGAGCTTCTCTTTGTCTTGCTCATCCTCCATTTGTTTGTGTACCTCATTCTCCCTGGATGCAGGATAAGAATTCAGAACCCACCAAATGGTGGGGCTAAAAATGCTATTAACAAAGAGAGACAAGAGAAGGAGAGAAGAGCTGCAGCCCTTCAGCAAGCCCAGACCTATGAGCTTCCCGAGTCAGGGCTGTGACACCCTCTTTAGGGCTCTGTGGGTCCTGGTGTCTCCAAGCTTCCGCACACCACCACATTCCCTGGTGTCAGCCATGGAAGCTGCTTATGGTATGCCTGGTCTAGCCACAGCCTCACAGGGAACTGGAGCCCATGCTGGTGCCTGGAGCTGCCCACACTGCCACAGACGGTGTGCCTGGCTATGAGCAGTGGCCAGACCCTACATTCGTTCATATACCCTGTGCCATTCTGCACCTAGCTCACCCTTGGCAGGTGTGGGTGTCATTCTCATTCAGGTACATGTGGACACAGTCAATGTGGTGGGACCTGATGTTGATCGCCACCTTCACAGCTTCAGTTACCTGGCCTGAGGGGTACTTGCAGGTGCCCAGCCTCAGGATGGGCATCTTGGCACTGTTGTTGAGCTTGAGGTAGCTGGCCATTGCTATTGCACTTTATAGATCCCTGCCTGGAACTATCTTATTTTACTTTTTTAGAGACAGGGTCTTACTCTGTCACCCAGGCTAGAATGCAGTATTGCAGTCATGGCTCACTGCAGCCTTAAACCCCTGGGCTCAAGGGATCCTCCTGCCTCAGCCTCTAGAGTAGTGGGACTACAGGTGTGCACCACCACGCCCAGTTAACTTTTTGTAGAGATGATCTCACTATGTTTCCCAGGCTGCCCTCTAACTTCTGGCTTCAAGCAATCCTCCTAGCCTGGCCTTCTAAAGTGTTTGGAATACAGGTATGAACCACTGCACTCAGCACATAACAATTTTAGAGATGTTAAAAATGTGGAAGCATGATGTGCCTACAGGTGGCTATTGAAAACAAAAGCAAAAACAGGCTGGGCACAGTGGCTTACTCCAGTAATTCAAGCACTTGGGGAGGCCAAAGTGGAAGTATTACTTGAGGCCAGGAATTCAAGACCAACCTGGACAAAATAGCAAGACCCCCATTTCTACACACACAACAAAAAGTGAAAACAATGTGCCTCTCAGAATAGATGAACTATGATATATACCATTTGTGGGTATAGTTAACATATGAATGTACAAAATAAAAAACAAAATCATGTTAGGGTTACCCCTGTGGAAGAAGTCAGGGGAATAGGATTTGAAACGGACACATACGGACCTCAACTTTATTTGCAACATTTTGCTTGTCTTCTGTAGCCTTTTCAGACAAAGAGTGAAGATTCATTAAAACAGGATTGGAAGTACATGGTAATATTTATCCACACTTTTTTGTGTGTCTGAAATATGTCATGACTTTTTTAAAAAATGGAAGTGAGGAAGAGTAGATAAGTGTAAAGTAGGTAAGTCTGGCTTGAAAAGAAGGATCATAGAGGGAAGCACAATATGTGGGAAGGCTTTTGTTTGTTTAAGTGAGAAATACAGGTATCTTTTGCTCTGAACTGCACCTGTGCACATTCAGAAATGGATTATATTCTTACAGATTTTCAGAGAAATTCTTTGTTGTCCTTGCCTTCCTTTATCTGAAACCTTTCAGTCAAATAGACATACTTAACCACATAGATTCAGGAAGTTAGGAGTACTTTTACTTGAACTTGTTCATACTTGGGGCGAAATAACCAACAGAGAGAATGAAAATACGGAAGCTAGAGTGCATTTCTGAAGGGCTAAGAGTTAAGATCCAGACTATAAATAATTTACCCTGGATAAGAGGAGGGTCATTACCTCACTTACATTAGAAAGAATTTGATGGGACTAGGTTTAAATATTAAAATATTTTTAGGTGTGAGTGTGATATTGACCAAGTATTCTCAATGTATTGTGCCCCAGATTTTCATTTCATCGTGAGAAACATGAGGAACTAAGAGATGAGGGAACAAGGTTGGGCTTAAACAATGCTTGGTGGTGGTTGTGTTTTTTTGTTGTCTAGATTTTTATATCTGGTATCAATAGAAGTTACCATTTTTTGAAATACCTGTTTGAAATTTGTTTGACCTTTGCAAAGGACACAGAATTTACTGAGTGTATTTAATATTCTAGATAATAGACTTATTCTATAATACCTAACCTTTGAAAATTTATCATCCAGCCTTGGCTATTTCCCTAATCTGTCTTTTCCAGACAGGGAAAAAGAATTGCCAACACATAAGAATTTATATATATTTCAACATTTATGTTTATAATTGTTTTGTGTTATATTTTATTTTTCATATTGATAGAGTGAGAAAATTTTTGTAGTATGATCTACATTCTTCATTTTATACTTTAAGCCTAATATCCTTTTTAGTACAGAGAAATTTGTTTTTCTCTAATTATTCCATATAATTAAAGATTACTTTGGAACTTAACTATTTAAATGCATAGCATTCTTCACTTTATTTATTATCTCTTTATATTTTAGAGCTGAACAACAAAGGAATGAAGCACTGTATAATGCCGAAGAGCTGAGTAAAGCTTTCCAACAATATAAAGAAAAAGTGGCTGAAAAACTGGAAAAGGTAAGAGACACTTGTGCAAATTCAGTGTTTTGTATTACTGTCTATATTCCAACAATAAAGGTAGGAATAATTAGCATATGTTTATGGTTGAGGCAGAGAGTAACTTTTATGATCTTATAAAATCATTTAAATAAATAATTTATAAATATTAAGGATGACGTTCACTAATCCTTTTATTATCAGCAGAAACTTTTTTTATCCAAAGAGGGAAAAGAGTAGAGAGAGGAGAAGAAACAAAATATAGAGAAGGATGGAATGTGTGAGCAAAGATTGGAGCTAGAGAAGTAGAAGAAAGAAATTCATTTTTATCACTTCAGTGAAAATGAAGACAGATTAGGTACCCTTCTACTAGTCTTCCTCAATCTGCTACTCTGAGAGGGCCTTGCTTCTACCTCTGAGAGGGAAAGTTTCTTGAACTGATTCTATATAGAAATATAGTGAGTTTATTACATTCATTTATTACATTCATTTAGTATCTCTAAGTAATATCACATGGTAATGAAATATGTATAGAGAAACACCACAGTTGCATATTCAGATATTGAACTCAACAGAGAGGTCTGGTAAAGAGATGCTAATATGGGAGACTTCCATCTTGAGATAACAATTAAAGCAGAGGAAGTTTATGATTCTGTTCAAAGAAAGGTATAAAGGCAGAGGAAAGAATGTTTAGGTAGAAGGGTAGAATAAGAAGATGGGTGTTCATTTTTTTTTTTTTAAAGAAAGAAAAAGAATGAAAGAGAGAAAGAGGAAGAGAAAAAGAAAAAGAATGAAAGAGAGAAAGAAAGAGGAAGAGAAAGAAGGAGAGAGAATGGGAGTCTTGCTTTATTGCCCAAGCTAGAATGCAGTCTAAAAATGGGTATTGAAAACCTCTTTTGTGCCAATAATTGTCCTTAGCAATGGACACAGGAAGGAATAAGGGAGGAAAATAACAAACAAGCAGCCAACCAATATTTCATTTAAACCTGTGAAATGCTATGAGGAGTGATTTACTTCCAATTACATAGTCACTTTTAGAGTAGGTGTGATGTGGTACTGATAAGAATGTATGTTTTGTGGATTTGGAGTGGAGAGTTCTATAAATGTTTATTAAGTTTACTTGTTCCGGGTCTGAGTTCAAGTCCTGGATATCCTTGTTAATTTTCTGTCTCGTTGATCTAATGTTGACAATGTGATATTAAAGTCTCCCACTATTATTGTGTGGGAGTCTAAGTCTCTTTATAAGTCATTAAGAACTTGCCTTATGTATCTGGGTGCTCCTGTATTGGGTGCATATATATTTAGGATCATTAGCTCTTCTTGTTGCATTGATTCTTTTACCACTGTGTAATGTCCTTCTTTGCCTCTTTTGATCTTGGTTGCCTTAAAGTCTATTTTATCAGAGGTGAGAATTGCAACTCCTGCTTTTCATTTATTTATTTATTTTTGCTCTCCATTTGGTTGGTAAATCTTCCTCCATCCCTTTGTTTTGAGTCTTTGTGTATCCTTGCATGTGAGATGGGTCTAGATGCAGCATATCAATGGGTTTTGCCTTTTTATTCAATTGGCCTTTCTGTGTCTTTTGATTAGGGAATTTAGTCAATTTAAATTTAGGATTAATAACAATATATGTGAGTTTAATCCTGGCATATGATGCTAGCTGGCTGTTTTGCCCATTATTTGATATAGATTCTTCATTATGTTGATGCTCTTTACCTTTTGGTATATTTTCGGAGTGTCTGATACTGGTTGTTCCTTTCTATGTGTAGTGCTTCTTTCAGAAGCTCTTGTAAAGCAGGCCTGGTGGTAATGAAATTTCTGAGTGCTTGCTTGTTCACAAAAGATTTTATTTTTCCTTCACTTATGAAGCTTAGTTTGGCTGGATATGAAATCCTGGGTTGCAAGTTCTTTTCTTTAAGGATGTTGAATATTGGCCCTCACTCTCTTCTGGCTTGTAGGGTTTCTGCTGAGAGATCTGCTGTGAGTCTGATAGGCTTCCCTTTGTGGGTAACCTGACCTTTCTCTCTGGCTGCCCTTAGCATTTTCTCCTTCATTTCAACCCTGGTGAATCTATGATTATGTGCCTTGGGGTTGCTCTTCTTGAGGAATATCTTTGTGGTGTTCTCTGTATTACCTGGAGTTGAATATTGTCATGCCTTGCTAGGTTGGGAGAGTTTTTCTGAATAATATCCTAAAGAATATTTTCCAGCTTGGATTCATTCTCTCTGTCACATTCAGGTACACCTATCAAACATAGATTAGGTCTTTTCACATAGTCCCATATTTCTTGGAGACTTTGCTCATTCCTTTTTACCCTTTTTTCTATAATCTTGTCTTCTCATTTTATTTCATTGAGTTGGTCTTCGACCTCTGATATCCTTTCCTCTGCTTGATCAATTCAACTGTTAAAACTTGTGCATACTTCGCGAAGTTCTCGTGTTTTTCAGCTCCATTAATTCACTTATATTCCTCTCTAAATTGTCTATTCTCATTAGCATTTTGTCAAACCTTTTTTCAAGGTTGTTAGTTTTTTTGCATTGGGTTAGAACATGTTCTTTTAGCTCACAGAAGTTTCTTATTATCCACCTTCTGAAGCCTGATTCTGACAATTCATCACACTCATTCTCCATCAGGCCTTGTTCCCTTGCTGATGAGTAGCTGCAATCCCCTGAAGGAGTAGAGGCATTCTGATTTCAGATGTTTTCAGCCTTTTTGCGCCGGTTTCTTCCCGTCTTTGTGGATTTATCCACCTGTCGGCTTTGTAATTGCTGACTTTCAGATTGGGTCTCTGAGTGGACGTCCAGCTTGTTGGTGGTGATGTTATTTCTGTTTGTTTTTCTTTGGCAGATGCCCTTCCCCCACAGAGGTGGACCTTCCCGGGTTCAGCTGTGCTTGCTGTGAAACTCTCAGCCGTCAGCGTTTTCAATTGGTGTTTTCTTGTGGGGGTGGGACCAGCCGAGCCCGATCACCTGGCTCCCTGTCTCGGAGCCCTCTTTTTTTCTTTTCCTAATTGAATGGTCGATTCTCTCCCAGGTGCCCCAGTCACCCTCCGAAAAGGTGCCGGGATCTATCAATTTCCCTGCAGCAACCGCGCCGGCTGAAACAGCACTGCTGAGATTCGTGGCGTTTTTCTGCCTGGGAATCTCCCGGTCTGGCTCCTGGCTTCAGTTCCCCTTTCAATCAGCCGAATGGGTGACTCTGCCTCCCCGGAGCTCCAAACGCCAAGCAAAAGGGCACGCAGTCCCGCATACTCCGCACTGAGAACCGCCATGCCGGGACACCAGCTAAACAGCTGCGCCGGCCAAAAGAGTAGCTCTGGAGACCTGTGGGGCCCCTCCGCTGGGAATCTCCTGGTCCGTAGGCAACAAAAATTCTTCTGGAAGTCTGGCATCCCCTCACTCCCTGCACCTTCACTGGGAGCTGCAATCCTGAGCTGCTGCTAGTCAGCCATCTTGGATCTCTCTCCCAAAGATAGGTGTTCATTTATTAAACAATTATGAAATTCCTTTTACATGCCAGGTACTATGCCAGTATCTGGGAGATTCAGTGATACGTAACACATGATACCTACCCTAAAGAGCTCACTGTCTAGTAAGATTGACAAATATATAAACAAATAATTTCAGTATTTTGGAATAAGAAGCATAATATTATGGAAATAAGAGGTAGGTATGGTAGGCCAGGGTGAAGGTGGGGGCAGTTAATAAACTCTGGTGGGCCCAAAGAAAGCTTCACAGAGTAGGCAGTGCTTGAGCTGCTAGGGTATATCCAAGATTGTGGTATATCACCGAATAATGTTAAACAGGGAAAATTATCAAAATCTATGTTGCAGGAAGCTCACTCTGATGTCATGTGAAGATGCATTTGAGAAGTGAGAGACTTTTAAAGTCAAAGAGACTTTAAAAGACAAGGCAAGAGATATTGAAGATGAAGGAGCTGAGTAGATAGATATGAGGGATGTTAAAATTGGAGAATCTGGGATCTAGTGACCACTCGAAGCATTAGAAGTGGGCAGTATGAGAAAGAGAAAAATACAGGCTATTTTTAGGTTGCTGGTTTGAGTGACTGCTGGATGATTGCATTATGAATCAAAATTGACAATTTAGGAAAAAAACTTAATTTTTGTTTTGGAAATGTCATAGAATATCCAGGCATAGGTTTCTGGTAGGCTTTTGTATCTATAGGTCTGGATTTAGACACTGAAATCCATACTAGGGCTGTAGTTTTGAGAATTGACAGTACTGATTAAGGTGTACAAACCCTGTACATTGACAGAGTTTATATAGAGTGAGAACAAGATGAAAGATACCCTGGGAGATAAAGAACAGGTAGATTAGCTTTTGAAAGATATTGAGAAGTGACTTAAAAAATATTAGAGAATCAGGAAAGTATAGTAAGAAAAGTCAAGGCAATAGAATATTTTATTTTATTTATTTATTTATTTATTTTGAGATGGAGTTTTGCTCTTGTTGCCCAGGCTGGAGTGCAATGGCGCTATCTTGGCTCACTGCAACCTCCGCCTCCTGAATTCAAGTGATTCTCCTGCCTCAGCCTCCCGAGTAGCTGGGATTACAGGCTTGCACCACTACGCCCAACTAATTTTGTATTTTTAGTAGAGTCGGGATTTCTCTGTGTTGGTCAGGCTGGTCCCAAACTCCTGACCTCAGGTGATCCACCTACCTTAGCCTCCCTAAGTGCTGAGATTGCAGGAGTGAGCCACTGTGCCTGGCCGAACATTTTAAAAAGAAGGTAGTTATCTTCAGTGCCAGATGTTGCAAATTGGTCAAGAATAATGAGGACTGAACCAGGTATGGTGGCTCACACCTGTTAATCCAACTACTCAGGAGGTGAGGTAGAAGGATTGCTTGAACTCAGGAATTAGAGGCTGCATTAAGCCATGATAATGCCACTGTACTCAGGCCTAAGTGAAAGAGCAAGATCCTGTCTGTAAAAAATTAGAAAAAAATTTTAGAAAGATGAGGAACGAGACAGGGCTATTGTTTTTTATAATCAAGGAGTCACTGGATACTTTGTAGGGAGCAATTTATTAGAAGGCACAATCTCTGAGATGGGAGAAATGGAAACGGAGGCAGTAGAGGTAGCTAACAGACAATTCTTTACATACAGTAGGTGAAGAGGAAATAAGTGTGTGTGGCAGGTTTGCGGAGGCAGCAAATGGAAGGGGAGAAGAAAGCTAAGGTAAGGTGAAGAAGCTGTGGTAAAGTACCTAAGGGTACCCTCAACATATTAGAAGGGGGAGATGGAAGGTGCTAGTATTATAGGGAATAAAAGATGGCACGAGAGTCTGAACTATATTCAAGAAGATCAGAAGTGAGATTTTTTTTTTTTTTTAAATGAAATAGGGCATTTCTTTTCCTTATGAGAAAAAAGTGGATAAAAAATACAGAAAAAAGTTTTAGGTGGAAAGAAATTGAAGGATTTTGAATTAAATGTCTTTGGTCTCATAAGTTAAGATGTTGCTTAAGTAATTTTCATAGCATAAGGAAGATAGGAGGGATTTTGGAAACTTGAGGTGAGTGTTTCTCATAATGTAGTTGCAATAAGGAAAGTTAAGAAATTCGTAAACTTTCAAGAGAATATATAAAAAGAAGAGAGCAGTCAGGAATGAAGAGTTAATAAAAGGAAGCAAAGAAAACAAGAGTGGCCGGAGACAAGTGTAATATTGTCATGATAGCTAAATGGTAAAATATTTTAGAGGAGAAGTTACCAACAGTATTAAATACCAAGATCAAGGAAAAGGTCTGCAGTTGATTACAAAAAGGTCATTCCTTTGCAGTAAAACTGTGAATGTCACTTGGCAGTGTAAAATATTAAGGTCTCACTAGGCACTGAAATCTTAACTGTAAATTAGTTAATCAGATCACTGTTTTGAAAGCCTTGGAGAGGGTCCTTGTGGGAATGAAATATCTTAGAAGGAATTTTTAATGAGTTAATCTGTAAGGGGAGGTAGAAGACCTAATAGGAGGAATATTCTTGGGGAGAAGGAGGACTTTATAGAGAAAAATGTTAAGAGAGAGGTTTTTGTTTTTGTTTTCTTTTTACACTTAGGATTGTCAGTTGCAAACTACGCTCAGCAAAGCCCTGTAGTTAGGTGGATGTAACATAGGGTAACAAAGGAATTGGGGCAGATCTACCTAGTCTTCTCCTCTCAACACTGTATCCTGGGTGCTTTTATCTTCTGCATTTGGGGCTGTGGTTTCATTGGTAGATTTTGTGGCTAAAATTTCAAAAATAACCTCTCTGGAACATTTGTACTGAAATTAACCTTTAGTAACTCGAACACAGAAGCCCTAGATGAATTGCTTGCCTTGTCCACGTGAGGTCAGAGCACTTTTGCTTTCAGTTGATGTGATTGCCTATCCGTTACAGGTTTTCTGGACAGATAGTAGCATCCTTTTCTCTGTCCTTTGTTACTGCTCAGGAACTTCACTTTGCTTCTTTTTACTTCAGGGCTGGGGACTTAATGTATGAAATCCTTAGTCTATTTTCCTGCTTATTTCTGAAAGCACTACTTACATTTTTAGCTTGAAACACCTAAAGCTTACAACCACATTAGTATGTCCACTTAAATTATTGTTTTAGGTTCAAGCTGAAGAAGAAATATTAGAGAGAAATCTAATTAACTGTGAAAAGGAAAATAAAAGGCTACAGGAAAAGTGTGGTCTATATAAAAGTGAACTTGAAATTCTGAAAGAGAAATTAAGGTACAGTATGCTGTTGCAGAACAGGATTTTTGTGTGGAAATGAAAAAAATCTTAAAACACAATATTTTATATGTTGTAATTATGGGCTTATGTTATATAGAAGGATAGGCTTTATGACAAACTGTTTTCTAGGTATAGAATTAGAAATGAAGTAAAATGTGTTAATGCTAATATACTTGTAAATACGGAGAGATACTGATCAACACATTTACTTGGCATATATTTAGAGAAAATTAATAGACATAATGTCCTTGATAGATGACCATATTAGTTAGCTAGTAAAATGTGTATAGTATCCGATGTTCTAATAAAAATGTTTTTCAAATCATAAAAAATTACCTAGTCCAAACTTCTCATTTTATAAGTAAAGAAACAGAAGCCTCAAGAGTAGCCAGAATTTACTAAGGTCAGAAAGATAAAGTCTTCTGACTCCTATACTCTCTCTAGTATATCATATTGTCCTCTCAAAACTAATACCCATCAACTTTCAGAGGTTAATGTTAAACAGTCTTTATCACTTCAAACTGTTAATTTTTAAAAAGGAGGAGTGGAAAGCGATCAGAATAACTGGTTTGTCTAATTTTGCCATACTTCCCTTAAGGTACTGTGTTTAGTATTTTTGCCAAGGAGGAGGGAGTAAAGATACTTTTTACTAGAATATTTTCTAGAATCTATTGTTATCGATTGCAAGATCTACTTTTAAGAAAGAAAAATGCTGCCAATTACACTATGATGGAATCCCCTATCACTTAAAATTTTTGTACTTAATGAAAGAATTCTTGTATACTTAATTAGATATGATTTTTAAGTCATTATTTTCATATTTTTCAAAAAAAATTATTTTCATATTTCAAATATAAGTGAAATAAATTGGTTAAGATATTTTTAAAGCTTCACAGTTGGAGTCTGACCTTTCTAAAATGTCTGAGTTTTTCAACACAGTATTTCCCTCTGTGCCATTAAGAGTTGCTGGGCCCAGTGAGTTGTCTCACGCCTGTAACCCCAGCACTTTGGGAGGCCGAGGCAGGTGGATCATCTGAGATCAGGAGATAGAGACCAGCCTGGCCAACATGGTGAAACCCCATCTCTACTAAAAAAATACAAAAATTAGCCAGATGTGGCGGCATGTGCCTGTAATCCTAGCTACTCAGGAGGCTATGGCAGGAGAATCACTTGAACCTGGGAGGCGGTGGTTGCAGTGAGCCGAGATTGCACCACTGCACTGCAGCCTGGGAAACAAGTGAAATTCCGTCTCAAAAGAGTAGCTGATGCAGTATTTCTTAAAAGAATCCTTGTAAGAACAGAAAGTCACTGATGCTGGGCTCTTAAGCCGATTGTACAATTATGTAGAGCCAGTTTACTTTTCCTTCCTGTTTTACAAATAGAGCCAGTTTACTTTTCTCTCCTGTTTTAGGAATCCAAAACTTTGTTGGTAATACAAAATCCCTACTATGTCAGGGATTTTGGAGTTAGATATCCTGTCTTATACAATTAAACTGGGAGCAGAAATGCTTTCAAGATTTCAGCCCACCATTTACTGTGAGACACTGGGAAAGTTATATAGCCTTTTTGTGCCTCAGTTACCTCATCTGTAAATAAGAAGTAATAATAGTGCCAAGCACATAAAGTTAAGTGCCTGGCATGCAGAAGTAGGTATTTAGTAAATGTGAGCAGGTATTATTTTAGAATTAAGCTTTAAAAAACTTTTAATGTGATTAAATAAATATGATTGAAAATGAATGCATATATATTTTATTTTCATTTTTATTCTTTTTTCGTCATAGGCAGTTAAGAGAAGAAAATAGCAATGGAAAAGAAAAATTAAGGATCATGGCAGTGAAAAATTCAGACGTCATAGCACAATTAACTGAATCTAGACAAAGTATTCTGAAGCTAGAGAGTGAGTTAGAGAACAAAGATGAAATACTTAGAGACAAGTTTTGTTTAATGAATGAAAACCGAGAATTAAAGGTTCGTGTTGCGGCACAGAATGAGCGATTAGATTTATGTCAACAAGAAATTGAAAGTTCAAGAATAGAACTAAGAAGTTTGGAAAAAATTATATCCCAGTTGCCAGTAAGTATGTGATTACGTAACAGAAGAAAAGAATTTTACCAAAGTGTTTTAGAAAAGACTGTCATTTAATTTTTTCTTTCCTTTATACTTTTAGTCGTGAATTTTTCTTCTCTCTAATCTCTTTTTTTTTCCTGCACTTACCATTGTTGACTTTTTCTTAGTTTCTCAGATGCCATGTATAATGGCAAAGAATTTTTTTAAACAGCTTTCTTGAAGTATCATTTACGTACCATAAATTTGCCTGTTTTTAGTGTACTAATATATGATTTTTAGTAAATTTGCAAGTTTTGGAACAATCACCACAGTCCAGCTTTGAAACATTTTTATCATCCTCAAAAGATATTTTATACCCATTTATAATTAGTCCCTGTACTCACTCCTACCCCTAGGAAGACACTAATAGTTTTTGCGTCGATAGATTTGTCTTTTCTGGATATTTCACATAAATGAACTCATACAGTATGTGCTCTTTTACATCTGTTTTTTTGCATTCTTAATGTTTTGAGAGTCGTTCATGTTGTGATATCAGTATTTCATTTCTTTTTATTGCTAAATAGATTTCATTATATAGATATGTTACATTTTATCCATTCACTGGTTGATGGACATTTGGATTGTTTCCGCTTTTGGATATTAAGAATAATGCTGCTATGAACATTTGCATACAAGTCTTTAGACCTGTTTTCTTTCTCTTGGGTTATACCTAGGAGTAGAATTGTTGGGTCATATGGTAAATTTATGCCAAACTGTTTTCCAAAATGTCTACACTATTTTACATTCTCACCAGCAACGTATGAGGGTTCCTGTTTCTCTACTTCCTTCCCAACACTTGTTCTTGTCTGTCTGTCTTTATTATAACCATCTTAGTGAGTGTAAAGTGGTATCACATTGTGGTTTTAATTTACATTTCTTTAATGGCTCATGATGAGCAACTTTTCATGTACTTACTAGAATGGCATAGAACTTTAAAATGTTTTTATAATAATAGTCTACCACCTTTTTGCTTTGAGTTACATTTGTGACCTTATATATAAGTAAGATTAGGGAGAAGGTAAGTAAACCTATTCAGGAATTTGTAATCGATAGGTGTAAAATGAAGGAAAGGTCAGGGGGAAGTATAGGTAAATATATTATGGTTGATTTCACATATGAATATATGGTAAACTAGATGGTAGACTTACCCATGTTAAACTATTGCAAACTATGGAATTATGAACCAAAAAGAATATTAGAAATCATCTGATGCAATATCATCATTTTATTGGTGAAGAAACCTAGACCTAAGGAAGTAAATATTACCCAACTGATAAGTAGCCAAATTTAAACTAGACCCTAAGATCTTAAAAAAAATTTTTTTTTAATTGCACTTTAGGTTCTGGGGTACATGTGCAGATCATGGAGGATTGTTGCACAGGTACACACATGGCAATTTGGTTTACTGCCTCCATCCCCCCATCACCTACATCTGACATTTCTCCCCATGTTATCCCTCTGTGACCTCCCCACCTCCCCAATGTCCCTCCCTTGGCCCTGGACAACAGACCCCAGTGTGTGATGCTCCCCTTCCTGTGTCCATGTGTTCTCATTGTTCATCATCTGCCTATGAATGAGAATATGCGGTGTTTGATTTTCTATTCTTGTGTCAGTTTGCTGAGAATTATGGTTTCCAGATTCATCCATGTCCCTAAAAAGGACACTAACTCATCATTTTTTATGGCTGCATAGTATTCCATGGTGTATATGTACCACATTTTCCTTATCCAGTCTGTCGTCGATGGGCATTTGGGTTGGTTCCAGTTCTTTGCTATTGTAAACAGTGCTACTATGAATATAAGTGTGCATGTGTCTTTATAATAGAATGATTTGTAATCCTTTGGGTATATACCCAGTAATGGGATTGCTGGGTCAAATGGAATTTCTATTTCTAGGTCCTTGAGGAAGCGCCACACTGTCTTCCACAATGGTTGAACTAGTTTATACTCCCACCAACAATTTAAAAGTGTTCCTATTTCTCCACATCCTCTCCAGCATTTGTTGTCTCCAGATTTTTTAATGATCGCCATTCTAACTGGCGTGAGGTGGTATCTTAATGTGGTTTTGATTTGCATTTCTCTAATAATGAGTGATGATGAGCATTTTTTCAGTTTGTTGGCCTCATATATGTCTTTTGAAAAGTGTCTATTCATATCCTTTGCCCACTTTTGGATGGGTTTGTTTGTTTTTTTCTTGTAAATCTGTTTTAGTTTTTTGTAGATTCTGGATATTAGCCCCTTGTCAGATGTGTAGATTGCAAAAATGTTTTTCCCATTCTGTTGGTTGCCAGTTCACTCTAATGATTGTTTCTTTTGCTGTACAGGAGCTCTGGAGTTTAATCAGGTCCCATTTGTCTATTTTGGCTTTTGTTGCCAATGCTTTTTGTGTTTTAGTCATGAAGTCCTTGCCTATGCTTATGTCCTGAATGGTTTTGCCTAGGCTTTCTTCTAGGGTTTTTATGGTGTTAGGTCTTATGTTTAAGTCTTTAATCCATCTGGAGTTAATTTTAGTGTAAGGTGTCAGGAAGAGGTCCAGTTTCTGCTTTCTGCACACTGCTAGCCAGTTTTCCCAACACCATTTATTAAACAGGGGATCCTTTCCCCATTGCTTGTTTTTGTCAGGTTTGTCAAAGATCAGATGGTTGTAGATGTGTGGCATTGCCTCCAGGGCCTCAGTTCTGTTCTATATCTCTGTTTTGGTACCAGTACCATGCTGTTTTGATTACTGTGGCCTTGTAGTATAGTTTGAAATCAGGTAGCGTGATGCCTCCAGCTTTGTTCTTTTTGCTTAGGATTGTCTTGGCCATGCAGTCTCTTTTGGTTCCATATGAAGTTTAAGTGGCTTTTTCCAGTTCTGTGAAGAAGGTCATTGGTAGCTTGATGGGGATAGTGTTGAATCTATAAATTACTTTGGGCAGTATGGCCATTTTTACAATATTGATTCTTCCTAACCATGAGCGTGGAATGTTTCTCCATCTGTTTGTGTCCTCTCTTATTTTGCTGAGCAGTGGTTTGTAGTTCTCCTTGAAGAGGTACTTTACATCCTTTGTTAGTTGTATTCCTAGGTATTCTCTTTGTAGCAATTGTGAATGGGAGTTTGCTCATGATTTGGCTCTCTGTTAGTCTGTTATTGGTGTATAGAAATGCTTGTGATTTCTGCACATTGATTTTGTATCCTGGTTCTTTGCTGAAGTTGCTTATCAGTTTAAGGAGGTTTTGGACTGAGATGATAGGGTCTTCCAAATATACAATCATGTCGTCTGCAAATAGAGACAATTTGACTTCCTCCTTTCCTCACTCAATATCTTTTACTTTTTTTTCTTGCCTAATTGCTCTGGCTAGAACTTCCAATACTATATCGAACAGGAATGGTGAGAGAGGGCATCCCTGTCTACTGCTGGATTTCAAAGGGAATGCTTCCAGTTTTTGCTCATTCAGTATGATATTGGCTGTAGGTTTGTCATAAATAGCTTTTATTGTTTTGAGATATGTTCCTTTGATACCTAATTTATTGAGAGTTTTTAGCATAAAGGGCGCTGAATTTTGTCGAAGGCCTTCTCTGCATCTATTGAGATAATCGTGGTTTTTGTCTTTGGTTCCGTTTATTTGGTGGATTACATTTATAGATTTGTGTATGTTGAACCAGCCTTGCATCCCCAGGATGAAGCCTACTTGATTGTGGTGGATAAGCTTTTTGATGTGCTGTTGCAATCAGTTTGCCAGTATTTTATTAAAGATTTTTGCATCTATGTTCATCATGGATATTGGCCTGGAGTTTTCTTTTCTTGCTGAGTCTCTGCTGGGTTTTGGTTTCAGGATGATGTTGGTCTCATAAAATGATTTGGGAAGGATTCCCTCTTTTTGTATTGTTTGAAGTAGTTTCAGAAGGAATGGTACCAGCTCCTCTTTGTATGTCAGGTAGAATTCAGCTGTGAATCTCTCTGGACCTGGACTTTTTTTGGTTGGTAGGCTACTAATTTCTGTGTCAACTTCAGCCCTTGTTATTGGTCTATTCAAGATTTCAACTTCTTCCTGGTTTAGGTTTGGGAGGGTGAAAAATGTCCAGGAATTTATCCATTTCTTCCAGGTTTACTGGTTTGTGTACATAGAGTTGTTTGTAGTAATCTCTGATTGCAGTTTGTATTTCTGTGGAATTTATTGTATTTTTTTGCATCTATTTGATTCTTCGCCCTTTTCTTTTTATTAATCTGGCTAGTGGTCTATTTTGTTGATCTTTTCAAAGAACCAGCTCCTGGATTTATTGATTTTTTTGAAGGGTTTTTTATGTCTCTGTCTCCTTCAGCTGTGCTCTGATCTTAGTTATTTCTTGTCTTCTGCTAACTTTTGAATTTTTTTAAAATCTTGCTCCTCTAACTCTTTCAATTTTGATGATAGGGTGTCGATTTTAGATCTTTCCTTGCTTCTCATGTGGGCATTTATTGTTATGAATTTCCGTCTAGACACCGCTTTAAATGTGTCCCAGAGATTCTGGTACGTTGCGTCTTCATTCTCTTTGGTTTCAAAGAACATCTTTATTTCTGCCTTAATTTCATTGTTTATCTAGTTGACATTCAGGAGCCAGTTGTTCAGTTTCCATGAAGCTGTGTGGTTCCGAGTTAGTTTCTTAATTCTGAGTTCTAATTTGATTGCCCTGTGGTCTGAGAGACTGTTATGATTTCCGTTCTTTTGCATTTGCTGAGGATTGATTTACTTCCAATTACATGGTCAGTTTTAGAGTAGGTGCAATGCAGTGCTGAGAAGAATGTATATTCTGTGGATTTGGGATGGAGATTTCTGTAGATGTCTATTAGATCCGCTTGTTCCAGATCTGAGTTCAAGTCCTGGATATCCTTGTTAATTTTCTGTCTCGTTGATCTGTCTGATATTGACAGTGGAGTGTTAAAGTCTCCCACTATTATTGTGTGGGAGTTTAAGTCTCTTTGTAGGTCATTAAGAACTTAGTTTATGTACCTGGGTGCTCCTGTATTGGGTGTGTATATATTAAGGATTGTTAGCTCTTCTTGATGCATTGATCCTTTTACGATTATGTAATGCCCTTCTTTGTCTCTTTTGACCTTTGTTGGTTTAAAGTCCATTTTATCAGAGACTAGGATTGCAACTCCTGCTTTTTTTTTTTTTTGCTCTCTATTTGCTTGATAAATCTTCCTCCATCCCTTTATTTTGAGCCTATGTGTGTCCTTGCATGTGATATGGGTTTCCTGAATACAGCACACCAATGGGTCTTGACTTTTTATCCAATTTGCCAGTCTGTGTCTTTTGATTGTGGCATTTAGCCCATTTACATTTAAGGTTAATATTGTTATGTGTGAATTTGATCCTACCATTTTGAAGCTAGCTGGATGTTTTGCCCATTAATTGACACATTTTTTTCGTTGTGTTGATGGTCTTTACCATTTGGTATGTTTTTGGAGTGGCTGGTACTGGTTGTTCCTCTCCTTGTTTAGTGCTTCTTTCAGGAGCTCTTGTAAGGCATCTGGTGGTGACAAAATCTCTCAGCAATTGCTTGTCCATAAAAGATTTTTTTTCTCCGTCACTTACGAAGCTTAGTTTGGCTGGATATGAAATTCTGGGTTGAAAGTTCTTTCAGGATGTTGAATATTGTCCCCCACTCCCTTCTGCCTTGTAGGGTTTCTGCCAAGAGATCCGCTGTGAGTCTGATGGGCTTCGCTTTGTGGGTAACCCAACTTTTCTCTCTGGCTGCCCTTAGCATTTTTTCCTTCATATCAACCCTGGTGAATCTGCCGATTATGTGCCTTGGGGTTGCTCTTCTTGAGGAATACCTTTGTGGTGTTCTCTGTATTTCCTGGACTTGAATGGTGGCCTGCCTTGCTAGGTTGGGGAAGTTCTGGATGACATACTGAAGAGTGTTTTCCAGCTTGGATTCATTCTCTCCATCACATTCAGGTACTGCTATCAAAGGTAGTTTAGGTCTTTTCATATAATCCCATATTTCTTGGAGGCGTTGTTCATTTCTTTTCACTCTTTTTTCACTATTCTTGCCTTCTCGTTTTATTTCATTGAGTTGATCTTCAATCTCTGATATCCATTCTTCTGCTTGTTTGATTCAGCTATTGAAACTTGTGTATGCTTCACGACGTTCTCATGCTGTGTTTTTCAGCTTCATCAAGTTGTTTATATTCTTCTCTAAGCTGTTTATTCTAGTTAGCATCTCATCTAACCTTTTTTCTAGGTTCTTAGTTTCTTTACATTGGGTTAGCACATGTTCTTTTAGCTCTGAGAAGTTTGTTATTACCCACCTTCTGAAGCCTGTTTCTGTCAATTCATCAGATTCATTCTCCATCCATCTTTGATCCCTAGCTGGTGAGGAGTTGTGATCCTTTGGAGGAGGAGAGGTGTTCTGGTTTTTGGTGTTTTCATCCTTTTTGCACTGGTTTCTTCCCATCTTAGTGGCTTTATATATGTGCCTGTGGTCTTTGTAGTTGCTAACTTTCGGATGGGTTCTCTGAGTGGACGTCCTTTTTGTTGATGATGAAGATACTTCTTTCCGTTTCTTAGTTTTCCTTCCAACAACACAGGCCCCTCTGCTGCAGGACCACTGGAGGTCCACTCCAGACCCTGCTTGCCTGGGGATCACCTGCGGGGGCTGCAGAACAGTAAGGGTTGCTGCCAGTTTCTTATTCTGTTATCTTCAACCCAGAAGGGTACCTGCCAGATGTCAGCTTGAGCTTGCCTTTATGAGGTGTCTCTTTGGGTATACGGGGGTCGGGGAGCTGCCTGAGGAGACAGCCTGTCCCTTATAGGAGCTCAAGTGCTGTGCTGGGAGCTCTGTTTTTCCGTGCAGAGATGCTGGGCAGGTACTTTTAAGTCTACTGCAGCGGAACTCATAACTGCCCCTTTTCCCAGGTGCTCTGTCCTAGGAAGATCAGCTTTATTTATAAGTTCTTGACGTGCTGCCGCAGGTTCTGCCCAGCTGCTGTGTGAACTGCCTCGGTAGTGGTGGTCGCCGTTCCCCCAACTGAGCTGGACTATCCTGGGTCCAGCTGCGCTTGCTGCAAAACTCTCAATCCAGAGCGTTTCAGATTGCTTGTTTTGTGGGGTGGTACTGGCCGAGCCAGATCGCCTAGCTCCCTTTCTCTGCCCCCTCCCTTTTAGTTGAATGGGTGGCTCTGTCTCCCAGTGTTCCAGGTGCCAGTTGAAATGGCCACCCAGATTTCTGTGAGTTTCTGGGCACCAACCCAGCACCAGCTGAAGCCGCTATGCTGAAAACTTGTGGTGCTTTTTGGCCTGGGAATCTCCTGGTCTGTGGGCAGTGAAAATTTGTCCGGAAATGCGGTGGCCACTCACCACCCTCTGCGTTGTTCTTGCTGGGAACTGCACTCCGGAGCTGTTCCTATTCGGCCATCTGCTAGAACATAAGCTCTTAACTCCTGTTATATCTGCTTTCCCAGGATGCTGTTTATTTGCTTAGATTTTTTTTTTCCCATTTATTTATTTTATTGCATTTTAGGTTTTGGGGTTGCTTAGATTTTTAATATACTATTTGCTTTTGAAATTAGAAAGTAATCATATACAGATAACAATTTTATTTTTATTATATTTTTTTCTTTCTTTTTTTCTAACTGTGTGAACTTAGTATCCCTGATATTATTTTTTTTTTTTTTTTATTTTTGAGACAGAGTTTCACTCTTGTTGCCCAGTTTGGTTGTGCTCACCACAACCTCCACCTCCCAGGTTCAAGCGATTTTCCTGCCTCAGCCTCCCAAGTAGCTGGGATTACAGGTATGCACTACCACTCCTGGCTAAGTTTTTGTATTTTTAGTAGAGGCAGGGTTTCTCCATATTGGTCAGGCTGGTGTCGAATTCCCGACCTCAGGTGATCCACGCGTCTTGGCCTCCCAAAGTGCTGGGATTACAGACGTGAGCTATCGCGCCTGGCGCAGATGACAATTTTAAATTGGCATTCTCATTTGTGTATAAGAATTATTTCATATATGAAATATATGGCACATGCTTGTAATCTTAGCACTTTGGCAGGCCGAAGTGAGAGGATCTCTTGAAGCTAAGAGTTTAAGAACAGCCTAGGCAAAATAGCAAGACCCCAACTCTACAAAAATACAAAAATTAGCTGGGCATGGTGCGCATGCCTATGGTCCCAGCTACTCAAGAAGCAGAGGTAGGAGGATTGCTTGCATCCAGGAATTCGAGGCTACAGTGAGCTATGATCATAGCTCCAGCCTGGGTGACAGAGTGAGACTCTGTCTTTTAAGAAAAAGAAATCTAAAAACAGAATCATTTGAGATATGGTTCCAAATGTGGTAATGTATGCTTGATTGTGTGTTTCATGTAGTGCTACGAATGATATGATTAGAAAAAGTGGTATGATTTGGTTATAGTTTGAAGGTAGAAGTCATTAAGTGCTTACCTTGCTCCTTTTTATAATAACAGTCTTTTAAAATTCTGTATTATCCAAATGTGCAAAAAGGTCCATGTGCCAGTGTATCAACTTTGTAAAATCTGGGACACATATTGCCTTATCAATTTTATATTTTTTTAGAATAAAACTTTACAGGTAAAACTTCTTTATATACCTTGTCAGATCCCTATTCTCTTCCTCTCTCCTCTCTGCCATTCAGAAATGGCAATTATTCTGAAATTTCATGTGTATCCTTCTCATCTCTGTTTTAAATATTGTCACATATAGATGCATTTAGAAATATATATATATATATTGCTTAGTGTTTTTATGAAAATACTGTTTGCAATTATAATTTGTTTTTCACTCAATATTGTTATGAGATGTGTCCATATTGATTTATGTGACTCAGGCTTATTTCTTTTAACTATTATAGTTTTCCAATTATCTTAATATTTCTTATTTTTTCTTTTTTTTCTCTCAATATTTCTTAATGTATTTATTTATTCTATTGATGGACATTAACTTGTTTCCATTAAATTCATGGTTTTTAAAATTTGGAGTTCTTAATTAAAAAGCAGCTGTATCCCATGTACATAAGTTTACATGTGTTTGTTTTTAAACTTGCAGTTAAAAAGAGAAATATTTGGCTTTAAATCATCTCTTTCTAAATACCAGATGAGTAGCTTGTCAAACAAGGAAGACAGTTGCGTCGGCTGCTGTGAGGGAAGTAAACTGGTGATTTCAGAATTGAGGTACAGTTTTCAGATTCTGCAGTTACAGCAAAGAGAATGTTTTTTATCGGTGATTAAGACCCTTAATTGAGGACTTAAAAAAATATACAGAAGAGCTCAGAGAGTATTTTAATAGATACCTGTGATTCCACAACTAAGAATTAAATCTTCTTAACTAGCATTGATTCTCCCTAAAATTTGTAGTATTTGTTTTAAATCTGTTTCTCTAAATAGAAAATAAAACATTACAGGATGGATAATACCCTCTGATCCTTATGACTAGTCCCATTTTTCCCCAAAGTATCCGCCATTGTGAATTGGATATGTATTTCTCTATTTATTTTTGTATGTTTATACTCATATACACAAATATAAGTGTACTGTATATTGTGTACCATTTTACTTTTTCACTCAGCAGTATTTTAAAAAGTCACTCATATTGAGATAGATTAATGAATGGATTTATGTGGTTAGTTACTTTTAATAGCAGTATAGGATTTTGTCCTATAACAGTGTCATAATTTATCCATTCCTTTATAGGTATCTTGTTTCTATTTTCTGCTACAAACAGTGCTGCAAAGGACATCCTTATACATGTTTTCTTATACATACATATGAGAGTTTCTGTATTATATATTCCTAAAAGTGAAATTGCTGGGTTATAGAGTATGTACATTTTCAGTTTTACCATATACCATCAAGTTTGTAAAACAGCTGAACCAATTTGTAATCCTACAGTGGTATATAGGAGTTTTCATGTCCTACCTAAAGAGTTGATGAATATCAGAATTCTAATTTTTTAAATCAACTTGAAAGGTGAAAAATAGTACAGTATGAAATATTTTTATAGAATCTTTTAATAACTTTTCACTTCTTTTCTTTTGTGCCAGGATTAAGCTTGCAATAAAAGAGGCAGAAATTCAAAAGCTTCATGCAAACCTAACTGCAAATCAGTTATCTCAGAGTCTTATTACTTGCAATGACAGCCAAGAAAGTGGCAAATTAAGTAGTTTAGAAACAGAACCTGTAAAGCTAGGTGGTCATCGAGTAGGTAAGTATATTATATTGAGTTATTTTAATAAATTATATTCAGAGTTTTGGATGATATTTTTTTTTAAAAAAAACTTTATTTAAATTTTTTTTTTTTTTTAATTTAACTTAAATTCAGGGATACATGTGCAGATTTGTTACATAGGTAAGCTTGTGGCCTGGAAGTTTGTTTTACAGATTACTTCATCACCCAGGTATTAAGCCTAGTACCCCTTAATTATTTTTCCTGATCCACTTGCTCCTTCCACCCTCCACCCTCTGATAGATCCCAGTGTGTGTTGTTCCCCTCTATGTGTCCATGTGTTCTCAGATGATGGTTTTTAAAGAACAGATTTATCAACTGTTTGGTTTCTATTATCAAACATACTTAGGATAATCCGTTACTAGTTGTGGTATGATAAGATAGCAAAAGTTACTTAAGAATTATTAGACTTTGGGCCAGGCGCGGTGGCTCAAGCTTGTAATCCCAGCACTTTGGGAGGCCGAGGCGGGTGGATCACGAGGTCAAGAGATCGAGACCACCCTGGTCAACATGGTGAAACCCCGTCTCTACTAAAAATACAAAAAATTAGCTGGGCATGGTGGCGCGTGCCTGTAATCCCAGCTACTCAGGAGGCTGAGGCAGGAGAATTGCCTGAACCCAGGAAGCAGAGGTTGCGGTGAGCCGAGATCGTGCCATTGCACTCCAGCCTGGGTAACATGAGTGAAACTCCGTCTCAAAAAAAAAAAAAAAAAAAGAATTATTAGACTTTGTATTATTCTTTAATGAAGTAAAATTGACATCCGATAAGACAGTGGTCCCAACCTTTTTGGCACTAGGGCCTGGTTTTTTGGAAGACCATTTTTCCATGGACAAGGTGTGGGTGCAGGGGTGGTTTCAGGATGATTCAAATGCATGACATTTATTGTCCACTTTATATTATTATTACATTGTAATATATGACAAAATAATTATACAACTCATCATAATATAGAATCAGTGGGAGCCCTGACCTTGATTTCCTGTGACTAGACGGCTCCGTCTCGGGGTCGTGGGAAACAGTGACAGATCATCTTATGCCACACTCCTTATGGCAGGAGATTCTCATAAGGAGAGTGTGATCTCGATCCTGTGCATGTGCAGTTCATAATAGGGTTTGTGTTCCTATGAGAATCTAATGCTGCCGCTAATCTGACAGGAGGTAGAGCTCAAGCAGTAATGTGAGCAATTGGGAGTGTGTGTAAATACAGATGAAGCTTTGCTGATTTGCCCACCATTCACCTCGTGCTATGTGGCCTGGTTCCTAATAGGCCATGGACTGGTACCAGTCTGTGGCCCAGGGGTTGGGGACCCTTGCAATTAAGATGCACTAATTTTAATATACAGTTTGATAAGTTTTGTCAGGTGTTTGTGTTTTAATGTTTAACTCTTGTTACCATCACCACAATCAAGACATAAGACATTTCCGTCAAGATCCCTTATACTCCTACCCAGTTTACTTTTAGGTTTAATTTTCTGTTCTTTTTTCTATGAAACAAAAATAAAAACACCTTTTCTTAAAGTAACAGTTTAGATTATTGATCTTAGACCTGTTTTCTTTTCTCATCTAGGTATTTAAGGATAGAAACTTCCCTTAAGCAGTGCTTTGGCTATATTCCACTACTTTTTAAAATGTGTTGTATTTTCGGGCCGGGCGCGGTGGCTCAAGCCTGTAATCCCAGCACTTTGGGAGGCCGAGGCGGGTGGATCACGAGGTCAAGAGATCGAGACCATCCTGGTCAACATGGTGAAACACCGTCTCTACTAAAAATACAAAAAATTAGCTGGGCATGGTGGCGCGTGCCTGTAATCCCAGCTACTCAGGAGGCTGAGGCAGGAGAATTGCCTGAACCCAGGAGACGGAGGTTGCGGTGAGCCGAGATCGCGCCATTGCACTCCAGCCTGGGTAACAAGAGCGAAACTCCGTCTCAAAAAAAAAAAAAAAATGTGTTGTATTTTCATTTTCATTCAGTTCAAAATATAGTTATTGCTTATGATTTTATGTTTGACTCATGCTATATGTGTTTTATTTCTAAATATTTGGAGGTTTTTCCAGATATTTTTGTGTCATTATTGACGATCAGAGAACATACACTATAGAACTTCGTTTTTTTTTTCTTTTTTCTTTTTCTTTTCTTTTTTGAGATGAAGTCTTGCTCTGTTGCCCAGGCTGGAATGCGGTGGTACACTCTTGGCTCAACAGAACCTCCGCCTCCTGGGTTCAAGCAACTCTCCTGCCTCAGCCTCCTAAGTAGCTGGGATTACAGGTGTGCACCACCACGCCTGGCTAATTTTCGTATTTTTAAGGAGAGATGGGGTTTCACCATGTTGGTCAAGCTGGTCTCAAACCCCTGACCTTGTGACCCGCCTGCCTCAGCCTCCGAAAGTTCTGGGATTACAGGCATGAGCCACCGTGCCTGGCTAGGACTTCATTTTTAAGAGTGTTTTGAGACTTGGTTTATTGGCCGACATATGATCTATCTTGATGAGTGTTCCAAATTGGGAATAGTAGTAATTAGAGGTGGTAATAAATATAATATGTTATAGATTCTCTTACCTCAAGAACAGAACCAATAAAAGGTAGATAGCCTAGAAAGTGAAATATTATGGATGTAGAGAATTTATTAGAAATGGCTACTTATGCAAATCTTGAAACAAAGTGTATCTTTTCTTGTTTCTACATCTATGTGTGTTCTCATGTAATCATCTATATTATGCTTTTTAAAAGCACTCCTGAAGGCTTACTTACCTTGGAGTAAGAAATGTATATGTTTATAGTGGAGAAGGAGCATGGTCAAACAACTACTTCTGATAATGCTCAGTAGTTTTTTTGAGACAGGATCTTGCTATGTTGCCCAGAATGGTCTTGAATTCCTGTGCTCAAGTGATCCTCCCACCTCAGCCTGGGGATAGCTCAGATTACAGGTGCTTGCCACTGTGCCTGGCTACCCTCAGTAGTTTTTTAAAAAGCATCACTGAATTCTCATCAGCTGATTTGAAGAGAAAGACAGTGGGGTCAGGAAGAATTCACTCTTTGTAGCTTTCGAACCTGCATCTATATATGTAGTACATAAAAATGTTCTTAATGATCTCAAATTGTCCAAATAAATTTTATGATTAACTTCAGTTTAAGGAAACAGGACAACTTAAAAAAAGTTTTTTTACAATCATTTCTATTAAAAATTGGAATTTAAAAGGTAGAGAAAGACTCAACATCTCTGGTACAAAGGAATAGTCTTAGCTATCTAGAAAAGTGAGTGATTCAGAACTCTTTTCCTCTTTGTTATGTATTTAATTTAGAAAGTACTTTACTTATTCCTTGATTTCCTTATTGAGTGTCTTATTCTCTGTTCATTTTAGTACTCTTTAGATCAGAAACTGAACTTTGTTTATGATTAAGTCTTTCAACTATTTAAGTAGGTTTTTATTCTTGAAGTCTTATTCAGAACAATTTTCCTTTTATGTGTATTAGTGGAAAGTATAAAAGATCAAAATCAACATACTGTGAACAAGCAATATGAAAAAGAGAGGCAAAGACTTGTTACTGGAATAGAAGAACTGCGTACTAAACTGATACAAATAGAAGCTGAAAACTCTGATTTGAGGGTTAACATGGCTCACAGAACTAGTCAGTTTCAGCTGATTCAAGAGGAGCTACTAGAGAAAGCTTCGAACTCCAGCAAACTGGAAAGTGAAGTAAGCTTGGAATTAACTGGATATATGTATTAACTTTTGAGCTAGAGCAAAGAGTATTATTTTAGGGTTTTATAAAAATTATATGTTTACATACAGATTTAAAGTTTTTTAAAAATGGTAGTATGTAAGTTATAAATTATTTTAAGATTATATTTGGAAACCTTTGTGTTTTAACTTATGTTAAAAGTAGGAAAAACTCTGTAGTGGGTAAAAGATCTCAAATTTGGTGGAAATAATATTGCGTTGCAGCCTATTATTTCTTCCATAGGATAAATTAATATAGTTAATACACATTTCCAAATAAAAACTTTGGATTATGCAGTTGGAAGAAAAAGAGTGATAATAAAGGATTTAAAATTTTAGCAAACCCCAAACTTTCTAGGAAGCCTGTTTAATATGCATGTTTCTGGGTCCTGTTCCAGCAAGTCTGATTCAGTATATATGGGCACAAGAGTCTGCTTTTTTATTCCTTTTTCTTTTTTTTTTTGTTATTGTTCTGTTGCCCAGTTTGGAGTACAGTGTTATGATCATATCACACTGTAAGTTTGAACTTCTGGGCTGAAGCCATTCTCCCACCTTAGTCTTCCAAGTAGCTGGGACTGCAGGCATGTGTCACTATGTCCAGCTATTTTTTTTTTTTTTTGTAGAGACAGTTTCACTGTGTTGCCCAGGCTGGTCTTGAACTCCTGTCTCAGGCAATCCCCATCTCAGTAGCCCAAAATGCTGGGTTTACAGGTGTGAGCCACCACACCTAGCCAGAATCTGTAGTTTTATTTTTTGTATATTTCTACTGTTTAAAGAATCTGTATTTTTAAACAACCGCATGTAAACCTGATACAAATACACAAGGAATTACATTCTGAAAAGGGGATAATGAGTGGTTTGTGAATATCTTGTCTTCATTTTCACTGAGGACAGGATGAGGGTGTCTCATTAGGATAAGAGTGCCCAGGGCCGCATGTGTGTATCTTCTGCTCAACTTTCAAACCAGAGGCTGCAGTCTTCTATAGGTATACTTTTTAAATACCTGCTTTCTCAGCTAAAAGTCTGTAGTCAAGGCTGAGGAAAAGAGCTGTAAGATAGGAACTTGTGTTAATAATGGAGATGGAGATTTAGACAGTCTACAATTATAGCTACCAGCTTACTTAGAAAATTGCGAAATATTGGGATTAATAACTTTTTTAAATTATAAAAATTACACAGTCTTGTTAATATAAAAGGGGAAAAGGAGAAAATGAACCATTGGTAATTCTACCACCAGAAATAACTGCTGATAACATTCTACTATACTTATTTCAGTCTTTAACAGCTACTTTAAAAATTAGATTAGGGTATTGTCCTTTTTGGTATGGGGTCTGAGTTAAATTACTTATATTTTACATAGGTATTAGAAGTGATTCTTTGTTTTCACTTTGTTTTTCTTCTAAATTGTTGTTTATTTTTTTAAGTACTTATGTGGATTAAAAAGTTATTCGCTTTGCATCCTAAATGTTTGTAACTTTAAGTTTGCCCAATTTATCTAGACACAATGTATTTGAACTTTGAAAAGAGGAGCAGGTGTTTGAGTTTAGGATGTAAAGGCATTACCTTTAAAAAATAATTTTACATTTATTTCAATGTGTTTTCAGATGACAAAGAAATGTTCTCAACTTTTAACTCTTGAGAAACAGCTGGAAGAAAAAATAGTTGCTTATTCTTCTATTGCTGCAAAAAATGCCGAACTAGAACAGGAGCTTATGGTAAAACTTATCTTTGTTACTACAAATTTACTGTGACTTTTAAGCACTTAATTTGTGACAGCATATTTGTTTTAGCATTGTTATTACTAAATACCATATAGGAAAGTATAAATTCTACTAAACTCTTCCCTGATCATTTCTTGTTTATATTTTTAAGTTAATAGGCTTATATGGCAAGTCATTATCCAAGTTTTCTCATTTTTGTCCTAATCGAATTGAAGATAATGGTAGTTCTTTAATATGCTTCTTCATATTTAAAATAGTTTAATCTTCTCATCTCGATAAAATACTTTTAACTATTTTGTTAAAATTTGAAGTATAAACTACTGTGGTCTTTGAAGAATGCATTATGACATATTTAATGCTTGACTAATGTACTTTTATTTAAAACTGCTTTTCAGTTATGCTTTTTTTGAGACAAAGTCTCACTCCGTCGTTCAGGCTGCAGTGCAGTGGCACAATCATGGCTCACTACAGCCTTGGCCTCCAAGGCTCCCACCTGAGCCTCCCCAGAAGCTATGACCACAGGTGCATGCCACCACACCTACCTAGCTAATTTTTTGTATTTTTTGTGAGATGGGGTCTTTGCCATGTTGCCCAGGCTGGTCTTGAACTCCTTGGCTCAAGCGATCTACCTGCCTTGGCCTTTCAAATCAATTACACTCTTAAAGTGTTTTGTGTTTCTAGGAAAAGAATGAAAAGATAAGAAGTCTAGAAACCAATATCAATACTGAGCATGAGAAAATTTGTTTAGCCTTTGAAAAAGCAAAGAAAATTCACTTGGAACAGCATAAAGAAATGGAAAAGCAGATTGAAAGAGTAAGTAATACATATTTAGAATATGAGTACTGAAAAGAAACTTAAACATTACTAGCCTAGCACTTTTAATTTTGTTGATGAGGACACAAAGACACACAAAAGTTAGCGGCAATAGTTGTAATTAGGATCCCAGTCTTTCTGAATAATTTTTCAATGCTTTAAACAAATATAGTATGCCTTCTGTTTCAGCTGTAATCATTATTTTTGACATTATTAAAGTAAGAGTAATTCTGTAGTCTCCATTTCCCTAAAAATATCGGTTGCTTGAAGATTGAGAGGAAAAAGCAAAATAATAGAAGCACTCTTGACCTTGGCTTAAATGTAGAAAAGAAAATGTAAGACCAAAAATGCAAGACAAAGTAAAAGAAAAAAAATAAATACAGTAATCCCCGGTTATTCATGGGAGGCACATTCTAAGACCTTCATTGGCTGCCTGAAACCATAGATAGTACTGAATCCTATATATTTTTACCTATATATACATACCTATTATAAAGCTTAATTTTAGGCACAGTAAGAGATTAGAAACATACTAATAAAATAGAACAATTGTAACAAAATACTGTCATAAAAGTTATGTGAAAACTTGTTCTTATAAAAGTGTGTTCTCTCTTATGCCTAGTGCCTCCTTTGCACTTTTATGATTGTAAGTTCTATGGGTCATCTTCTTTTAGAACAGCCTAGTTTTGCTCCAATGAAGACTTGCTTTGGATAGTATCTTTTCTCCTTAGTCAGCTTCTTCATCTCTGCTGGAAATGTGGCAGCAGCTGACTCATGAACAGACACAGCTTCTCCAGTGATTTTAGTATTTTTCAGTCTAAACCTGTTCTTGAATCTGTGTAATCATCCCTTATTTGCAGTAAATGACTTGGTATCACTTTTTTCAGGGGATCCTTGCTGAAGTCTTAATATATACTCAATACTTTATAGTGTAACACATTGTAGTCAGTTGTAACATGTTTTCTGCTAATGTCTTCTACCTACAAATTTAATGCCTTTTCTATTTTACCTAAACACTTATTATGCATTGTGGTTGTAATTTTTGTAGTCTGAGGTGCAACTGCCATACTTGCATGAATTTATTTTTCTTTCTTCACAGTTTCATGGATAGATTTGTTCTTATTGTAGATCTTAGCAACTTCAGCATGCAGTTTTTTTCTTTCCTTATTAAGCCAAGAGCCTTCCCCATTTCACTTAAAGGAAGCATGCTATGTCTTCTCTTTGACATATCGAAATTGATAGCATCACTACTCTTTTGCTTTGGGGCCATTATTAAGTAAAATAAGAGTTTCTTGAACACAGCACTATGATACCATGGCAGTTGATATGATAACCAAGATGGCTACTAAGAGACTAACAAGCAGGTAGCTTATATACAGCGTGGATATGCTGGAAAATTGATCATTCTTGTTCAGAGCTGGACACAGTGGGACGTCATGAGATTTAATCACACTACTCAGAACAGCATGCAATTCAAAATGTATGAATTGTTTATTTGTGGAATTTTCCATTTAGTATTTTCAGACCAGGGTCGGCTGTAGGTAGCTGAACTGTGGAAAGTGAAACCACACATACCACAGAGGCTGCTGTAATTTGGATGGGCTTAGAGAATATTTTTGCTGGATATAAAATAGACAGTTTTTTTCTCTTTCAGCATTTAAAAAATGTTGTTCTGTCTTCTTACATCCATACTTTTTGATGAGAAATCTGCAGTAATTTTAACATTTGTTCCCTTAAATGTAGTATCATTTATCTCTGGGTGCTTTCAAAGTTTTTCGTTTTAGTTTTTGGCAAGGATTTTGATGTGTCTAGAAGTAGTTTGGAAGAGAATGGAATAGACAAGAGGAAAAAGACAGTGAACTTGAATGTAGATTAATGGATATTACTCAGTCTGAGCAACAGAGAGAAAATATTTCTTTCCAAGAAGTAAAAAGATTTATTAAAAAAATGATCAAAGCCTCAGGGACATATGGGGAAGGACCTATCAGAAGGTCTGATATTCTTGTCTTCAGAGTCAAAGGAGAGGATGAGATTGGTGCAGGAAAATATTTGAAGGAATAATGTCTGAAAATTTTACAAATTTGATGAAGGAACTAAACTTACAAAATTAAGGAAATCAACAAAATTTAAAAAAAGAAAAACTATGAGGATAACATTGAAGAAAACTACTTCTAGACACATCAAAATCCTTGCCAAAAACTAAAACGAAAAACTTTGAAAGCACCCAGAGATAAATGACACTGCATTTAAGGGAACAAATGTTAAAATTACTGCAGATTTCTCATCAAAAAGTATGGATAGAACAACATTTTTTAAATGCTGAAAGAGAAAAAAACTGTCTATTTTATATCCAGCAAAAATATTCTCTAGGAATGAAGGTCAAATAAAGACATTCTTAGATGAAGGACATCATAGAGAATTTGTCACCAGCAGACTTGTTCTAAAAGAAATGATAAAGTTCCTCACGGGGAAAAAAAAAACAAAAACAAAAAACTAATACCTGTGGGTAACTTGGGACCTCAGGAATAAAGGAAGTGCAACAAAAGCAGTAAATATTTGGTAAATATAGGATTTTTATAATCTCTATGGGAGTTGAAAGAAGAAATTTATAAAATTTACTGGTGAGGTATGTTGATATAATACGTGTGACAACTACAGAGTAAAGAGGGAGGGGTAAAGGGGCCTATATTTTTAGTTTCTACATTTTGGTTTTTTTCTTCAGCTTTTAACTTAAGGGGTACATGTGCAGGTTTGTTCCATAGGTAAACGTGTGCCATGGTGGTTTGCTGCACATATCATCCATCCCATCACTTAGATATTGAGCCTAGCATCCATTAGCTGTTCTTCCAGATACACCCCCTCTCTCATCCCACTCCCTGATAGGCCTCAGTGTGTGTTGTTCCTCCCATGTGTTCATATGTTCTCATCATTCATCTCCCACTTATAAGTGAGAACATCTGGTATTTGGTTTTCTGTTCCTGTGTTAGTTTGCTGAGGATAGTGGCTTCTAACTCCATCTGTGTCACTGGAAAGGACATAATCTCATTCCTTTTTGTGGCTACATAGTACTCCATAGTGTGTATGTACCACATTTTGTTTATCCAGCCTACCTATGGGCATTTAGGTTGATTCCATATCTTTGCTATTGTGAATAGTGCTGCAGTGAACATACACATGCATGTATCTTTATAATAGAATGATTTACATTCCTTTGAGTATATTCCCAGTTATGGGATTGCTGGGTTAAATTGTATTTCTGCCTCTAGGTCTTTGAGGAAACACCACACTGTCTTCCACAATGGTTGAACGAATTTACACTTCCATCAGCAGTGGTAAAAATGTTACTTTTCTCTGTAACCTCTCCATTGTCTGTTGTTTTTTGAGACGGTATCTCATTGTGGTTTCAATTTGCATTTCTTGAATGATCAGCGATGTTGAGCTTTTTTTATTTTTTTTTTGTATGTTTGTTGTCCACATGTATGTCTTCTTTAGAGAAGTGTCTGTACTTATCCTTTGCTCACTTTTCAATGGGGTTGTTTGTTTTTTTCTTGTGAGTTTGTTTAAGTTCATTGTAGACTCTTGATTTGGTTCTGTTTATGTGATGAATCACATTTATTGATTTGTGTATGTTGAACCAACCTTGCATCCTGGGGATGAAGTCAACTTGATTGTGGTGGATAAGCTTTTTGATGTGCTGCTAGATTTGATTTGCCAGTATTTTATTGAAGATTTTTGCATTGATGTTCATCAAAGATACTGGCCTGAAGTTTTCTCTTTTTGTTGTATCTCTGCCAGGTTTTGGTATGAGGATGATGCTGGCGTCATAGAATGAGTTAGGGAGGAATTCCACCTTTTCAATTATTTGGAATGGTTTCAGTAGAAATGATTCCAGCTCTTCTTTGTGCCTCTGGTAGAGTTCTGCTGTCGTTGGTCTGGTCTTGGGCTTTTTTTTGGTTGGTAGGCTATTTATAACTGCCTTTATTTTAGAACTCATTATTGGTCTATTCAGAGATTAAATTTCTTCCTGGTTCAGTCTTGGGAGGGTGTCTGTGTCCAGGAATTTATCCATTTATTTTAGATGTTCTAGTTTATGTTCATAGAGGTGTTTATAAGTATCCTCTGGTGGTTGTTTGTATTTCTATGGGGTCAGTGGTGATATCCCCCTTATTTCTGATTGTGTGTGTTTGATTCTTCTCTCTTTTCTTCTATATTAGTCAAGCTAGTGGTCTGTTTTATTAATTTTTTCAAAAAAAACAGCTCCTGGATTCATTGAGTTTTTATTGTAGGGTTTTTCATGTCTCTGTCTCCTTCAGTTAATCTCTGATCTTGATTATTTATTGTCAAAAAAGATATATGAATAGAAAATAAGCATGTGAAAATATGATAAACATGGTCATTTGGGAAATGTGATTTGGAAGTACAGTGAAATACCACCGCATTCCTATTAGAACACTGAGACAGAAACTAGGAATAGCAAACGTTGGCCAGGATGCAAATCAATTGGAATTCCCATAAACTACCAGGAATGCCAAATGGTACAACTACTCTAGAAAACAATTTGATGTTTTCTTATAAAGTTCAACATACACTTAGCATACGGCCCATTAATTCTAAATATTTATTCTAGACAGATGAAACTTAGTTTACACTAAAACTCATATGCAAATGTTTGTAGTAGCATTTCTCATAATTGCCAATAACTGGAAACAACCCAGTGTTCTTCATTTGGTGAATGGATAAACAAACTATGGTACCTTTGTACAATGGAATACTGCTCAGTAATAACAAGGAATTTGTTGATACAGGCAAAAACATGGGTGAATCTCCAAAGTATGCCAAGTGAAAGAAAGCCAATTTCAAAATGTTATATACTGTATAGCTGTCCATTTTATACCATCCATCTACTGTTCATTTCTGTGGCATTCTGAAAAAGTTAAAAGCTATCATTTGGAGAGCAGAAGAAAAAGAAAAAACATGTACTGTATATAAATTAATTTTTTAAAAACCCTGCAACCTAGAATTATTGTTAAAATCTTGCTATATATCTTCTGGTTTCCCACTATCTTTGCAGTTTTACATGTATATAATACACATATATCCACAAACACACATAAACATAATTTTTAGTAGCTGATTTTCACAGATGGTTATCATTTGAGTTACTCCTGTTTTTCAGAATAATGACTAATTTTTTTTTTGATTTTATAAAGGTATTTTTTCATATTTTAGATTATTTTATGATAGACTTTCAAAAGTGATATTACTGATTTATAAGATAAAAAATTTTTTTCGCTGGGTGCGGTGGCTCAAGCCTGTAATCCCAGCACTTTGGGAGGCCAAGGCGGGTGGATCACGAGGTCAAGATTGTGATCGAGACCATCCTGGTCAACATGGTGAAACCCTGTCTCTACTAAAAATACGAAACATTAGCTGGGCATGGTGGCACGTGCCTGTAATCCCAGCTACTCAGGAGGCTGAGGCAGGAGAATTGCCTGAACCCAGGAGGCGGAGGTTGCGGTGAGCCGAGATCGCGCCATGGCACTCCAGCCTGGGTAACGAGTGAAACTCCGTCTCAAAAACCAAAAAAAAAACAAAAAACAACAACAAAAAATTTTTTTTCAACTTTTTTTTTTTCCTGATGAATTCTACCAGGATTAATGAGGGTGGCAGAAATTCTAGGAAGATACTGTATTTGAAATGTCAAATATTGAAGACCTGCAGAGAATTGGCAAGATGTGTCTGTCAAAGGACCTCCCTGATAATTGATGAGTCAGATCCTATGAAAATCTATGGTCATAACATAATTTAATCTTGTTTACTAATAAAATTTCTTTTAATGTAGTCGTGTCTTCGGAGAAATTTCTGAAGTTACTAAACCGTCTTTTTAATGATTTTTTCTATTGGACTTCATCTCCATACCTTAAATTTTTTTCCTTTGTTTAATAGAACTCAGAATTCCAAAATTTATTTTTTTCATTATGGTGGAAAGGTTAACTTGCAAATGTTCCTTTTTCTAGAATATCTTAAGTTGCTTTAAAGCCCTCTAATTTTTGATGTGTTATTTGATTGTTTTCAGAGTTCCTTTCTTTTTTTTTTTTTTGAGACGGAGTTTCACTCATGTTACCCAGGCTGGAGTGCAATGGCGCGATCTCGACTCACCGCAACCTCCACCTCCTGGGTTCAGGCAATTCTCCTGCCTCAGCCTCCTGAGTAGCTGGGATTACAGGCACGCACCACCATGCCCAGCTAATTTTTTGTATTTTTAGTAGAGACGGGGTTTCACCATGTTGACCAGGATGGTCTCGATCTCTTGACCTCGTGATCCACCTGCCTCGGCCTACCAAAGTGCTGGGATTACAGGCTTGAGCCACCGCGCCCGGCCTCCTTTCTTTTAATATATATAAATATTTTTTGAGACAGGATCTTGCTCTGTCACCCAGGCTAGAGGGCAGTGGCACTATCATGGCTCACTACAGCCTCAACCTCCCAAGCCAGGCGATCCTCCTGCCTCAACTTCCCTAGTAGTTGGGACTACAGGCAAATGCCGCCATACCTAGCTAATTTTCGTAGCGACAGGGTTTCGCCATGTTGCCCAGGCTAATGTCAAATTCCTGTGCTGAAGTGATCCACCTGCCTCAGCTTCCCAAAGTATTAAGATTACAGGCATGAGCCTGCACCCTGCCTATTTTAATATTTTTTAGTTATCCCTGTTTCTGTCATACTCTTGTTATATGGGAGTATGTATGTGTGATACAGATCAAAAGATAAAACATTAATTTTATACTTCTGTTTATATAATATATACATACATACTCAGTAATTTCCTATTTTGTCTTCACAAACTTTTTTTGACAGTGTCAACACCAACTATTGGTGAAGTTATGAGGAATGAGAATTCTTTTATTTCTAATGGGGCACTTTGAAGAAAAATACCTAATGAAGTTGGAAATGTACATATCTTACAACTAGGAAGTTTATTTCTAGGTGGTGTGTTTTAGAGGAATTCTTACACATGTACATAAAAAGACATATATAAAGACATATATTATTATAGCACTATTGTAATGGTATGTAGTTATAATATCTAACTGTTCCTGAGTATAAGAGTAGACACTTTATTTTTACAATAGAATAATGTACTTACATTAAAGTAAATGAACTAGATCCACATATATCAACATGGATGAATGTCTATAACAATATTGATTGGAAAAAGCAGATTGCCAAAACTTAGAGGTGTTGATATCTATGTAAAACTTCAAGATGGAAAACTACATATTGTTCAAGAATATTTTGTAAAAGCACACAAAACATGTATGAGGATGCTACAGACTTTCAGCATAGCATGGGTGAGGGAGGAAAGGGAGAAGAGATAGGCATGTGATTTCATTTCTTCCTTAAAAAGAGAGAAGCTGAAGACAATTTGGCAAAATACAGAAATTACATAATTTCAGTTGTAGTTTCACATGTATTTAATATTTAAAATGTTTCAAAATTTTAAAATATTTAATATGAAAATTCTGTTTTCATGTTTAGCTTGAAGCTCAACTAGAGAAAAAGGACCAACAATTTAAAGAACAAGAAAAGACCATGTCCATGTTGCAACAAGATATAATATGCAAACAGCATCATCTTGAATCACTAGATAGACTCTTGACGGAAAGCAAAGGGGTAAAATCATCCTTATAAACGTGCTATTTAAAAGTTGACTAATATTTTATATTTCTATAACTTGCCTTTAAATCTAATCACATCAGTTAACAGTCTGTTACTAATGCTAATATTTGCATACTTACATTTTTCTTACTGATCTGTATGTTGTCAGGAAATGGAAAAGGAAAATATGAAGAAAGATGAAGCTTTAAAAGCATTACAGAATCAAGTATCTGAAGAAACAATCAAGGCTAGTATGCTAATATTTTAATTTATTTTTCTTTATTTCCTTTTTTTTTTAACAGACAGAATCTCTCATTTGCCTAGGCTGGAGTGTAGTAGCATGACAGTAGCTCACTGCAGCCTTGAACTTCTGAGCTCAAGTAATCCTCCCACATCAGCCTCCTGAGTAGCTAGGACAAGCGTGCTCCAACATGCCTGGTTAATTATTTATTTCTTTTTGGAGACATTCTTGTGATGTTTATCTGTATGAGATTCAGACTTTCAAACTCTGTTCAAATAAGAAATTGAACAGAGTAATGGATGCTTATCTGTATGAGATTCAGTCTTTCAAGCTCTGTTCAAATAAGAAATTCAGCAGAGTAGTGGATGCTTTGGGTTTTTATTGTTTATTAGCTATAATTAATTAATTTCTAATTTATTTTTTAAAATTTTAGACCCACAAAATATTGAAAGAATAGTGTACTCCTCACCTAGATTCACTCTCTGTTAAATTCTAGGTACACTTACTTTATCTCTCTCTACACATACACATGCATGCATGCTTGTGTGTATACCTACCAACCTACTTCCTTTTTCCCAAACCACCTGAGAGAAGGCTACTGATGTCATAATGCTTTACCCCTTTAATACTTAATATGTATCTCCTTTGAACAGAAAATTTCTCCTATGTGGCCACACCACCACTACACTACAGAGAAAGTCAACATTAATTCGGTAATATCATTCAACACTGTCCGTACTATGATTTCCCCAGTTACTTAAAAATGTCCTTTATAGCCTTGCTATTCAAAGCATGGTCTGTGAACTAGCAGCATCAGCATCACCTAGAAGCTTGGGACATTTGCACAATATCTAGCCATACCCTAGAACTGGGACTAAAGTGAACCAAGTAAGATGACACAAAATTTAATGAGATACTCAAGATGATATACCTTATGTAAGGTGATAACTGCCAGATCTCATTATTTTAAGGGCATATATTTTCATTGATAATTAGCAAACAAACTGGGGTGAGTCTTTGAGGCCATGTGAATGTCCTGTCCCTCAATAACCTTATAATAAATGGTTTTAATATCTAAATGATGAATCTTGCCTGAATGAGTTATTACACGTTAACTATCAGGTAGTGATATTCTGACAGAATCATAGATTTTTATTTATTTTTTTCTCTGTATGGAGGATGATACAAGTCCCAATGCCCATTCTCTTTCATAAAAAATAATTTATAAGTACTTATAATTTTCACAAAACAAATGTTAATTAAAAATGATTACTAAGGCAACAGTTTATTAACAAAGATAGTCATTCAGAGTTACAGATTTTTTAGCTGTTATTGGTTTCATACACAGACTAAAAGGGTGTTCAAAAACTGTATCTTATAAGATTTCCTTCTTAGAAATAAGAGTGGCAAAGATAATTTCTGAATGTAGAATAGAATCTGCAAGAGAGAATGTTTTTCTCATTTTTTCATCTGCTAAGAAATCGGAGATTTCTTTCACTTTTTCAAGACTGCCTACTAGAACATTATTAGTATTAAAAGGGAAAACACCATGGAGAAGCTCAAATTTACAATAAGGAAAACAAAGAGCTAGACAAGAATCTTATTAATATGGGATGTGGGGCATGTATGCAATATGTGGGCCATGAACTAAAAGTACGGAATTTGAGTTGCTCTTTGGTATTAAGGTAGTAAAGCAGTGGCAACTATATGAACACTTGGACCAAGTTAAATTGCTGCCTTTCTGAAAATATTTTCACAGTTTCAAAGCAAAGAAGGTTTCACTCCTTTTTTCCTAGCTGACAAAAAGTTCTCTTTTCTTAGTAACTTCATCATTTAAAAATATTCTCACTTAAGGCCAGTCACTGTGGCTCATGCCTGTAATTCCAGCACTTTGGGAAGCCAAGGCGGGTGGACAGGAGTTCAAAACTAGCCTGGCCAACATGGCAAAACCCGGTCGCTACTAAAAATACAAAAATCAGCCAGGTGTGGTGGTACATACCTGTAATCCCATCTATTCAGGAGGCTGAGGCAGGAGAATCATTTGAACTTGGGAGGTGGAGGTTGGAGTGAGCCAAGATCACACCACTGTACTCCAGCATGGGTGACAGAGCAAGACTTTGTCTCCAAGAAAAAAGAATTCTCACGTAAGCATCATTAACAGTATGCTAGTTTGTACTCACTTTCCTATTTTTCCTATTCAAGGAGACTTAAGAAGTAGGCTTCAATAGTACTTCCTTTAAAGAAAAGGTTTTAGAGTGTTTGGCCTACAGATTCTTGACAGTTGGTCCCAGTTTGTCTTGTCTGTTGTGGCTCCCAAATAACTATTTCCTACAAATTCATCTTCTTACTATCCTAAGCTCTTGCCTACTTCTCACCATTTCCTTTTACAGGGCCTTGTTTCTGAGGATACTACTCCCTGTTCTGGGAATCCCTTCTCAACTTGTCCAACTTTTGTTTATTCTTCAGGATTCTATCCCCTGGTTTTTTCTTTGGTTTCCTCATTTGCAATGAAGAATTAGTTTTCTCAATAAATATCTTCTATAATGGCATTTTATATCTTAAATGGGAATGTATATTCACTCTTCGAAGCAGTGAGGTAACATTAGGAGATAATCTGTAAAATATTGAGTATATTGGTTGTGGTTTTTTTTTTTTTTTTTTTTCCTTTTTTTTCCTGCTTAGGTTAGACAACTAGATTCAGCATTGGAAATTTGTAAGGAAGAACTTGTCTTGCATTTGAATCAATTGGAAGGAAATAAGGAAAAGTTTGAAAAACAGTTAAAGAAGAAATCTGAAGAGGTAAATTAATATTTACTTTATATGTAGCATATATTTCAAGTGATTTTCTTTTTAAGAAGCATGAAACCTAGGATATATATATATATATATATATATATATATATGTTTTTGTTTTTGTTTTCTTTCTTTTGAGACATAGTCTCCCTCTGTCACCCAGGCTGAAGGGAAGTGTCACAATCTTGGCTCACTTGAACCTCTCCGCCTCCTGAGTTCAAGTAATTCTTGTGCCTCAGCCTGTGCAGCTAGGACTACAGGCGTGCACTACCATGCCTGACTAATTTTTGCATTTTTAGTAGAGATGAGATTTCATTTTGTTGGCCAGCTGGCCTTGAACTCCTGGCCTCAAGTGATCCACCCACCTGGGCCTCCCAAAGTGCTGGGATTGCAGGTGTGAGCCACTGTGCCTGGCCAAAAGTATATCTTTTATGTATCTGATATAAAAAAATATTTCTAATAAAATGTAAATTCCAATTTTATTTTCTTTAAGGAGCAAACATTATTTCAGTGCAAAATAAGATATACCTTAAAATTCTAATTCTTTTATTTATTATTTTAAGGAATCAGAAGAATAAATTATTAATATTACAGTCATTTCAATATAAAATTACATAACACTTCAAACATTGTTTTAGATTTAGAGGTTTAAACTCTTCAAGAATTTTTCATTTTGTTTTTGTTCTTTCTAGTTATCTGTAGGATTGAGAATTAACTTTAGAATTTCAACTTTTTTGAGAAGTTTCTCAAATACTGGATTGAAAACTTTTCTTGAACATCTAACTCATCTTTGTATGCTCAATTTGTAGCACTTTGGTTAGGCACTCACTAAACATTTGCTCAAATGGATAATTGTAATGAAGAATTTATTTATTTCTTTGTTAGAATTTATGATGTGTGTATTTTAAGCTTAAAATTTATTTTTAGAGGCCGGGCGCGGTGGCTCACGCCTATAATTCCAGCACTTTGGGAGGTCGAGGCGGGTGGATCACGAGGTCAAGAGATCGAGACCATCCTGGTCAACATGGTGAAACCCCGTCTCTACTAAAACTACAAAAAATTAGCTGGGCATGGTGGCGCGTGCCTGTAATCCCAGCTACTGAGGAGGCTGAGGCAGGAGAATTGCCTGAACCCAGGAGGCGGAGGTTGCTGTGAGCCGAGATTGCGCCATTGCACTCCAGCCTGGGTAACAAGAGCGAAACTCTGTCTCAAAAACAAAAAAAAAAAAAAAAAAAGAAAATTTATTTTTAGAAATGGTTCCCAATGAATCTTAATCAAGGTTGACTTTTGGCCACTTGTTGCTCACGCCTGTAAGCCCAGCACTTTGGGAGACCAAAGTGGGTGGATTACTTGATGCTGGGATTTCAAGACCAGTTTGGGCAACATGGCACAACCCCACCTCTACAAAAAAATAGAAACATTAGCTAGGTGTGGTGGTGCTTGCTCGTGGTCCCAGCTACTCAGGAAGCTGAGGTGGGAGGATCACTTGAGTCTAGGAGGTTAAGGCTGCAGTGAGCCATGATTGTACCACTGCACTCCAGCCTGGGCAACACAGTAAGACCCTATCTCAAAAAAAAAATTAATAATTATCAAGATTGACTTGAATATATCAGAAAGGTCCAATGAGAAAAACAGAAGCCCTTATATCTTTTAAATAGAGTGAATTTATACAGAGAATTAGATACACAGGTGATGAAAGGGTAGAGAAGCCAAAAAGTATACCACAGCGACTCAGAGATTATTATAAGCCAGGAACTGCTACCATTTTTAAGGTTAGAGGAACGTCAGGAAAAGATGATGTGATCATAGTCTAGAACTGGAGCTGGGGCCAAAGAAAAAGGGTCTTTCTAATGGGACCTGGGGTAATAGAGGAGGAGCACTGCAGCTACTAGCCATTCCAATTGGCCAAACCTATTTGTAATCTAGAGGGCAAAGGAGGCCAAAAAATGCAGTTTCCTGCAATACATAGAGCAGAGCAGGGGAAAGGTATAGGTAGATCTAAGAGTAAATATGTAGTTGACCAGCACTCCAGACTTAGGTGACCAAGTAATTATATAGTCTTAGAAATTTAAAAAAAAAAAACTTCAGATTTTATACAGTCATGTCTTCTTCCCTCCACCTTCCCTTACGAAGGTTTTTATAGCATCTTTGACAGGCATCTATTTTTCTACTCCAATACATAGAAACTAAATCATCTAAACTGTATGTACTTTGATTTTTTAAAATAGGAATGTCAGTTTTTTTACTATGATCTTCTTTAAAGTAGTGTACAAAATATGTTATTTTGGCATTTATTCTACTGCCCATGCTCACATTATACTTCAGAGTGAATAGACTTGGCAGAGATGGGATCTACCTAGAGGTAGGCAACATTTGTAATAGGAGAATTTGTTGAGCTTTAGACTTTGCACTCATAGAAACATCATAGACTATGGTGGATAACAGATATTTACACACACAATAAATAGAACAATTCTTTTTTTTTTTTTTTTTTTTTGAGATGGGATCTTGCTTTGTTGCCCAGGCTGGAGTGCAGTGGTGCGATCTTGGCTCACTGCAACCTCAGCCTCCCAGGTTCAAGCAATTCTTGTGGCTTAGCCTTTCCAGCAGCTAGGATTACAGGCATGTGCCACCATGCCTGGCTCATTTAGAATGATTTTTAAAACAGCTGGATATATATCTAGGCTCAAATTGAATTAGAAACCAGAAGCAGTAATCAGGTATATTTGTCCAGACTAGAGAGTAAGTAATTTAAAAAGATTTACAAGCGCATTTATTGCCAATCATTAGCTCAACTGCACATGCATTGGCTTGCTTACTTAAAAGATCATATGTCACATGTTCATGTGTATTGATAAAAAACATGGAGAAGAATCTAAGTACTACTTACTATTGACTTATTTGTCTTTACAGCAAATTATGTCTTACAGAGAAAATTCTTTCTAATGTTGGTTAATGTAATTAACACCTTATAACAGCAGAGTTGTGAAATTTTCATTATATATAGCTATATTTTAGAAACTCATTTCATTAATAGTGCATCCATTCTGTTAATAATAGGTGACATTATAAAGATATTTTTATCTTTTAAATCAGGGAATATGCCCCAATCATATAACTCACTGAATAATTAAGTGACCCTATGGCATATTGGTAGTAATTTAGCCAGCTGCAAAAACTACATGTTGATTACATGTTGCAAAAAGCTAATATATATTCCTCTGAGCTTTTGCCTCAGCCACATACTCTTTTCCAGATGCTTAAATATATTTATGATGAAAATAATACTTTGGGATTCTGAATTTTTGAAAGACATTTAATTTCATATTAAAATGTTTTTAACAGTGCTTTTAAAATGATAAAGTCATATGTTCATGCAAAATTACGTTGTCAACATGATAAAAGAAAGTAGATACAAAGTAGATGCGAATAAGCCGTGTTTTCTGCATACAGAATTTATTCAATAAAATCAGTTATTTCATTGATAAATATCTTCATTTAAATGGATGGACTTAGATTTTGAGAAGCTGACATCATATATTTCTGCATTATATTTTGCTTTTAAGCAACAATTCTGCATTATATTTTACTTTTAAGCAACAATTAAGCAACAATTATCTAGTGATACTAGATAAAGTTAAGTGTAAGGTAGATTTTATCTAAATTCTTTCTTATTTACTCCAATTAAAAATAGTAAGTACTCTGGGAATATAATAATACATTAGTAGAGAATATAATATAAAAGCAATTTGTTCTATATTTACTTTTAAACTAAAGCCAACTGGAAGTTAAAGGACAGTGCAATGAAATGTCAGTATAAGATTGATAGATATAGGTTATATTTTATAAATATTTGTGTTAACTAATATTAGGTATTTCAATATATGTAACTGAAATTTTGTCAGTGGCTAGATTACTGAAATAAAATTTTGTTGTTATTATGTGGTAAGGCTTTGTGTTTTGGTTAGATCTTATTTTTTCTTCTGTTTTGTCTTATTTTAATGTCTTGTTCATTTTTTTTCTCTGAATAGGTAAGTATGAGACAGGATGTTCCAATAAAGAAAAAAATAGTATTTAAACCTATCTTGCAGGCAAGTCAGTTCTATATAAAATAAACCACTGCAGAAGTGTGATCTGCAGGTTTTTTCAGGAGCTAAGAGAGAAAACAGAACAGGTGATACTGATACATATTTACACTAAATTATTTTCATACAGACAGAATTAAGCAAAACAGATTTGCATGAAAAGGGATTGTAATAACAGGATTAGAGATCAGTTAGTTGCCTGTTATATCCAGGGTTACTTCTAGTTTACATCATCATATAATGAAGAAATCTGAAAACTAGGAGCTTCTCATCATGAGCAAAGAATATTTGGCTCTGAAGGCCTTAATGTTCACCTGCTGGGATAGTTAGGAAAAAAAAAAAAAGCAAATTATGATTCTCTTCCACTATTTACTATAATGAGTTTTAAATTCCTTTTGGAATGATAATTATTGGAAAGATTGTTTGCTTTAAAGGAATGGCTTTATTTTCCTTCATTTAAAAATTTTATTACATAAGCAACAACAAGAAAACTTTTAAAGAACATTTACCTACAGCCCATTCTCTAATACTTCAGTTTTCATTTTTCTATTTACATTTATATTTTTCAAAATTATATTAATGAAATGTGATTTTTTAACTTTATAAATTTTTGTATGTTAACTGTTTTTAATTATTTAAATGGTTGCATCATTTTTAATCACATTGACAATCATCAAGGGATGATTATTACATCTTGATGTTATTAAATCTTCCATTCACTGTGGTAGATGAAGAATTATAAAATATATTTTAAATCGTGTTTTATTGTTGATACTATTTTTAAAATAATTTCTGCTTGTATATTTATTAGAGGACATCAACACAGGCTGCTCTCCACAGGTATAATGATGTACATTTTTTTTTTTTTTTTTTTGAGACAGAGTTTCGCTCTTGTTGCCCAGGCTTGAGTGCCACAGAATAATCTCAGCTCACTGCAACCTCTGCCTCTCGGATTCAAGCAATTCTCCAGTCTCAGCCTCCCGAGTAGCTGGGATGACAGGCATATGCCACCATGCTCGGCTAATTTTGTATTTTCAGTAGAGACAGGGTTTCTTCATGTTGGTCAGGTTGGTCTCGGACTCCTGACCTCAGGTGATCCACCTACCTTGGCCTCCCAAAGTATTGGGATTACAGGCATGAGCCACCTTGCCCAGCCTATTTTTCTTCTTAATAGGTGCTCTTGGATAACTTTAAAAGTATCTTTTAAAGCAATTTTGGAGACCATCATATTCGAGTCCTAAATATTTCGAGTAATTAGTGAAATTTCTTTAGTAACTAGTGTCATTCCTTTATGTGTTTTTTGGAGCATAAATATTCAGCAGTGCTTTGCTGGGATATTATTTAATAAACAATAACAGTAGCATCAAACATTATATAACGCTTTTATGGCTATAGTTTATTATTAGTAAGCGTGAAAGAATCAGGTGGAATGCAGATAAAACCATGGCTGCCTATGCTCTTCACTACTTCTGGGAAAGATCAAACAGAACATGCTCCTTTTTATACTTTTTATAGCAATGAAATGTAGCAACATCTGTTTCCACCTCGGGAAGCCTATTTATGACTCAAAGTTCAGGATTTTTTTTTTTTCTTTTTTTTTTTTTTTTTTTTAGGGGGGGGGGTTTTGCTTTTTTTACCCGGGCTGGGGGGCAATGGCCCGATCTCGGCTCACCGCAACCTCCGTCTCCTGGGTTCAGGCAATTCTCCTGCCTCAGCCTCCTGAGTAGCTGGGATTACAGGCACGCGCCACCATGCCCAGCTAATTTTTTGTATTTTTAGTAGAGACGGGGTTTCACCATGTTGACCAGGATGGTCTCGATCTCTTGACCTCTTGATCCACCCGCCTCAGCCTCCCAAAGTGCTGGGATTACAGGCTTGAGCCACCGTGCCCGGCGATTTTTTTTTTTTTTTTTTTTTTTTGAGATGGAGTCTTTCTGTAGCCCAGACTGGAGTGCAGTGATGCGATCTCGGCTCACTGCAACCTCTACCTCCCTGGTTCAAGCAATTCCCCTGCCTCAGCCTCCCAAGTAGCTGGGATTACAGGTGCATGCCACCATGCCTGGCTAATTTTTTTTTATTTTTAGTAGAGACAGGGTTTCACCATGTTGGCCAGACTGGTTTCAAACTCCTGACCTCAGGTAATCCGCCTGCCTGGGCCTCCCAAAGTGCTGGGATTACAGGTGTGAGCCACCGCGCCTGGTTTTGTCTGTTTGTTTGATTTTTGAGTTGAAGTTACACTCCTGTTGCCCAGGCTGGAGTGCAATGGCATGATCTCAGCTCAGTGCAACCTCTGCCCCCTGGATTCAAGTGATTCTCCTGCCTCAGCCTCCTGAGTAGCTAGGATTACAGATGCATGCCACCACGCCCAGCTAATTTTGTATTTTTAGTAGAGACGAGGTTTCTCCATGTTGGTCAGGCTGGTCTTGAACTCCTGACCTCAGATGATCTGCCCGCCTGGGCCTCCCAAAGTCCTGGGATTACAGGTATGAGCCACCACACCCGGCCAGTTCAGAGTTTTTAATAGGGACTTGTTGCATAGGATCAATGACCAGCCTACAAGTATCAAAAATTCCAGAATTCGAAAGGAAACCATGTTTCAGTTCCCCAGGCAGGCAAAACAACCTCATCATTTAGGAAAATTTTAAAAGCCAAATTTCCAGATACCCAACCAAGAGCCAATCCTATAAGCAGGTCCTTCTAATACATCTCCCCATGAGAAAAATGAAAGCTGCCCTTCCAATGACAAACTATAGACATGAATACAATTGTCCCATATGACAAAGATGGTTATCTGATAAGGAAGACAGCTTTGATATTTTATTGCCTTTTATTTGAAACTTTGCATTGTATTGAGATATACGTGTGTGTGTGTGTGTGTGTGTGTGTGTGTGTGTGTGTGTATTTGTAGGTATATTGTTTACAGAAAGAGCTAAAGATAAAAAATCACAGTCTTCAGGAGACTTCGGAGCAAAACAGTATTCTACAGCATACTCTTCAGCAACAGCAGCAAATGTTACAACAAGAGACAATTAGAAATGGAGAGCTAGAAGATATTCAAACTAAACTTGAAAAACAGGTATATATAATTAGCCCAAGATTGTTTTACTTGTATGAAAGAGAAATTTTTAAAATCACAAATAGACTTTCAGTTAGTTTTTTAAATTGCTGTTTGGCTGGATACTATGACTCATGCTTATAATTCCAACACTTTGGGAGGCTGAGGCAGGCAGATCACTTGAGGTCAGTAGTTTGAGACCAGCCTGGCCAGCATGGCCAAAACTCATTTCTACTAAAAATACAGAAATTAGCCAGCTATGGTGGCACATGCCTGTAACCCCAGCTACTCGAGAGACTGAGACATGAGAATTGCTTGAACCCAGGAGGCGGAGGTTGCAGTGAGTCAAGATCACACCACTATACTCCAGCCTGGGAGACGGTGTGAGACTCCATCTGAAAAAAACAGAAAACAAAAAACTGCTGTTTAACCTCAAGGATTTTGCCTTATAAGAAGTATTCTATATTAATATTGTAAAATAAAGTTCTATTCCTATGTAATCTGCCCTCCAACTCTTATAACAACTCTTATATGTTTGCCATTACATACAATTTATAATTCATACTTCTTTATTCAGTCTGTCTTCTTGTCTTCCTTTACCTAATCTGAATACCTATAATTTTTCCTTTTTGGATCAAGACATAGTGTATGATATTCCTTAGAGAAATGGCAAAGCAGTGCACTAAAAGAAAAATCCCAAGGGAAAATACCCCTGAAAGTTGTAAAACGAAAAATTATTGCTTACTTGATTGTAAGAATCCTAGATAATTTTATACTAGAATCTAATCTTTTTCCTTTAATTTATTACTGAATTTATCTGAATTCTTTAGATATTTTACATTTTTATTTTTTCTCTTTCAAAAGAAATCAAATTTACAGTAATGTTTAAATTAGAAAATGATCGTCCCCTGTAATCTTACTGTATTTTCCTTTTTTGTCATTTGTATGGTCTTTTATCTACTTGTTCTGAATTCATCCTCAGCCTGTCCAGTGGAACTAAACAATCTTCTTTTCACTGCATTTAAACACATCAGGCAGGTATTCTGTATTTTTTTTTTAGGAGACATCTCCTTGTGACTCTTCTTCCCTTTTGTTAAAATTTAGACCTACTGCTTACTGTGCCTGCTATACAGCTAAATGCTTCATCCTGAAGCGTTTCTTTTCTCATTTATGTTTGATTCCCACTTCCTACATCTTTTGTCATTGACTCTGTTTCTTGCAGGATTATGATTCTTGTTCCTTTTAAGGTGGTTTTCATTTCTATAATGGTTGTATTTTTGGGGTTTTTTTTTTTTTCCTTTTTTTTTTTTTTCTGTTACCAGTTCAATTGTATTTTTTATTTGGTGATTTTATTTCTTCGTGATCTTTGTTTTAAAAGATTTTGTGTTCTCATTAGCTTCACTGATGTCTATGGAAGTTTATGTCTAAAAATTTCTTCATTATTTGAAGTAAATTTTTTGACTACTTATTCTCTTTCTGCCTTTCATTCATATTCCACTATGTATAGGTTCCATTTTGCATCTTTAGATTTCTTTATTTAATTAATAATTGAGTAGGTAGATTTTCCTTGGCTCCTTTCTGTTTTTACCTGAGTAGTGTTTTAATTTTTTTCTTGGAACTTGAGGTGGAGGGGTGGATATTAATGGGGTTTTTTTTGTTTTGTTTTGTTTTGTTTGAGACAGGGTCTTACTCTGTCACCCAGGCTGGAGTACAGTGACATGATCACAGCTGAGTACAGCCTCGACTTCCCTGGGCTCAGGTGATTCTCCCATTTCAACCTTCTGAGTGTGTGCCACCATGCCCAGCTAATTTTTTTTTTTTTTGTAAAGACAAAGTTTAACCATGTTGCCCAGGCTGGTCTCGAACTCCTGGGCTTAAGTGATCCGCCCTCCTTGGCCTCCCAAAGTGCTGGGATTATAGGCGTGAACCACCACACCTGGCAAGATATTAATGGCTTGTAATGTATATTTAGTTCTTCAGTGAGGGATTTTAGAAGAGCAGGAGGAATATTCAGGTTACAATTGAGAGCTTAACTTTGAGACCACAGCCATATAAATATTCATGAAGACATGGAGTGACTGAGATTACCTAGGGAGAGAATATAGAATGAGAAGGAAGAAGATTGACTTGGGCAGATCCCTGAGGGATGTGATACATGGAAGCCGAAGTAAGTATTTCATTAAGGAAGGAAGGAATGTTGGTGTCTTGGGCTGTTAGAATTAATGTCAAGTAAAATGAGGGTTGGGAAATGTCCATTGGAATTAGCAACTTGGAAGTCACTGGTGATGTAATCCCTATTTCTGTGGAATGGCCTCTGGCTATGGGTTGAATGAGAAGTGAGACAGTGATACAACAAGCATAGAAAACTTTGAGAATTTGGACTATACATGGGAGGAAATAAAGGATGGTAGGTAAAGGGAGGTTGAGGTCTGAAGAAAAGCTTTTTACAGTTGGGAAAGTCTTGAACATGTTTAAGTGCTAATATTAAAAAAAAAATAGAGAGACTGAAGATAGATGGAAAGAGGAGATAATCGTAGGAAGTTCCTGAAAAAATTGGTAGGAATTAAATCCAGAACACCTATGAAGTAGTTTGGCTTACATAGGAGGAAAAATACCTCCTTTATTATAGTAGAGTAGAGAAAGAATGAATAGGAACAAATTCGAGTTACGATGGCAGCAAATATAAATTGTAACATTTGAGATCATGTGGAAATCTAGGAATGTGTTGAATGAGCCAATTTGTGAAGAAAAGAAAGGAGCAGTTTGGTAAGAGAAGAAAGAGCATTTCAAATGGGGATAACGAAAAGAGGAACATTTACTGTCATTTTGTTCAATTATTATAGCACTTTAGTGTTATGATGTGGCTACTTCCCTACATAGTAATATGTATGTAAAGTATCTTTATTATTAGAAAGTAAGCCTTGCTTTTATATTTTCAAAATATTACTTCTTGGTTTGTATGTTGATTTTTATGATACATCTTGAAACTGATAAGCTAGGCTAGGTTACATATTTATAAAGGTATTTTTCTTCTGAATTTAAAATGTTTACTGAAAACTGCTTTAAAAGGTGTCAAAACTGGAACAAGAACTTCAAAAACAAAGGGAAACTTCAGCTGAAAAGTTGAGAAAAATGGAGGAGAAATGTGAATCAGCTGCACATGAAGCAGATTTGAAAAGGCAAAAAGTGATTGAGCTTACTGGCACTGCCAGGTAAAATGTCAATATATTTTATTTACCTTCCCATTTCAATTCAGTGGTATCTGAGTTTCAAAATCAAATAATGTTCAGTGGAGCATTTGCTTGAGGAATTAATGTCTCCATAGTCTGTGTTCCTTTTGTATTTTGTTTGTATTTCCCTCACATCTCTCATTATGCTTTTTCTGTATTATAGTTTAATACTTTTAACCTTCCTACTATAAGTTTCTTAAGACAAGGATCATATCTGGTTTATTTTAGAGTCTTACACAACAACTGGCACAGTTCTTTATACCTCATAGGCACTCAGCAAATGTTAATTGTGAATATCATTAAAAGTAGTAAGCAAAAATGTAAATGTACTCGCATAGAGGAAACTTTTAGGTGATCCAATTATATAGGGGAAGAGTGACAATATAAAAGTGGTTCTCAGCCTTTAGTGAATATTAAAATCACCTCAGGAGTTTGTAAAAAAAAAAAAAAATACTGATGCCTGGCTCCCACTTTTAGATTAAATAAAACCTAAAGATTCTGATTTAATTTGGCTAGGCTGGTCCCAGGCATCGATATTTAATTGATCAAGAGAGGAACTCATGAGCTGAAATCTGTACCTAGCCTCTTCAGATCTCTTCTACTTTGTCATGAAGAATTGACATAATTTATAATATAATCAACCCACCCTTCTACCAACAGGAGTCAAAAGTGAACTTTTGCACTGGAACTAAAACCACATGTTCCCAGGTTCCCTATCCTCCATTGACAGGGGTCCTTTGTGCTCAAAGGACCAACTTGCTTCCTCAGATGTCCGTCACCCTCTCAACAGAGTTGAGGGCATCCCATGTTTAAGGCTAAGACCAAAATTTTTCAGATCTTCTTTCTTCCATTGACAGATGTTCTATTCACTAACATGGCCTCACCACTAATGTCCACCTTGAGTCTGTGAAGACTGATTACATTATCACTTTATCCTTGTTTATGCCAGATACCACAAGAAGCCCTAGATTTCCAGGTCAGCCCTCATATCTCACACAAATTCCCAAAAGGCTCTCCACACATTCTGTTTCTTTCTCCAACCCCATCCCAACTTCTGAAAGACTTCTACTGTGCCTTTTGAACTTCATAATTCTTTCTCTATATTACTACTTTTTCTTTTTTCTTGCTGTAATAGAAACCTGACCCTCCCTTAAGGACATTACTTCTTCCCCTGTAAACTTCTGAAGTAAAAAACTTTTCCCTATATAGCTCTTGTACCACAGGGTTCAGGCTACGTGTGAAGTATATACTATTCTCTGTGAACCTCATGCCATCAGAACCCTCACTTGTCCTGATTTCTGTAGACCACCTGACTTACTGTTGCTTTCTCCAGCATCACTTCTGTCACTCTTCCTGGTGATTTCAATATACATCTGAAGTTTGATCCTTCTGACACCTTGGCTTCTCAATTATAACGGTTTCTGTACTCTAATGATCCTGATCTTTAACATAACCCCAGCGACTTTGTCCCGTGGGATTTATCAAGTGCTGAAAATTTAAATCAAAACCAAACAAAAAACTTTTTGGTGGAAAATTTCTAAAATACATATTTTCTTGGCATTTTTACTTTCCCTGGGTATCTCAGGGTTATCATTATATATATCTTGCTAAAATGTAGTCATACCCTAATGAAACTTTTGAGGCATATACAGTTCTATTTTTTATAAAATGTCTGTAGGCTACTAATGCTTTTTGAGTCCTTGTATATATTTTCTATAATTTTCCCCTAATTCCTTTGCTGACAAGCTGTCTGTTCATAGCTCTGTATGCCAACTTCTTTTGATTATTCTTTTATAATCTGTTTTACATCTACTTTAATAATAGAGCTAATTGGTCAAGGTAAAAATTCTTTACTTGGGATTTTAGAAATGTAAAAGTGTCATTGGCACTTGTCTAATCTAGTAGTTCTTAAGTTAGTTGGTCTATGGACATATTTGAGGATCTGGTAAAAAGCTATAGCTTGTCCTCTATACATAGATGTACACATGTACATTATACATGTATAATTTTGCATATTGTTTCAGGGGTTTTATAGTTTTTCTTAAGTTGACTAATGGATTTCTGATTAAAAAATTCTTGAACAAATCCAAATTTGTTGAAGTTTTATTTAGAAAAGAAATGCTCCTAGTTGCAAACTCAATTTAGAAAATTTCAGAGATCAACAGAAACAGTGTTGACACAAGGAAAAATGAACTCTTCCTACCATTGAGGATAACATTAACAATTGTTTAATTAGTGAATATCACTTTGGAATTACCAACAAAGGGACTCAGAACTGGCTCTTAGTATGTTGATTTGTCTGTAGAGGAGCTGCCATATTAGAATAAGCTCAAAACTGACAAAGTTAGTAAGCCTGGCCGTATCACTATGAACAACTAGTTGTATTTTCTCAGACAATTCACCTAGTCTTCCAGTTTTCTCTTCTGTTAAGCAGGGAAGTTGCACTAGTCTAGGAATCTGTAGTCCCTTTTAAAGCTAAAGAAAGGATAGAACCAATAAACTCTGAGTAAAAACAACTGACTTGGCTCTCCTGGGAGTAGTATGACTTTTATGATGAATAATTTGATTGTTTGGCTTATTTATTGTCTTTGTTGCTAATAACAAAAATTATAGATGAATGAGGTCCTTGGATGTTTTCAATAAATGCAGAGCTAAAGTTAAACGGAGTTAGACTGAAAAGAATACTAGGCTTGTTAAATATTACCAGGTAGTAGTAAAGTTGTATTTAGTGGTATGTAAAGTATCAAGCAATAGTTTTTAGTTGGAGAATTTTTTAAAACAGGTGATTTAAAATTCTTACTAGATATTTTGCTGATTATCCTCATATAACTTTCAGGCTTTCTTTAGTCTGTGACAAATCAGTTAGTTTTTTAAGTTTCTAAATTACCTGTTTTATTGTTTTTAATTAGGCAAGTAAAACTTGAGATGGATCAGTACAAAGAAGAGCTGTCTAAAATGGAAAAAGAAATAATGCACCTAAAACGAGATGGAGAAAATAAAGCAATGCACCTCTCTCAATTAGATATGATCTTAGATCAGACAAAGACAGAGCTAGAAAAGAAAACAAATGCTGGTAAGCAAGAGGTTACATGAGTTTAGTTGCTTATGTATTTGTACTTACGAAGTGAAATAATGTGAGAATTTGAGATGGTGGGGCTGGAAGGGACAATAAGTAGTATTTTGCCCCATGTAGACGAATAAAATTGAATATTCTAAACAAAATTTGTAATGAGAAATGGTTTATATATAGTTATAAAATCATTCTCTCCTCTTAATAGTAAAGGAGTTAGAAAAGTTGCAGCATAATACCGAAACTGAACTAACAGAAGCCTTGCAAAAACGGGAAGCACTAGAGTCTGAACTACAAAATGCTCATGGAGAATTAAAAAGTACTTTAAGGCAACTCCAGGAATTGAGAGATGTACTACAGAAGGCTCAGTTATCATTAGAGGAAAAATACACTACAATAAAGGATCTCACAGCTGAACTTAGGTGAGTTAATAATAAGAAATGATATTACAGTTATTGGTATTTCATTTTATTACTGAGTCCTTGAATCATACAGTTAAATGTGTCATTGCGTTCTAGATGTCTAAACTTCTCAACTGCCTTTGACTCACTTTGGCTCTTCCCAGCAAGCCTATCCCATGCCTTATCTAACTAATTCAGCTGTTGTTGGCTGCCAGAGCTCTCATCCTCAGTCATTAGACTATTTTATACTGGCCCTAGTGGTAAAAAAAAAAAAAAAAAAAAAAAAAAAAAGATGGGGCCAGCATACAGCAGTGGCAAACAGCAGAAGGATATAATATTGGTAATATTGTTCTTTATATTAAGTCCTTATTTTATGCCAGGACTCTACCAGGGACTTCACATATTATCTCACTCATTTCCTTGCAACACACCTAATAGAAACGTATTATCACCTTTTTAATAGTTGAGAAACCTGAGGCCTTGAGAAAAATAAAATGCTCCAAGTAATACAGGTAGCAGAGTCTAGAGAAGGAAGTTAAAACACAAGTCCAACTCTAAAGTCTGGGATCTTAGATTAGCAGTATAGCATTAACTGCTATGACAACACACATGTATAGTGAGTGGAGGTGGACAGCCAGATCAGAGCCAAAGTATGGGAAATAGATTCAGAAAAGGAAAACAGTTACAAATTAGGATGTAAAATGTGAAATGAACAGGATAAGGAGCAGCAAGATAACCCAGAACCTTAGATGTTATACCACAGAATTCAGTGTAGGGCCCCTTCTCTTCTGTATCCACAAACTCCAGTATTTACCTTTTCCTGTAATTCCAGATTCAATATCCAACTACTTACTGTTGTCTCCATTTGGATATTTTTAAAAAGCATCTCAAACTTGGCCAAAATAGGACTCATATATTTCCTCATAACCCTGCGCTTCCTCTAACTTAGCATGATGCAGTTGCTCAAACCAAAAATATGTAAGATTTTTCTTGTTCTCGCATTCCATCCCTTTTTTCATCCAGTGTATTAGCAAGCCATGTCAATTTTATTTCCAAAACGTATTCTTTTTTTTTTTTTGAGACAGAGTCTCGCTCAACACAGGTTGGAGTGCAGTGGCGTGATGTTAGCTCATTGCAGCCTCTGCTCCCGGGTTCAAGCAATTCTGCCTCAGCCACCAAGTAGCTGGAATTACAGGCGCCCACCACCATGCCCAGCTAATTTTTGTATTGTTAGTAGAGGCGGGGTCTTGCCATATTGGCCAGACTGGTCTTGAACTCTTGACCTCAGGTGCTCCACCATCCTGAGCCTCCCAAAGTGCTGGGATTACAGGCATGAGTCACTACACCCAGTCCCAAAACATATTCTTAAATCCATTGATTTCCTGGCCTCTTTTCTATTATCCTTAGCACAAAGCGTCATTTCTCACCTGATCCATTGCTATAGCTTCCTAACCAGGCTCTCTGCTTACGTTCTTGACTCCGTCCCAACAATCCATTTTTCTGAAAATAGATTTAAGTTTATTATTTAAGACATAAATTAGGCCGGGAGTGGTGGCTTACACCTGTAATCCCAGCACTTTGGGAGGTTGAGGCAGGCAGATCACAAGGTGAGGATTTTGAGACCACCCTGGCCAATATGGTGAAACCCCATCTCTACTAAAAATATGATATTAGCCAGGCATGGTAGCAGGCATCTATAGTCCCAGCTACTCAGGAGGCTGAGACAGGAGAATTGCTTGAATCTGGGAGGTGGAGGTTGAAGTGAGCCAAGATCACGCCACTGTACTCCAGTGTGGACAACAGAACAAGTAAGACTCCATCAAAAAAAAAATCATAGTGCTTCACTACTTAAACGTTCTAATGGCTTTCTAAAACCTTCAGAATAAAATCCAAACTCCTTCAGAAATGAAAATAAAAGCGACATTGATATATCACTTCATACCCACTAAGGATGGTCATTTTTAAAAAACAGAAAAGAGCAAGTGTTAGCAAGTGTGGAGAAAATGGAACCCTCATTCATTGCTGGTGGGAATCTAAAATGTTGCAGCCAGTATAGAAAATAGTTTAGCATTCCTCAATAAGTTGAACATAGAATTACCATACGACCCAGTAATTCCATTCCTAGTTTGGTACCCAAAAGGGTTGAAAACAAGTATCTAAACAAAAATTGTATACAAATGTTTACAAAGTAAACCAAAAAGTGAAAACAACCCAAATACTCATTAACAGATGAATGGATAAACAAAATATAGTGTATTAGTCTATTTCATGCTTCTGATAAAGACATACCCAAGACTGGGCAATTTACAAAAGAGGACTCAACAGTTCCACATGGCTGGGGAGGCCTCACAATCATGGCAGAAAGTGAAAGACACATGTCACATGGTGGCAGACCAGAGAAGAGAGCTTGTGTGGGAAACTCCCCTTTATGAAAGCATCAGATCTCTTGAGACCTATTCACTATCATGAGAACAGCATAGGAAAGACCCGCCCCATGATTCAGTTACTTCCCACTGGGTCTCTCCCACAACACATGGCAATTCAAGATGAGATTTAGGTGGGAATACAGCCAAACTATATCATTCTGCCCCTGGCCCCTCCCAAATCTCATGTCCTCACATTTCAAAACAAATCATGCCTTCCCAACAGTCCTCCAAAATCTTAATTCATTTGAGCATTAACTGAGAAATCCACAGTCCAAACTCTCATCTGAGACAAGGTAAATCCCTTCTGCCTATAAGCCTGTAAAATCAAAAGCAAGTTAGTTGCTTCCTCGATACAATGGGGATACAGATGTTGGGTAAATACACCCATTCCAAATAGTAGAAATTGGCCAAAACAAGGGGGCTACAGGCCCCATGCAAGTCTGAAAGCCAGCAGGGCAGTAAAATCTTAAAGCTCCAAAATGATCTCATTTGACTCCATGTCTCACATCCAGGTCACACTGACACAAGAGGTAGGTTTCCATGTTTTGGGCAGCTCTGCCCTGTGGCTTTTTAGGGTACAGCCTTTCTTATGGCTGCTTTCACGGCTGGTGTTGTCTGTGGCTTTTCCAGGTACACGATGCAAGCTGTCAGTGCATCTGTTATTCTGGGGTCTGGAGGATGGTAGTCCTCCCTCTTCTCATGGCTCTACCAGGCAGTGCTTTAGTCAGGGACTCTGTATGGGGGTGCCCATCTCACATTTCCCTTCTGCACTGCCCTAGCAGAGGTTCTCCATGAAGTCCCTGCCTCAACAGCAAACTTCTGCCTGGACAACCAGGCCTTCCTATACATCCTCTGAAATCTAGGTGGAGGTTCCCAAACCTCAATTCATGACTTCTCTATACCCCACAGGCTCAACACTGGGTAGAAGCTGCCAAGGCTTGGGGCTAGCACCATCTGAAGCCACTGTCTGAGCTCTGTGTTGACCTTTTTTAGCCACAACTGGAGTGGCTGGGATGCAGGGCACCAAGTCCCTAGGCTGCATATAGCACAGTGACCCTGAACCCTGCCCATAAACGTTTTTTTCCTCCTAGGCCTCAGAGCCTGTGATAGGAGAGGCTGTTGCAAAGACCTCTGACATGCCCTTGAGATATTTTCCCCATCGTCCTGGGGATTAACATTCAACTCTCCGTTACTTATGCGAATTTCTGCAGCCAACTTGAATTTCTCCTCAGAAAATGGGATTTTCTTTACTATTGCATTGTCAGTCTGCAAATTTTCCAGATTTTTATGTTCTGCTTCCCTTATAAAATTGAATGCCTTTAACAGCACCCAAGTCACCTCTTGAGTGCTTTGTTGCTTAGAAATTTCTTCCCCCAGATAACCTAAATCGTCTCTTTCAAGTTCAAAGTTCCCCAAATCTCTAGGGCAGGGACAAAATGCCACCAGTCTCTTTGCTAAAACTTAACGAGTCACCTTTGCTCTGGTTACCAACAAGTTCCTCATTTCTCTCCAAAACCACCTCATTCTGAACTTTATTGTCCATATTGCTATCAGCATTTTGGTCAAAGCCACTGAACAAGTCTCTAGGAAGTTCCAAACTTTCCCATATTTTCCTGTATTCTTCTGAGTTCTCCAAACTGTTCCAGCCCTTGGCTGTTACCCAGTTTCGAAGTCAGTTTCACATTTTTGGGTCTCTAAAGTAGCACCCCACTCTACTGGTACCAGTTTACTGTATTAGTGAGTTTTCACACTGCTGATAAAGACATACCCAATACTGGGCAATTTAGAACAAGGTTTTTTGGGCTCACAGTTCCCACATGGCTGGGGAGGCCTCACCTGGAAGGTGAAAGGCATGTCTCACATGGCGGCAGATAAGAGAAGAGAGCTTGTGCGGGAAACTTTCATTTTTAAAACCATCAGATCTCATGAGACTTATTCACTGTCACAAGAATAGCACAGGGAAGACCTGCCCACATGATCACATGATTCAGTTACCTCCCACTGGGTCTCTCCCACAACACGTGGGAATTCAAGATGAGATTTGGGTGGGAACACAGCCAAACTGTATCATATAGTGTATCCATACAAAGAATATTATTCAGTCATAAAAGGAATAAAATACTGATGCATGGTACAATGTGCATGAACCTTGAAAACATTGTGCTAAGTGAAATAAGCCAGATATATGATGCATAATTCAATTTATGAAATATTCAGAATTGGAAAATTCATAGAGAAAGATTAGTGGTTGCCAGGGACTGAGGGAAGGGAGAATGGAAAATAAGTGCTAACGGGTATGACGTTCTATGGGGGGACCAATGAAAAAATACTGGACATAGTGGTGATGATTACACAACATTATGAATATACTTAATGCCTCAGAACTGTACACTTTAAAAATGATTGAAGTGGTAAATTTTATGTTATATGTAGTTTACCACAGTTAAAAAAGAATCCATGCTCCTCATCTTGGAATACAAAGCCTTATGTGGTCACGTTCCTGTCTACTTCTCTGGCCTCTTTTTATACAACTCTCCTTGCTCCTGGCTTTTTTCTTATACTTCACACTTACCAAGTTTGCCTCTACCATGGAACCTTGAGCATAGCTGTTTGTTTTTATTGGGATGACAGTTAAATGGTCAGCTTCTTGTCCTTCATATTACTTCAGAGAGAAGCCTTCTCTGACCAGCCACCTCACTACCTCATCATGCAGTTAATGCTGTAACTTAGCCCTTATTATATATTTTTTAACTTAGGTGTTTATAGTCTGTCTTTTCTGCTAGTCCTATTAGAATGTAAACTCAGATCACAGACATCTTTTTTACTATTAAATCCACAGCGCTTAGAACCCTGGCATATAGGAAACAGTAAATATTTGCTAAATCAATAAGTGAATGAATTAATTAAATGAATAACTTACCTTTTTAGAATACCCCTTATTAAATTAATTATATTGATGTCAATCTTTTTCTTTCTTTTTTTTTTTCTTTTTGGAGATGGAGTCTTACTCTATTGCCCAGGCTGGAGTGCAATGGCGCGATCTCGGCTCACTGCAACCTCCACCTCCTGAGTTCAAGTGATTCTCCTGCCTCAGCCTCCGAGCAGCTGGGACTATAGGCACCCGCCACCATACCCAGCTAATTTTTGTATTTTTAGTAGAGATGGTGTTTCACCATATTGACCAGGCTGGTCCCGAACTCCTCATCTTGTGATCTGCCCACCTCAGCCTCCCAAAGTGCTGGGATTACAGGCATGAGCCACTGCACCCGGCCTGTCTATATTTTTCTTGATTATTCCTTTAGTTTGACCCGTTCAATCTGAGTTAATTGCATATATTCTTTTGCTTTTAATTTATAGAAAAGATAACCTGGTCGACCTAACTTTTTAAAATTATAATATTCCTACTATCTGCTTTGATATTTTTCCTTTGATAAATTGTAGAGAATGCAAGATGGAGATTGAAGACAAAAAGCAGGAGCTCCTTGAAATGGATCAGGCACTTAAGGAGAGAAATTGGGAACTAAAGCAAAGAGCAGCTCAGGTTGATTTTCCTTCATTATATTAAATGAAGTTTTCTGTTATGACACAGTCACACAGGATTTGAGAGGTCACCAATTTTTGGTAAAATGAGTATTTTTATAGCATATCTTTTCTCTGCACATAGGGTTTAATAAATTAGAGATATGTCATCTCTCTTTACCTTGATATTTTTCTAGCAAGTAGATTTTGAAAATGAGGATTAGCTTAGTATCTGAGCCTTTTGATCTCTTATATTAACCCATATCAGAAGAAGCTAAGTTTTAAAGGAACAAAAATATTTGGAAGGCATTATTTAGCACTTTTTATCCAGCATAAGATGAGTCTGAATTATTTCATTTGTTATTTATGAACACAACTATATTTTAAGTTTCTATAATGTATATGGAATTGAATGTCATTATGTATTTTTAAAAAAGGTATATGAGGCTCATGAACCATTAGTAAACAATGATTATTTTTCCCATTTAAAAAATAATTTGAGATGAGTTTATACTTGTTATACTTGCTATAAACAATGACAAAGCCTATTCTGAGCACACAAGTTTCTATATCAGAATAAAATTGAACAACAGTTTGTTATTTTTTAGGTTACACATTTGGATATGACTATTCGTGAGCACAGAGGAGAAATGGAACAAAAAATAATTAAATTAGAAGGTACTCTGGAGAAATCAGAATTGGAACTTAAAGAATGTAACAAACAGGTAAATTATTTTAAAATTACATATTTAAAATTTTTTTTTTAATTCAAACTATAAAAACACCCATTTCATAGTGGGTGTTTTTGTTTGTTTGTTTTGGAGGCAGAGTCTCGCTGTGTTGCCCAGGCTGGAGTGCAGTGGCATGTGATCATACCTCACTACAGCCTCAAGTTCCTGGGCTCAAGCAGTCCTCCTGCCTTGGTCTACCAAAGCATTGGGATTACAGGTGTGAGCTATCGCAGTTGGTGGATCTTTCGCTTCTTTGATTAAATTTCTTCCTATTTTTTTGTAGCTGCTTTAAATAGGATTGCTTTCTTGATTTCTTTTTCAGATTGATTGATTTTAGTGTATAGAAATCCTATTGATTTTTGTATGTTAATTTTGTGTCTTGCAACTTGACTGAATTTATCAGTTTTTTTTGTTTTTGTTTTTGTTTTCTGCTTTGAGACAAGATCTCACTCTGTCATCCAGGCTGGAGTGCAGTGTTGTGATAGCTCACTACAGCCTCAACATCCCAAGCTCGGGTGATCCTCCCACCTCAGTCTCCCAAGTAGCTGGAACTACAAGCGTGCACACCATGCTTGGCTAGTTTTTAAATTTTATGTAGAGATGGGGTTTTGCCATGTTGCCCAGGTAGGTCTCAAACTCCTGGGCTCAAGCTGTCTGACCACCTTAGCCTCCCAAATTGCTGGGAATACAGGTATGCTACAACACGCCCAGCCTTGTTTATCAGTTCTAATAGTTTTTTTCGTGGAGTTTTCAGGTTTTTCCAAATATAATATTATATCATCTGCAAACAAGGATAATTTAACTTCTCTCTTCCAATTTGGATGCCCTTTCTTTCTCTTTTCTAGTTTCTGTATTCGGAATTCCAGTACTATATTGAATAATAGTGGTGAAAGTGGGCATACTTGGCTTGTTATATATCTTAGTGGAAAGACTTTCAGTTTTTCTCTATTCCTTCATAGGAATAATATTAACTATGGGTTTGTTATAAATGGTCATTATTGTGTTATTTTCCTTCTATACCCAATTTGTTGAGAGATTTTATCATGAAAAGATGTTGAATTTTATCTGATGCTTTTCAATAACGCTTTTAATTTTAATATGAAATTATTATATGTTTTTTGTCCTTGATTCTGTTGATGCGATGTATCATGTTTAATGATTTGTGTGTATTGGACCATCTTTTCGTCCCTGGCATGAATTCCACTTGGTGATGGTGAATTCCATTTGGTTATGGTAAATGATCTTTTAAAAAATGTTTTTGAATTCAGTTTGATAGTATTTTGTTGTGGATTCTACGTCTGTGTTCATCAGGGATATTAGCCTGTTGTTTTCTGTTTCTGTTATGTCCTTGTCTGGTTTTGGTATTAGGACAATGCTGGCCTTGTAGAATGAGTTTAGAAGTGGGCCAGGCAGAGTGGCGCATGCCTATATTCCCAGCACTTTGGGAGGTCGAGGTGGGCAGATTGCTTGAGCTCAGTTCAAGACCAGCCTGGGCAACCTGGTGAGATCCTGCCTCTACAGAAAATACAAAAATTAGCCAGGTGTGGTGGCCTGTGCCTATAGTCCCAGCTACTCAGGACATTGAGATGGAAGAATTTCTTGAGCCTGGGAAGTAGAGGCTGCTGTGTTGAGCCATGAGTATTCAACTGCACTCCAGCCTGGGCACCAGAGTGAAACTCTATCTCAAAAGTCCCTCCTCTTCAGTTTTTTGAAGTCGTTTGAGTAGAATGGGTATTCATTTTTCTTTAAATGTTTGGTAGAATTCAGCAGTGAATCCATCAGGTCCTGGGCATTTCTTTGATGGGAGACTTTTTATTACTGCATTTATCTCATTACTTGTTATTGTTCTATTCAAGTTTTCCGTTTCTTCATGGTTCAGTCTCAGTAGGTTGTGTGGGCCCAGAAGTTTATCCTATTTATTCTAGGTTTTCCAATTTGTGGGTGTATAGTTGTTCATAATAGTCTCTAATGAGCCTTTGTATTTCTGTGGTATCAGTTGTAATGTTTCCTTTTTCATGTCATTTTATTTATTTAGGTCTTCTCTCCTCTTAGTCATCTAAAAGTGTTTGTAAATTTTGTTTATCTTTTCAAGAAATCAACTCATTGTTTCATTTATCCTCTGTATTGTTTTATAGTCTCGATTTCATTTATTTTTTGCTCTGATCTTTATTATTGCTTTCCTTCTAATAATATTGGGTTTGGCTGTTCCTATTCTAGTGTGGGAAAAGCAGTTCAAGACCAACTTGAACTTCTTTTGTAGAGACAGGGTCCCACTATGTTGCTCAGGCTCATATTCTTATCAGCACATGGAATTATTCAGAATACATAAAAATATGACATATTATCGAGAATATATGTTAGGCCACAAAATAAGTCTCATCAAATTTTTAAAAGTAGAAATCCTATCAAATGTATTCTCAATGCAATTCTAAAAACATTATTTTCAGTAATATTATTTAATAATATTAATATCATAATATTTTCAGTAATGCTTTTAATTTTAATATGCACCTTTAGGTGCATATTTTATTTGTTTCAAGACATTACGTTTAAAAAAAATTCTTCATTCACCTTTTGTTCATTCAGGAAAATGTTGTTTAAATTTCACGTATTTGTATAATTTCCAAAGTTCCTCTTGTTATTGATTTCTAGTTTTATTCCATAGTGGTTAGATAATATACTTGATAGGTTCTCTGTCTTTTAAAATTTGATGAGACTTATTTTGTGGCCTAACATATTTATGTATTCTGGATAATAGTCCATGTGCTGATAAGAATGTGAGCCTGGGCAACATAGTGGGACCTTGTCTCTACAAAAAGTAAAAAAAAAAAAAAAAATAGCCAGGTGTGATGATATGTACTTGTAGTCCCAGCTACTTGGGAGGCTAAAGTGGGAGGATCACTTGAACTCAGGAGGTCAAGGCTGCAGTGAGCTATGATTGTGCCACTGCACTCCAGCCTGAGCAATACAGTGAGACCCTGTCAAAAAAAGAAAGAAAAAAAAGAATGTATATTCAGTGACAGTTGGATGAAGTGTTCTGTAAATGTCAGTTACAAAATGCCTCTTTGGCCTAGTTTGTAGTTGAACTCTGATGTTTCTTTGTTGATTTTTTAAATCTGGACAATCTGTCCATTACTGAGAGTGGAGTATTGAAGTCCCCTACTATTGTTTTATTGCAACCACCTATTTGTTGCTTTAGATCTGTTCATGATTGCTCTATATACTTGGGAGCGCTATATGCCTGGGTGCATAGATATTTATAATTTTTATATCCTCATATAATGATAATATATATAATCTTACATAATCCTGTTATATAATGATAACATGACATTTATCATTATATATTGGTCTTTATTTCTTTTTACTGTCTTTGATCTGAAGTCTGTTTTGTCTAAGTATAGCTATTTCTACTTTTTTGATTTCCAATTTGAATGGAATATCTATTTACATTCTTTTACTTTCAGTCTATGTGTGTCTTTATGAAGTGAATTTATTTTAGGAAGCATATAGTTGGATTTGTTTTTTTAATCCATTCACCTGCTTTATATGTTTTAAATGGAAAATTTAGTCTGGTTACATTCGGTGTTGTTATTGATAGGTAAGGATCTGTGCCTTTTTGTTACTTGTCTTTTAGGTGTTTTGTAACCCCCCCTTTTTTCCCACTTACTGTCTTTCATTGTGGTTAAATGATTTTTTTCTGGTAGTGTGATTAATTGGTTACTTTTTATATTTAGTATATCTCTCACAGGTTTTTGCTTTGTGGTGAGACATATACAAAACATCCTATTGTTATTAACAAGTTATTGAAAACTGATATCAACTTAACTTTGATAGCAAAAAAAAAAAAAAATTAAAAACCTGTATACTTTAATCTCCTCCATCCACATTTTGAATTTTTGGTGTTCCAGTTAAATTTTTATATTGCCTATCTCTTAATAAATTGTTGTAATTGTTATTTAATAATTTTGTCTTTTAGTCTTCCTACTAAAGATATAAGTGGTTTACACACCATGATTTCAGTATTATTATAACAGTCACATTAGTGTCTATTTTTCTTTAAGTTTGAAGTACTCCCTTTAGCATTTCTTGTAGGATAGGTCTAGTAGTGATAAGCTTCCTCAGCTTTTGTTTGGGAAAGTGTCTCTTCATTTCTGAAGGATAATTCTGCTTGGCACAGTATTCATAGTTGACAGGTTTTTTTTTGTTCAACACTGAGTATACCATCTTACTCCTTCCTGGTCTGTAAGATTTCTGCTGAGAAGTCTGCTACCAGGCATATTGGATCTTCCTCATATATTATATGCTGCTTTGCTCTTACTGCTTTCAGGACCCTGTCTTTGTCTTTGATCTTTGAGAGTTTTATTATAATAAGTCTTAGGGTATTATTATTTGGGTTGAATCTATTAGCGATCTTTGACCTCCTTATACCTGCCTACTTGATATCTTCAGGTTTGGAAAATTTTCTGTTGTTTCTTTAAAAAAGTTTTCTACCCCTTTGTCTTTCTCAGTTCCCTCTTTAACTCCAATAATTCAAATATTTGCTCTTTTGATGTTGTCTCAAAGATCCTATATGCTTTGTTCATTCCTGTTTATTCTTTTTTCCCTCCTCTCACTATATATTCTATTTATTTATTATTTATCAAACATGGGGCCTCTGTTACCCAGAGATGGACTGAGGTGGCACAATTATAGCTAAGTGTAGCCTTGACCACCTGGGCTCAAAGGATCCTCACACTTCCGCCTCATGAGTAGCTGGGACTACAGGTGCATGCCACCACACCTGGTTAGTTAAAAGTAATTTTTTTTTTTAGTGATGGAGTTTCACTATGTGACTCAGTCTGGTCTCATATTCCTGGGCTCAAGCAATCCTTCTAGCATACTGAGTACCTGGACTACAGGTGTGAGCCACCATCCTCAGCTCTGACTATATACTTTCAAATAGTCCGCCTTCAAGCTCACTGATTCTTTTTGACCCATTCTGCTATTGATGCTCTTTATTTCATTTTTTACTTCATTTGTTGTATTTTTTAGCTCCAAAATTTTTGTTTGATTTTTTAAAAATTATTCACTGTTAAATTTCTCTGGTAAATTTCTCAGTTGATTCTCTGTGTCTTCTTATAGTTTGTTGAACTCCCTTAAAATAGCTATTTTAGTTCTTTGAGAAATCACACATCTTCATCACTTTAGGGTTACTCTTTGGTGCCTGATTTTGTTCATCTGGTGAGGTTGCATTTCCTTGAATGTTCTTGATGCTTATAGACATGCAATGACATCTGCATATTCAGGGACTGGGTATTTATTTTAGTCTTTGCAGTCTGGCTTTGTATGTGCTTGTCCTTTTTGGGAGGCCCTCAGGAATTCTAAGCAAACTGGCTTTTGTGTTCCCTGAGGCTGTGATCACTGCAGCTGTTGAACGCTAGAGGATGATCTACATCCAGGCTTGCTGCAAGTCTTATGAGGGCTCCAAGGTTGACATGGCTTTCCAGCCCACATGGACCTGGGAAAGACTCAAGTTGCATACTAAGGCTGTGGGAATGCTTGCCAGGGACGTAGGCCCAGAAGGCTGTCCTGGTGGCCCAGAAGGGCATGTTTCCCAGCAGATCATTTTACAGGTGGGATGAGTCTCTAGTTGCAATGAGAGGGGCTGGAGTTGAGACTGGCCATCTTGGGATATATTGTGGAGTGGGCCCTGGAGAACCCAGTCTCAGCTCAGAGGGGTAGCCCACCAAGTTTCTTCACAGGATATTTCCCCAACAACTGTGTGAAGAGCTAGAGTTGAGACTGGGCCCCGTTGGCATCTGCTGTGGGATGGAGGCTGGAGAACCTATCTTGTTAGCCCAGACAGGGCCAGCAGTCTCAGCTTACATGGAATAGGTCCCTGTCTGCAGTGGGAGCTGCTGGAGCTGAGATTGTATCCCCTTAGCATCTGCTGTGGGACAGAGGCTGGAGAGCCTGTCTCATTATTTCAGAGGGGCATGTGTCTCCCAGCAAGTCCCTGCATAGACAGGGATAGTTCCCTGATTGCAGCAGAAGAGTTGGAGCTGAGACTGGGTCCCCTTGGGATCTGCTGTGGGACAGAGGTTGGCAAGCCTTTCAAGGAGGCTTAGACTTCTAGCTGCAGGATTAGGACAAGTCTCCCTTTGGGTCTGTGTGTGAGCAGCTCTGAGCTGAGACCTCAGCTGAAGGGAGTTGGAGCAGAGTCGCCAGGCAACTTTCCGGTTCACTGGTGAGACATGTCAGCAAGCAGAGAGCCGTTCTGCTAAAGCGCTAGAATGCACGATTCCTTATGGACCCCTTTGCAGATGGTTATGCTTATAAGCTCAAGGCCAAATGGAGCTGCAGCCAAGTTCCTTGGGAAACTGGACTGTTTCCAGACTTGAACACAGAAGCAAGCTTGGCATATCAGCCACCTAGCTTTCTGTCTGTGCTCTCAAAATAACCCTGCTAGATCTTCATCTCTACCAGGTTTTGCAAACTCCTACCTGAATCCTGAGGCTCCTGCAAAGAGACTTTTGACTATGGATAAGTGCAGGATTCTTTATTTTTTTAATTTTAAATTAACAGTGTTTATTTATCTCTAGGTATTATTGAGAGCCTGGAGTGAAGACACAATTTTCATTTTGTAATTTACAGACTTCTATAAGCTAAAACAAAAACAAAAAAGTCTTCTCTATTTAATATAATGGTAGAATACAACTTCTACTTTAATTTTTAAAATTTCAGTCACTTTTGGGATACAGGTAGTTTTTGGTTACATAGATACATTGTATAGTGGTGAAGTCTGAGAGGGTGCAAGATTCTTGTTGTTGTGGAGGAATATGAGTGGGTTACCTTCTCTTCCGCCATCCTGGTAGTGTCCAAGAACAAGAATTCCTGGCTTATTTCCAAGATATGATTGTCTTAAGAAATATACATGTTTATATTTTGCTTTTAGATATGAGTGTTTAAAACTTGACTACTTGGAACACAGCTATGATTAAATTATTTTTCATTAGTTTTACTAATACTGCTTATCTGTTTAAAATTCAGATAGAAAGTTTGAATGACAAATTACAAAATGCTAAAGAACAGCTTCGAGAAAAAGAGTTTATAATGCTACAGAACGAACAGGAGATAAGTCAACTGAAAAAAGAAATTGAAAGAACACAACAAAGGATGAAAGAAACAGAGAGTGTAAGCAAATTATTTCTACCTAAGGAACAAGTGGTAGTCTCTGTTGGGTGAAATGAATCTTTATGTTTTAAACTGTTTGGTTTTAAAATATACAGAAACTGTGCCATAACTGTTTTTAGTCTAGTTATTTGTGCCAAAGACCTGTTAGTTTCTTTGACCTTTTAAAATATTTTTCTCAAAAAAACAATAAATAAATAAAATATTTTTCTGATGGTCTAAGAATAGGCAAGGACAATGTCTTATTTATCTCTATATACAGGCCTCTGGTATCTCTCATATAGTAAATCTACAACATATGCTTATTTAGTTGACAAATATTTATTGAGAACCTACTATGTAATAGAATTGAAGAGTCAGCTATCAATAAGATACAGTGTTTTGTCTGTTAGGAACTCCATCAAAAGAATGGGTAAATAAATAATTGTACATTATTGAGACCAAGTCCATGGAATTGCCAGATGAAGTTTGATGACTTCTTATCATTAGTATGCATGTGTGTTGACTGGTGAATTCATTCTACCACTTGCCTTTTTAAAAAGTGAATTTAGGGTCAGGCACAGTGCCTCACACCTCTAATCCCAGCACTTTAGGAGGCTGAGTTGGCAGGATCACTTGAGCCCAGAAATTCAAGATCAGCCTGGGCAACATAGCAATGAAACCCATGTCTCTGCAAAAACATTAAAAAACTAGCTAAGTGTGGTGTTACATGCCTGTGGTCCCAGCTACTTGGGAGGCTGAGGTGGGAGGATTGCTTATGCCTGAGAGGTCAAGGCTGCAGTGATTTGTGATCACACCACTGTACTCCAATATATGCAACAGAGCAAGAGCCTGTATCAAAAAAAAAGAAGGAGAAGGGGGAGGGGGAGGGGGAGGAGGAGGAAGTATATATTTATATCAATATATTCTCTGTATTCTCTGTCTTTCACATAGATAATCAAATGTTAACTTCTTTTTTCTCTTTTTCTTTTCTGTTGTAAATGTTACATTCAAAATGATAAAAGATTATATGGCTTGTATATGTTATAGTCATGTAATATATATCAATAACAGTCCCAATTTTATTATGGTATTTTTGTCATTTTCTTATTAGAATTTTTTTTTTTTTTAATATCAGTTTCACAGTGTGTGATACTCATTATATGTTAAATTTTATAAGAATTTAGTTGGAAGGGGGAAATTTACTTATTAAATCAGAATAAGAAATAGGTAATCTGTATATTTCATTCTGAAACCTACAACTACCTTGTGCTTTTCAGGTTATGAAAGAGCAGGAACAGTACATTGCTACTCAGTACAAGGAGACTATAGATTTGGGGCAAGAATTGAGGCTAACCCGGGAGCAGATGCAGAACTCTCATACAGAATTGGTGGAGGCTCGTCGTCAACAAGTCCAAGCACAGAGAGAAATAGAAAGGCTCTCTAGTGAACTGGAGGATATAAAGCAACTCTCTAAAGAGAAAGTAATCCCTATTTTAAATAATCTTATGTTTCTGAAATCTACAAATTTTAGCATTCGCTTTTTTGAACTGTAGAATATCGTACTTGCAAAAATGAACTGTTGCACAACAGTGTGAATGTACTTAATCCCACTGAATTACACACTTAAAATGGTTAAAATGGTCAATTTTGTGTATATTTTACCACAATTTTAGAAAATAATGAACTGTGCTACATATATAGATAACTTTGTAATATAACTAGAAATTCATTCAGAACTGAGTTTTGGCTAACTAGTTCTCAGTAAATTGAGTTATAGAGCACTTTTAGACTTTTAAGTGAGTTTGAGCTCTTACTTGAAAAAATAAAGTAAATCTCTTTTGAGTAAAAATTAGTGACTTTTAAAAATGAAAGCTATCTAAATTTGTAACTTTTGGGAAACCTGTAGTTCAGAATTATTGGGGAGGTAAAGTGCTTTTAAAAAGCAAGAGTACTAATATAAATTTTATCTTCCTAGTATTTGGTAGGAAGTTAACTACTTGGCTTGAAACTGTTTAGATTGGTATACTTGGGTTAATTATTTAGGCTTTAAGAAAAAATGTGTTTATTCATTTTGCAAAAATATTCTGCTTTCCATTGTGGTTACTAATTTAACATAGGAATTGAGTTAAAATATTTTTACCTTTAATTTTGGTTAAACCTACCTATGTTGTTATTCACATTTCTGGATGGTAGACCAGTAAGGCATACATAGAGAATGTTTATTAGAGATAGATTGTACATTTCTGGTTCTACTAGGAAAAGGGAACTTTTATCTCGTTTCTGCCTTTATCAATAGTATCTAAGTATAGTACAATTGGTTGTTATTTGATAAGCTAAACTCGCTTTAAAAAGTGAGTTAAAGTGAGGAATTTTTTAATTGACAGTGTTTTAAATATTTTAACCCAAAACTAATATATATATATTGATATGTTTCTCCTTTGATGTAGGGGCAAACCATGGTTCTTTTTGTATGAGTCATTTGATTAGAATTCTACCTAGTCTTTCTCACATAACTAGAATCCTACCTGATCTTTTACCACACTAGATATCATCATCTGTAGTTTCCAACTTTGCTTTCTTTAAAGTGAAGGAAGAATTAATTAAAAGACATTTGTAAGTGAATCAGAATATAACATGTTATATTTTTATGGGACCTCCTACAATATTTTATAACTATTTTGAGTGTTTCTAATTGGATAGCAAAATGTTCATGACTTATTCACTGAGCTATTTCAAAACATATAACTTAGTTTTTGGATAAAAACTTTTCATTTGCTTATTTTATCATGTTCATAATCTATAATAAAATCACTAATTAAAATTGCAAGCACAGTTAGCTAAATTAGTACAAATAAGTTTGAATAAAAACACAACTGATTCTTGATAAACAGAAAATATATATAGTGAGCAAAAATGTATAGGCATACCTGACAGTAGACAGTTACTGGCCAGAGTTTAGTGTCCTGTGGTTATTAATAATTCATTTTATAGAAAGCATTGGTTAGCGAACATCTATTTTATTATGACAGCAAACAATTACATTAATACTCTCCCATTAGTAGTCTCTGAAATGTCTAGATTTTAAAGCATACCATTTAATAAGTTAACTTTGTTTCTGTGTTTATATAATATAAAAGTTAAACTACTTCCATTAATGCACTGGATTGGTTTAGCTATAATAACCAAGTAAAGAAGTTTTATAGCTTTTACTCAATATGTTATTTTTTAGGATGCTCATGGGAACCATTTAGCTGAAGAATTGGGGGCTTCTAAAGTACGTGAAGCTCATTTAGAAGCAAGAATGCAAGCAGAAATCAAGAAATTGTCAGCAGAAGTAGAATCTCTCAAAGAAGCTTATCATATGGAGGTGAAGAAAAATTTAATTTGTTTTGGTTATGCCCACTAAAGTGGAGCTTGACCTATCAGGACAAAAGTATGAATCCAGCTCTTAAGTGTTCATTATTGAATAATACATTGTGGTCTTCATTTCTGGTATCCTAAACATACAACTTTCACGTTACTATTCTGTGGGGCTAAGAGCTTGAATTCCTGCCAGGCAACCTGGTTCCAAACCCTGGCTCACCACGAGGCCACCTGTGTCACCCTTGGGAAGTAACTTAATCTCTGTCCAAAATGGATATAATAACAGTATCTACCTCATAGAACTGTGGTGAATATTAAATGAATTAATAATTAAATTACAAATTAGCATTTGTAAAAGACAAACTGAAGATATTTAATAACTGATAAAAACAGTTTCATGTGATGTGAATCTATAATGCTTTAAAATTTTCAACATTTCTTCTTATAGTAACTTAGCTAGAGAGGTAATACTAGAGCCTTTTTATCTGTCAGCATGTCTTGAGCCTTCACAGAAATGGGCAGTATTATTAACTAGAATATCACATCTTTTTAAAAACTACCCTTGAAGGTATTACCCAAAATCTTTGTATATGTTTAAATAAATTACTTACTGTGTTTAGTGCTAATAAAGCGTTTTTCAAATATGGCAAAGTTGCGAATACATTTACATTAAACTCCAAGAGAGTTTATTAACATTTTTGTGGGTGATTGGTGGGACTTATGGGGACCATGTCTTGCTTAAATACATTTAGAATCATATCTCTTTGAAAGCATTGTACCTGCCAAAGAAAACTTATTTGCAAGCTGAATCTAATCCTAAGGGCAAGAATTTGCAACCTTTGATCCTTAGAGACAAACGTAAATGAATGTTGTTGGACTTAGCATAATTTTCTAATTGTTATTAGCAGCTCAACTTAGTAATAGTCAGTAATAATTAGGCCATCTCAAGTGTTTGCCCTTAATGACTCATTACACTTTCATTGTATGGCCTTTGTTCTGTTTTTAAGTATAATTATGCAATTTTTATTTTAGTTTTATAAGCCATGTGAAATTATAAATAGATAGCACATAAAATAAATTGTAAATGAGTTGAGTATTGCTATCTTTTTAAAAAAGAGATGGGGTCTCTCTGTGTTGCTCAAATTCCAGAGTTCAGATAACCCTCCCTCCTCAGCCTCCCAAGTAGCTGGGAGTAAAAGCACATGCCGGCCAGGGCAGTGGCTTAAGCCTGTAATCCCAGCACTTTGGGAGGCTGAGGCAGGTGGATAACTTGAGGTTAGGAGTTCAGGACCAGCCTGAGCAATATGGCAAACACCATCTCTACTAAAAATACAAAAATTAGTTAGGCATTATGGCACGTGCCTGTAATCACAGCTACTCGGGAGGCTGAGGCAGGAGAATTGCCCGAACCCAGATGGCAGAGGTTGCAGTGAGCCAAGATGGCGCCATTGCAATCCAGATTGCGCAAGAAGACTGAAACTTGTCTCAAAAAAAAGTAAGTACATGTTACTGCATGTTAATATTTAATATTGCTATTTAATATTTGATACTAATATTTTGTGTATAATATTGAAGTATATATTTTCACCTCTTTGGAGTTGACAGAAATTTACTTTTAAAGTATATATGTTGTTTGAATATAAAAATGAGAGCATATGGCATTAAAGTAATAGAGAGCTAGAAAATAGGATCAATAATCTTTACCAGTATTTTTTAATATACAGGTTTCTAAATTGTCAGAAAAGTCACTTAATAATAAGTACAAAGCTCCTGATTTTTTGGATGAGAATGAGATTGTTTTAACATTTAATTGTGAAAATTTTAAATATATTTAAAAATAGAATAGTATAAATAGTATAAATCCCTTATATTTATTTTTGAACATTAATAATTATCAATGCATGGCCAATTTATTTCATCCATAAATACATCGACCATTTTCTTTTATCTAAAACGAATACTTTTGAGAATGAAAAGTAATGCTATAGTAATTACATGAGGACACCAGGCATAAAACCCAGACATCCTAAGCGTACTTGGAAGTGTGTCAACGTGCCTTTAACATTTGAAAACACAATGCTTTCAAAGTGATATGATTCTAAATGTATTTAAGCAAAACATGGCCTCCACAAGCCCTGCCAATCACCCACAAAAACGTTACAAACTCCCTTGAATGGAGTTTAACATAAATGTTAAACTCATTCCCAACCTGTCCCCCATATTCACATTATATTTGAAGCAAATTTTAGATATCATTATTTCATCTGTATACATTTCAGTAAGTATTTTGTATTAGTTCATTTTCACACTGCTGTAAAGAAATACCAGAGATTAGGTAATTTGTAAAGAAAAGAGATTTAATTAATTCACAGTTTCATATGGCTGGGGATGCCTCAGGAAACTTACAATCATGGCAGAAGGTTAAGGGAAAGCAAGGCATGTCTTACATGGCAGCAGGAGAGAGAGAGTGTGTGGAAATGCCATCATATCTCATGAGAACAAACTCACTATCATGAGAACAACATGGGGAACCAACCCCATGATCCAGTCAGCTCCTACCAGGTACCTTCCTCAACAAGTGGAGATTACAATTCAAGATGAGATTTGGGTGGGGACACAGAGCCAAACCATATTGCAGCTCTGGCCCCTCCCAGATCTCATGTTCTTCTCACATTTCAAAACAATTATGCCTTCCCAACAGTCCCCCAGAGTCTTAACTCATTCCAGCATTAACCCAAAAGTCCAAGTTCAAAGTCTCATCTGAGACAAGCCAACTTGCTTCTGCCTATGAGTCTGTAAAATCAAAAACAAGTTAGTTACTTCCAAGATACAATGGGGGTACAGGCATTGGGTAAATGTTCTCCTTCCAAAGGGAGAAATTGACCAAAACAAGCTGTAGAGCCCATGCAAATCTGAAACTAGTGAGGCAGTCATTAAATCTTAAAGCTCCAAAATAATCTCCCTTGACTCCATGTCTCACATCCAGGGCACGTTGATGCAAGGGTGGGCTCCCAGAGCTTCAGGAAGCTCCACCCCTGTAGCCCTGCAGGGTACAGCCCTGGGCTGGTGTTGAGTGCCTGGGGCTTTTCCAGGTACATGGTACAAGCTGTTGGTGGATCCACCATTCTGGGGTCTGGAGAATGGTGGCCCTCTTCTCACAGCTCCACTACACAGTGCCCCAGTGGGGATTCTGTGTGGGGGCTCCAACCCTACATTTCTCCTCTGCACTGCCTTAATAGAGGTTCTCTATGAGGGCTCCACCTCTGCAGCAGACTTTTGCTTAGGCATCCAGGCATTTCCACACATTCTCTGAAATCTAGGCAGAGGCTCCCAAAGCTCAACTCTTGTCTTCTGTGCACCTGCAGGCCCAACACCACATGGAGGCTGCCAAGACTTTGGGCTTGCACCCTCTGAAGCATCAGTCTGAGCTGTACTTTGACCCATTTTAGCCATGGGTAGAGCTGAAGCAACTAGGATGCAGGTCACCGTGTGTTAAGGCTGCACAGAGCAGTGGGACTCTGGGCCTGGCCCACCAAGCCATTTTTTTCTTCCTAGACATCCAGGCCTGTGATGGGAGGTGCTGCCTTGAAGATCTCTGAAATGCCCTGGAGACATTTTCCTCATTTTCTTGGCAATTAACATTTAGCTCCTCATTACTTAAGAAAATTTCTGCAGCCAGCTTGAACATCTCCCCATAAAATGGATTTTTCTTTTCTACCACATGGTCAAGCTGCAATTTTTTTTTTAACTTTTATGCTCTGCTTCCCTTTTAAACATAAGTTCTAATTTCAGATCATCTCTTTGTGAATGGATGTGACTGTACACTTTCAGAAAAGCCAGATCACCTCTTGAATCCTTAGAAATTTCTTCTTCCAGACACCCTAAATCATCTCTCTCAAAGTTCCACAGATCTCTAGGGTGGGGGCAAAATGCCACCGGTCTCTCTGCTAAAACATAGCAAGAGTGACCTTTACTCTAGTTTCTATTAAGTTTCTCATCACCATCTGAAACCACCTCTGCTTGGACTTCATTGTCCATGTCACTATCAGCATTTTGGTCAGAATCATTCGACAAGTCTCTAGGAAGTTCCAAACTTTCTCACATCTTCCTGTCTTCTGATTCTTCCAAACTGTTCTAACCTCTGCCTATTACCCAGTTCCAAAGTTGCTTCTACATTTTCAGGTTATCTTTATAGTAGTACCCCACTACCCTGATACCAGTTTTCTTTATTAGTCCATTTTCACACTGCTATAAACAACTATGAGCCAATTAAACCTCTTTTCTTTATAAATTACACAGTCCTACGGCTGCCATGAGTGCCTGAGGCTTTTCCAGGTACAGGTGCAAGCTGTTACTGGATCTATCCTTCTGGTGTCTGAAGAATGGCGACAGTTTCAGGGTAATTTATAAAGAAAAGAGGTTTAATTGACTCACAGTTCCACATGGCTGGGGAGGCCACAGGAAACTTAGAATTATGGCAGAAGGGGAAGTAAGACATGTCTTACCTGGTGGTTGTAGAGAAAGAGATCAAGAGGGGAAGTGTCACACTTTTAAACCATCAGATCTTATGAGAACTCACTATCATGAGAACAGCATGGGGGAAACCATCCCCATGATCCAATCACCTCCCACCAGGTTGCTTCTTCAACACGTGGGGATTACAATTCAAGATGAAACCTGCATAAGGATATGGAACCAAACCATATCATAGCTCTAAAAGATAAGGGCTATTTTTTGGAACAGAACCATAATACCATTATCACACCTAAAAATTGACAGTAACTCCTTAATATCATCAAATATCCAGTCATTGTTCAGATTTCCGCAATTGTCTCAAAAATGTCTTTATAGTTTATTTGGTCACATCAATACCCAAATAGAGACCATTGCATTTGGTTAAGTTCTTAAGTAAATTGAAGATTATAGATTCCTTTTATCCCTTTTTCCTCTAATATTTTATTTGTTAAGAAAGCAGATATTTGTAGCTATAAACAGAATTTACTTTTTTTTAAAAGAAAAAGTAAATAGAAATAGAAAGTATTAGATTGTTGTTGAATCCAGTTCCATTCTATTTTTTGTTTATTTTACTTTTTCCAATTCTGGGGCTATGTAGATGATTTCACATCAAGAGAACCATGCAAAGTGGAAGATTTCTGCTGACTCTCAAAAGACTTCTGTTCAGCAACTAAATGAACAATTAGAGAAGGCAAAATTGGAATTAGAAGAAGCTCAGGATACTGTAAGCAATTTGCATCAGCAAGTCCAAGATAGGAATGAAGTAATTGAAGCTGCAAATGAAGCATTACTTATTAAAGTAAGTAAGCATATAAAAGTAATAAAGCATACCTATGAAAAAGTACTTACCTGTCCTTGTAGTTTATAGAGGACCTTATGGCCAAATGTTGGCCTGTTTGAATAAAAAGCATTTTATTTAGAAGATGCTGAATTTAGGAAATTATTTATGTGATGTACATCTTATTACCATAGAAGATATAATTTATACATGTTCAAATATAAACTCATCTAATCATAATGTTTACAGTAGAGGGTTTTATACTTGATGTACCTTAAAAAAAAAAAAGTAGAAGCATTTTTCAAAATCAGTAAAGTTTTTTTTTTTAATCATAGAGTTGGCTGGGTACAGTGGCTCACTCCTGTAATCACAGCACTTTGGGAGGCCGCAGCAAGCGGATCACTTGAGGTTAGAAGTTTGAGACCAGCCTGGCCAATGTGGTAAAACTCTGTCTCTACTCAGAATACAAAAATTAGTGGGATGTGGTGGCCAGTGCCTGTAATCCCAGCTACTCAGGAAGCTGAGGCAGGAGAATTGCTTGAGCCCAGGAGGTGGAGGTTGCAGTGAGCCAAGATCATGCCATTGCACTCCAGCCTGGGTGACAGAGTGCAACTCCATCTCAAAAAAAGAAAAAATCATAAAGTAGAAAATCCAAGATTATATTCAGAGTTTTTTTCTAGATTTAAATATAGACATCATTTAAAAAAACTATCCCAGTTCTTTGGCCAAGGCAGGAGAATGATTGAGCCCAGGAGTTGAAGTCCAGCCTAGACAACATAGCAAGATCCTGTCTCTGCAAATTTTTTTTTTTAAAAATAGCTTTTGCTTCTTAATCATCTTCATTAATCATGGCAGTTTCTTCTGGAATTTAAAATTAATATCAGCATTGATGCATAGATATTAAAAAATTTACGTTGGTTCAAACCTTCCAATATATAGGGTAAAATTCTTAGTGAAGGTCTTAAAAAAGAACATACTGATAGTTATGAAGCAATAAATGATTTTATAGCAAAATGAAAGTTACCGAAAAGGAAAAAACCTTAGCCAAATAATACCTTAGAAGTATTTCTAGTTACTAAGCTGAATACTTAATTCCATTTATAACAGAGTTGATATTCACAGTACTAGAGGAAAGCTAAACAGACATAATCTAAAATATTAAAACAAGATTTAGGTTGAACACTCTATTAATGCTTTTGTTAATATTCCTAATGTTCTGTAATACACACTTACACAGAATTATTAGCTTCATTATGAAAAATTGACCCTAAAAAATTTCTGTGTTGTTTTGCTTGTCACAGTATTATCCCTACAGCTCACTACTAAGTATTACCAATGAGATAAATACAATTAGATTGCATGTATCAGTTATTCAGATGATTTTAAGTTCAACTATTTAGGAAGTTACCAAAATATTGGCTATGTAGCAACATTTATTTTTTTTTTCAGACGAAGTCTTGCTCCTTTGCCCAGGGTGGAGTGCAGTGGCACGATCACAGCTCACTTCAGCCTTGACCTACTGGCCTCAAGCAGTTTTCCCACCTCAGCTCCTGAGTAGCTTAGACTACAGGAATATGCCACCATGCCCAGCTAATGTTTAGCTTTTTTTTTGTAGAGTGAGAGTCTCCTTATGTTGCCCAGGCTTTTCTCAAACTCGTGAGCTTAAGCGATAATCCCAGATTGGCCTCCCAAAGTTCTAGGGTTACAGGCATGAGCTGCCACGCCTGACCGACAATTCTTAAATGAACCATAGATATAGAGCTCTTAGACTAGATACTGTGATTAGTCAGTACACCAGTCAGAAAAAGAGAATTCCCATGTTGGCTGGCGGTAGCTCTCAAAGTCAACCTCAGCTTGCTCTAAAGTCTAGACTGAAGAGAAGTTGAGAATAAAACTAAGAAATAAAGAAGAAAGTCTAATAGAATGGCAGAAGCAGGCATAACTGTAACTAAAAATAATAGAAAGCTGTTCCATTGACAACATAAGTAAATGACAGGGAAGAAAATCAGAAATAAGGGAGAAGAAAAGAAAGATCAGTGTTTAAGGCAACTGGTTTTTCCAGCTCACTTTCTCTAGTATCCTAACTAGTACCCTAATATTTGAGGGCAATTAGAACAAGGAAAAGATGATTTTTTGAGAGCCATGAAGGCATCATTATATTATGGCTCACTACGATTATGTTCACAACAGTGACCTTCTTTGAGTCTTAAGAAAAAGTTGAACTAATTTAATGTATTCAGTGCACTGTATTTAATTGTAAAAGTTATGTGTTAAACTGTAAGTTAAATGAAATCCTGCTTATCTGAGATACCACATATCTCAATTATGTCTAGGTAATGCAGAAGAGGAAAAAGAAAAAATCTCCAGCTGTGTACAGTCCTATTCTGTGCCAGCTCTACAACTGTTTTGTTAATTATGATTATAAGAATGTGAATGTTAGGTTTACAACAAAAAATTGGCACTCTAGCCACTTAAAAATCATATAAATCAATTTTAGATAAAGTAGTAGGAAAGAACAGAAATATGCATGTTAAACTTTTATTTTGTAATGCAGTCTGTGATTATGACAGTTTTAGTTATGAACACAGTATTTTTAGAAAGCTAATTTAAGAATAGAAACTATCAGATTAAAACTGACAGGATTTAGAAAAATATATCTATGGATACCTTTAAGAAAAGGAGAATGTATTTGAAGAGGAGACTACTATATTTATTTTATTAATCTTTTGAAATTAAAATATCATCTCTTTTTTTAGGCTTTTTTGTTTTTTAGTGATGTAGTCCCATTTCTAGGATCCCAAAGTTCAGTGAGAAGACCCAAATGAAAGAAATGAAAAAAATAGAAATGAAAAGTTTATTTAACAAGGATTGATTTATTAAAAATTATTAATCACCTTAAGTTTTTGAAAGATTTCTAGTGTCATAAAGCTTTCTTGTAATGAGAACACAAAAAGCAGAATAGCTTATATCCATTTATTCCCTATTAGAAATTCTGAAAGGAGTGTTTTTGTGTCGTAAATTAAAAGATAGTGTACCTCTACACCTTTGCAGATAAATTTTTAGGTGTAAGATTTCAATCTTGAATAGAAATTGATACTGTCATTAACAAAAAAAAGTTATATAAGGATAATCTGGTTTTAATGGAATTTCTTAGAATAAGCGTTTTTCAAATGAACATATGTAATTTCCCCAAAGTGAACCTATCTTAAATAAGTAAAGAGTTTAAACAGAGCTTGGAAAACTCTCAAGAATTATAAACAGCTATACTGGGACAAAGGTTGCCTTTTTAAAAGTCTATGATTTGCTAAGTAGTTCATTCGTATAACAAAAATGTATTGAGCACCTACTATGTACCAATTTTTCTACAGGAATCAGAATTAACCAGATTACAAGCCAAAATTTCTGGACATGAAAAGGCAGAAAACATCAAGTTTCTACCAGCCCCATTTACATCTCCAACAGAAATTATGCCTGATGTTCAAGACCCAAAATTTGCTAAACATTTTCACACATCTTTTTCCAAGTGTACAAAACTACGTCGCTCTATTAGTGCCAGTGATCTTACTTTCAAAACTCATGGTGATGAAGATCTTTCTGAAGAATTACTACAGGACTTAAAGAAAATGCAATTCGAACAGCCTGCAACATTAGAAGAAAGCCATAAGAATCTGACTTACACCCAGCCAGACTCATTTAAACCTCTCACGTATAACCTAGAAGATGATAGTTCTGAGAGTAATGACTTTAGCACACTTAGTGGGATGCTAAGATACATAAACAAAGAAGTAAGACTATTAAAAAAGTCTTCTATGCAAACAGGTTTAACTCAGGTACGTATTTCAGACATTGTAAGTTGTAATGATTTGTTTCCGGAGAATATCATTTTATTACTTGGAAAAAAATTCATATATTTAAATGAAAAACTAATTGAAAAAGGAAGATTTTACATTTTATACATTAAGTAAAGTTAATACCAAAAGAAATTTTCTCTAGGTCATAGTGTGAGATAATAGGGGAAAAGAGAGAGGCAGAGGGAGACCGTAAAGGATGTAGAATGAAAAATAGGAAGATAGACATGAAAGTACTTAAAAATAAAAAACGAAAAAAAGAAAAATGACAAGAAGAAATATGCAATAAGAGGAATACAGAGAAAGTAGGTTCTGAGGTGAATGTTCTCATAACTTCATCATAATTTACTGTTCACTAGGGCTCTTATGTCAGCATAAGTTATTACTGGCTATTACTGATCTTTGGAAAGTTGATTTACTGACTAGGCATTATTAAGCATGAATAAGGCCAACTGCCTTCATCCTTTTCATTTTTCACCATAAGATATTTATGTTAATCTTTCCTTTATTCCTTTTCTCTAAAAGAAAGATATGTCCCTCTTCTTTTTTAGAGAGAACCTCTTAAACATGTACCTTCAAGCCTTTAATACTCTTGCCTGTTTTGCTTTTCTACTTCCTGATTTAATCCGTATCTTCAGGCTTCTTTATTTCCCTCTTCCTTCCATTTCCAGACATCTTAAATTCATACCCATTCTAAACTGGGCACAGTGGCACATGCCTGCAATCCCAGCTACTCAGGAAGCTGAGACAGGAGGATTATTTGAGCCCAGGAGTTTGAGACCAGTATGAACAACATGGCGAGACCCCATCTCAAAAAAATTTCTTTTTTAATTAATTCTATTTGTCCATTGTTGCTACCTCCTTACTACCCTTCCCACTCTGTAACTTAATGTATTTGTCTCTTGAATATTACATTTATTGTTTTCTTGAAAGTTACAAAAAACTTATATAAACAAATTTAGTGTCATCTTTTTCTTCAGCTTTTGTAGATTTAACTGTCGATTCCCCCTTGATATTTTCTCTTGTCTTGACTTTTATAATTTAACATTTTTCTGGTCCTCCTTTTATTTTGAAAGAACTACTTTGTCACTTTTCTGCTCCTCGTATTCCTTATGTTCCATACTATAGGATTTAATCTGTAGTTTGCATATATATATAAGGAATCTCCTTTAGATAATGTCAGCTTTTTTTTTCTTTCTTTCTTTCTTTCTTTTTCTTTTCTTTTCTTTCTTTCTCTTTCTTTCTTTCTTTTTTTCTTTCTTCTTTCTTTCTTTCATTTTTGATAATGCCAGCTTTTTAAAGTGCCTAACATCATTTTCAAACACATCAAGATACCTTTGGTGGCCTGAATGAACAATTACAAAAAATTTTCAGAGTAGATCAAAACAAAGAAAACTTGTTGAATGAGTTTTTCTTCATAACACTTGTTTTTGCCTGGCATTCAAGTATATGTCTATCTGCTTGTTTATTGACTGTTTCTCCACTAAAGTATAAGTTCTCTGTGGGCAGATTATTGGTCATTTTGCTTATTTCTATATTTCCAGTGCCTGGTATATAATAGATGCTGAATAAATATAAATGAATCAAATGGCTAATAAATTCTATACAGTAAATGCAACTGTAGTTTTAAATGCTAGCTTTTATCAGTCTGTGCTGGCCAAAATTTTAGTTTTAGCATATTATTTTTAGTACCCAAGAAGTTAAAGATTCAGTAAAGGTAACTGAGAAGTAATCAGTGAAATAGAGGAGAAATGAGAAGAGTGTAATATTTTACAAAGTATTTCAAGGAGGGTGAGATCAATTGTATCCAATGTTGCTAAATAAAGTTGATTGATAATCGGCTATCATATTTGGTAACGTTGAGGTCTTTGTGACCTTCATAAGACTGGCTTTAGGTAACAGAACAAAAGCCTGATGTAGAGTGGATTTAGCATAGAATGGAAAAAGAGGAAATAGAAACACCAAGAATGGACAACTCTTTGGATAAAGACTAAAGCAGAGAAATGAGGAAGATGTGATGTCAAGGGAGAGTTTTTCATTTGCTTTTTAACGTAAGGGAGAAAACAGCTGTTGGATATTGATGGGAATGATCAAGTAGACAGGGAAACAGCAATTCAAGACAGGGAGTAGAAGGAGTAAAATCCTTAAAGTAGGCTTAAGGAGATGGGATACAGGACAGCAGTAGAGGAGTTGGTCTTGGATAAAAGAAGGGGCAGTTCATTCACTGTAGTGGGAAGGAAGGCAGAATATGGGAGCACAGAAACACATGGAAGGAAAGTTTAGTAGTGAGAGACAACTTTCTTTATTGATTGCTTTTAGTTTCTTAGTGAAATAAGAAGCAGGGTTATTAGCTAAGGCACGATAATATTGGAAATTTAAGAACAGGGAAGGTATATGAAATGGTTACTTTGGAGAATAGGAAAGCATAAATAGACTAGCAAAGTGTAGTAGAATTGCCAGCCAGCCAGATAGTTCCGTCATATAGAACAGCTGTACAACATATAGGACATCTGGCATCATTTGTCCCTGCCTGTTGTATGTCAGCAGTCAGCATGTCCCTTTCTCCCCTATCACAGTGACAACCAAAAAGTACCCTCACAAATTTTAGAATGTTCTGTGGAGGATGGTACTGCACCCTTTAAGAACCTCTGCTCTACTCCAGTGACTCTTGCAGTCATAGATGTGCAAGCCCCCCCCCCCCGCCTTTTTTTTTTTTTTTTTATAAAAATAGCTCCTAATCTATGCAGAATAAATCTTATAAGTACAGTGAAAGACTGTGGCCATAATAATACATAGCCTTTACTGTATGTCAAGCAAATGCTTTACATAAATTAACTCATTTAATCCTATAACAACCCTCTGATAGATGCTATTATCTGAATAGTACCAAATAATGGTACCTAATAGTTCTATTGTAGTGGTACTGTTATCCTTATTATAGTAGATGAGGCAACTGAGTCCCTGCCCTTAACCACTATATATAATATTTACATAATTGTGTTTGTATTTTCTTCAATACTGTCTAATTACATAGTTTGGTCTTGCAGTTGCTTAGTAGGCTAAGGATTAAGAGTAGGAGTTAAAAGTTACTACATAACTAATAGAATTATTTCTTATTCTGTAGGTTTTTACAATATATATTTGAATTTTTCAAGTCATCTTATTTATTCAATTATCATTGAAGATCAATGCCAAGTTAAAATATTCAATTACTAGCCAGGCAAGGTGCCTCACTCCTTTAATCCCAACACTTTGGGAGGCCAAACAGGAGGATTACTTGAGACTAGGATTTCAAGGCCAGCCTGGGCAACATAGCAAGACCCTGTCTCTACAGAAAAATAAAATTAAAAATTAGCTAGGCATGGTGGTACACATCTGTAGTCCTAGCTACTTGGAGGCTGAGGTAGGAGGATTGCTTGAGCCCAGTTCGGGGCTGCAGTGACCTATTATAATCCACTGTAGCCTTGGCAGCAGAGCAAGAACCCATCTCTAAGCAAAACAAACAAAAATGCTGTAGGCTATTGTTAAACTTAAAAGACTGGATTCTTACAATCCTGTCGAAGTTATACTCTGTACACACATAGTTTTCTTGGTTGTCAGTGATACTCTGCTGAGTTTTAAATGCATTGACCACAATCAATACTCACAACTTTAAGCTCACAGGGAACTCTTACAGCTCATGGGCCTCAGTTGTATTACCTGTGGTGGTGACCACCTCATAGTCATTTACATTTTGTTGCATTAGTAAATGTATGCTACTCTGTGAAATTTAATGAAAAAGATATTTATTTTTTTGAGATAAAGTCTCGCTCTGTCACCGATGCTGGAGTGCAGTGGTACAATCTCAGCTCACTACAACCTTCTCTTCCCAGGTTCAAGCAATTCTTGTACCTTGGCCACCCAAGTAGCTGGGATTACAGGCATGTGTCACCACACCTAACTAATTTTTGTATTTTTTAGTACAGACGGGGTTTCACCATGTTGGCCAGCCTGGTCTCAAACTCCTGGCCCCAAGTGATCTACCCACTTCCGGAAGTGCTGAGATTACAGGCGTGAGCCACCACACCCAGCCTGAAAGAGATATTTTAAATTGGAATGTAGAGCCTTCCTTTGTAGCATAGTTCAGTTCCTCAGCTTATTTTTCACTCACCGCTTCAGTATGACATTGCATTGGTCTGCAATTTAAAAGCAGGATTTTTAACGTCTTTTAAGCCAAAGAAATTATTATTTAAATAAAAAATGTTACAAAGAAATCCAGGCCAGGCATGGTGGCTCATGCCTGTAATCCCAGTACTTTGGGAAGCCGAGGTGGGTAGATCATGAGGTCAGGAGTTCGAGACCAGCATGGCCAATATGGTGAAACCCCGTCTCTACTAAAAATACAAAAATTAGCTGTGCATGGTAGCGTGCACCTGAAGTCCCAGCTATTCGGGAGGCTGAGTCAGAGGAATCGCTTGAACCTGGAAGGCGGAGGTTGCGGTGATCCAAGATCGTGCCACTGCACACCAGCCTGGGCGATAGAGCAAGACTCCATCTGAAAAAGAAAAAAGGAGAGAAATCCAGTATGTCAAAAACATACAGAGGTAGTTGTCTGACTGTGGGTAGAATATGTCTGACCTCTACCCAGTTACTTAAATCGTCTCATGGCTGCTCATGCAAAAGCTCCAGAGCAGCACTGGAGTAACCACTAAAGAAAATAAGCAGGAACATAGGGGACTAAGGGAAGGGGAATGTCATAGAGTTGTTTGCCCTAGCTATCATGCTGTTAATTTGTTCACTGCCACATTTGACTTTAGTAGAATTTTAATAACTGTCTTTATCTGCCATGTTCAAATTTAATCTGCACTGTTAAATAATCATTTTCTATGGTATGGTAAGTGACTAAAGTTTAAAAGTTTGATTTGAAAGTGTCATCAGATATTACATTTGTTTCTTTACATGTGGTGTAAGTTTCAAAACCAGCTAGCTGGGTGTGGATAGCATTTGACTCATCAGCTGATTTGTCTAAAAGATTCTTAAGCAATTTTTTAAAGCAGTGGTAGGGCCAGGGAGCACCATTGTTGGGCTGTGCAGAGGGTATCAGCTGGCCTAAATCCAGCTCTGTTCCATAAAGTGCAGTCTTAAAGTCCACTGGTACAATGAAAAGAATGTGGAAATTGATACATAAGAAGTGTTTAATAAGTGTTAGCTCCCTTTCTTGTGTTGCAGCCCAAATACTATTTTCCTAATGGTTAACTACATTGGCACTTTGTTGAGAGTAAAGCCTTCTTAACACAGCAGTGTTCTGCTTTTAGACTTAACTAAAGCTTCAGAACTCAAAAAATTATACATGTACACAATTTAGAACACAATATCAGGGAGTTCAGAGACTTCATATTAACTCTTACTCTAATCCTGTTTTGGATTAGAGCAATGGAAGTGCTGTGAATACTGATTAATGAGCTAATTCATGGTTTATTAGGAATTTATAAGAAGTTATTACTTTTATCCCTCTTATTTGTATTTTTCAAGATATGGTACATATATCATGCAGTAAGAGCAAAAATAATTTAGGAAATTAGCTATAGGGAAAACACAGATGGAAAAAAACAATATTAAACAGGAGTACAGGTAATACCTAGAGACATGATATTTTCAAATTCACACCCCCAGTAAAGTTGAAGGTATGACAAGAAAATTTGGCCCATATTTTTTTAAATCCCTGGGCTTTTCCCCTCCATTTTTCTTCTTTATGTTGAGAACTGCTTTTATATGTAAACAGTTATCTTTTGTCTTGTTCCTTTTTTGGTATTTTTTGCTTCTTTTCATTGACTTTTTTCACATAGCTATTCATCCTTGTTTATTGTGCTCTCAATCAAACCATAATGTGACACTGATGTCTAAATATGTTATTTTTATGTTCCTTTTTTTGAGTTTTAAAATTTGTTTAACCTCACATTCACACCCAACTCACCAAGCCAGAATTTTTTTTTTTTTTTTTTTTTTTTTTTGAGACGGAGTTTCATTCTTGACGGAGTTTCATTCTTGTCACCCAGGCTGGAGTGCAGTAGCGCATTCTCGGCTCACTGCAACCTCCCCCTCCCAGATTCAAGTGATTCTCCTGACTCAGCCTCCCGAGTAGCTGGAATTACAGGCGCTCACCACCATGCCCAGCTAATTTTTTTATTTTTTAGTAGAGACGGGGTTTCACCATGTTGGTCAGACTGGTCTCGAACTCCTGACCTCAGGTGATCCACTTACCTCAGCCTCCCAAAGTGCTGGGATTACAGACGTGAGCCACTGCACCCGGCCTGCTTTTTATATTCATTTGGTTCATTATTGACTTTTTGTGATTCATATTTTTCAGTAGACTAAATATTTCTCCCTCTTGCTTTAAGTGCTCCTGTTGTTATAGTAGACTTTTAATGCTAAATCAGTTTAGGAATATTTCAAATATTAATCTGTTATTTACCTTATTCCAGGGAGAAAATGTGTGATTAAAAGAAGATACTGATGTGATGAAAAAAATGGAATTTTTGGTACTGTGCTGTGTTTACTTATTATATGTAGCTCTTGCTTCATAGAAGCTGTTATTTTGCTTTTGAATAAATTTTATATTTCAGTATTTTAAAAGAAAGGCCTTCTGAAACTTAATTATATTTTTAGAGAAAATTGATTATTATTTTTTGGCTTAAACTTGCTGCTTTCCTTTGCTTTTTATATAAAAATCATTGTTAAAATGTGTAAGTACATAGAGGAATGTGAATTCTTTTTTTTTTTTTTTTTTTTTTTTTTGGAAATGTCTCACATATTTATTACTAAACCCAGTCAACCAATACATTCATAACAGCTTCAGAGAGAAAAAATATAATCCCAATAAAACATGTCCAACTCTCCAAATAGTGGTGACATTTTCAGCTTGATATGATAACATGATTGTGACCTTCAGACGGCATAAATATGCGTGCCATCTCATGTGGAATTCCCTATAGAACCAACTTGGTTCTTTTCCATTGTCTCCTTTTGGAGTTGTACCTGGTTTTATTACCAGTTTTCATCCTAATCCACTGGGGAATGGGACGATTTTGCTTTTTGGCTGGGAATTGCATAATCCTGAAAGTCTTTTGAGATGACATGGCGAGAAGTGGAGTCAAGCATACACCACGATGGCGGAGAAAGGAAGAGAGGCGAGGAATGTCTGTTCTTAATCAGACTATTATTTGCTATTTTTTCTAGTAATTTTTAAAAATCTTAATTTTTAAAATTAATATGAATTTGTAAGTAATTCTGCCACAGGTTTATAGTTATACTAATAATGGCTGACTTTCATTGAGTAAGTTTCATTGAGTGATAAACAGCAAGCTTATCAGTGACTATTCTAGGCACTTGTATTAGTCTGTTCTCATGCTGCCAATAAAGACATACCCCAGACTGGGTAATTTGTAAAGGAAAAGAGGGGTTTTGTTTTTTGTTTTTGTTTTTTTTCTGACAGAGTTTCACTTTTGTCACCCAGGCTGGAGTGCAATGGCATGATCTTGGCTCACTGCAACCTCCACCTCCCAGGTTCAAGCAATTCTCCTGCCTCAACCTCCTGAGTAGTTGGGATTACAGGTACCTACCACCACACCCAGCTAATATTTTGGGGGTTTTTTGTAGAGTCAGATTTTACTGTGTTGGCCAGGCTGGTCTCAAACTGCTGACCTCAGGTGATTTACCCACCTTGGCCTTCAAAAGTGTTGGGATTACAGGCATGAGCCCCTGCGCCTGACCAGAAAAGAGGCATAATTGACTCTCAGTTCCACATGACTGGGAAGGCCTCACAGTCAATCATAGCAGAAGGCAAAGGAGGAGCAAAGTCAAGTCTTGCATGGTACCAGGCAAGAGAGAGCATATGTAGGGGAACTCCCCTTTATAAAACCTCAGATCCCAAGAAACTTATTCACTATCACAAAAACAGCATGGGAAAGACCCACCGATTCAATTACTTCCCACGTGGTCCCTCCCACAACATGTGGGAATTATGGCAGCTATAATTCAAGATTTGGGTGGGGACACAGCCAAACCATATCCTTCCACCCCTGGCTCCTCCCAAATCTCATATCCTCACATTTCAAAACAAATCATGCCTTTCCAACAGTCCCCCAAAGTCTTAACTTGTTTCAGCATTAACTCAAAAGTCCATGAAGTCTCATCTGAGACAAGGCAAATCCCTTCTCCCTGTGAGCCTGTAAAATCAAAGGCAAGGTAGTTGCTTCCTAGATACAATGGGGGTAAGGTATTGGGTAAATACACCCATTTTAAATGGGAGAAATTGTCCAAAACAAAAGGGCTGCAGGCCCCATGCAGGTCTGAAATCCAGTGAAGCAGCCAAACCTTAAAGCTCCGAAATGATCTCCTTTGACTCCATGTCCCACATCCAGGTCATGCTGATGCAAGAGGTGGGTTCCCATGATCTTGGGCAACTCTGCCTCTGCAGGGCACAGCCCTCCTCCTGGCTGTATTCATGGGTTGACGTTAAGTGTCTGTGGCTTTTCCAGGCGCATCGTGCCAGTTGTCAATGGATCTACCATACCAGGGTCTGGAGGATGGTGACCCTCTTCTCACATCTCCATTACACAGTGCCCCAGTGGGGATTCTGTGTGTGCGCTTCAACTCCAAATTTCTCTTTCACTGCCATAGCAGAGGTTCTCTATGAGGGCCCTACCCCTGCAACAAACTTCTGCCTAGAAATCTAGGCATTTTCACATATCCTCTGAAATCTAGACGAAGGTTACCAAACTTCAGTTATTGACTTCTGTGCACCCACAGGCTCAACACCACATAAAAGCTGCCAAGTCTTGGGGCTTGCACCCTCTGAAGCCATGCCCCAAGCTGTACTTGGCCCTTTTAGCCACAGCTAGAGCTACTGGGAGGCAGGCCACCAAGTCCCTAGGCTGCACAGAGCAGGGTCTTCCCACAAAACCATTTTTTCCTCGTAGGCCTCTGGGCCTGTGATGGGAGAGACCACAGTGAAGTTCTCCAACATGGCCTGGAGACATTTTCCCCATTGTCTTGGTTAATAACACTTGCCTCCTTGTTACTTATGCAAATTTCTGCAGCCATTTGAATTTGTCCTCAGGAAATGGGTTTTTCTTTTCTGCTGCATTGTCAGGCTGCAAATTTTCCAAACTTTTATGCTCTGTTACCTCTTGAATGCTTTGCTGCTTAGAAATTTCTTCCACTAGGTACTTTAAATAATCTCTTTCAAGTTCAAAGTTCCACAGATCTCTAGGGTGGGGCAAAATGCCACCAGTCTCTTTTTATAGCAAGAGTGACCTTTACTCCAGTTCCCAACAAGTTTCTCATCTCCATCTGAGACCTTCTCAGCCTGGATCTTATTGTCCATATCACTATCAGCATTTCAGTCAAAGTCATTCAACAAGTCTCTAGGAAGTTCTAAACTTTCCCACATTTTTCTATCTTCTTCTGAGCCCTCTAAACTGTTCCAGCCTCTGCCTGTTACCCAGTTCCAAAGTCGCTTCCACATTTTCAGGTATCTTTATAGCAGTGTCCCACTACCTGGTACCAGTTTACTGTGTCAACCTGTTCTAATGCTGCTAACAAAGACTTAACCCAGACTGCAAAGAAAAAGAGATTTAACTGACTTACAGATCCACTTGTTTTAGGAGGCCTCACAATCATGTGGAAGGCAAAGGAGGAGCAAAGTCACATTTTGCATGGCAGCTGGCAGGCAGAGCATATGCAGGTATCAGATCTCTTGAGACTCACTATCATGAAAACAGCATGAGAGAGACTCATCCTTATGATTCAGTTACCTCCCAGCAGGTCCTTTCCGTGGCACATGGGAGTTATGGGAGCTACAATTTGAGACTTAGCTGGGGACACAGCCAGACCATATCAGCACTTGTTATTGATTAACTCGTATAATCCTCAAATATCCCTATGAAAAAGATAATATTCCTGTTTTACAGGTAGAATTACTCAACATAATGATATATGTTCTACTTGTAAAGAAATTGATTTGTTGTTAGTATCAATAGATGGACTTTGGGTTAGGGATTCCATTTAAAATGGTAGCTCTGTGGTGGAATAAAAATAAGGCAGCTTTTATCAATGTATATCTTGTACCCCTAAAATATATATACCTACTATGTACTGTTAAAAATTCAAAAAGTCGTGCGCGGTGGTTCACGCCTGTAATCCCAGCACTTTGGGAGGCCTAGGCGGGTGGATCACGAGGTCAAGAGATCGAGACCATCCTGGTCAACATGGTGAAACCCCGTCTCTACTAAAAATACAAAAAATTAGCTGGGCATGGTGGCACATGCTTGTAATCCCAGCTACTCAGGAGACAGAGGCAGGAGAATTGCCTGAACCGAGGAGGCGGAGGTTGCGGTGAGCCAAGATCGCGCCATTGCACTCCAGCCTGGGTAACGAGCGAAACTCCGTCTCAAAAAAAAAAAAAAAAAATTCAAAAAGTAAAAAAAAAGGCAGCATTATTAACATGACATATTTAGGCCTTCAAATTATAAAAGCTCTCAAAAGTTCAGATTTAATGTCTTTACACCATATATTAAATTTGTGAGATATAAATGTATCCTTAGAAAGTAATATGGAGTTCATCTTTCCTGATAATTAAACATTAAAGACATTGATACATTGATAGTTCAATTTGAACACTAATTCAGATTTCTAATTTGTTAGGATTAAAATAAAGTTTATACTTCTACTTATTAGTGACTTGTCCCTAAGAGTTAAATTACCAATTCAGTCTTCCCAACCAACACTCCTACTTCCTTTGCTCCTGTCCTTCTACCATGTGCCTTATCAATTCTTGTTCATGGACAGCTGGCCATTAATGAATAGAGTCACTATGTACATCTGATACCTTTATAAATTTATAGTTTCCAATCTGAGTCAGCTCTTAACAATTCTCGACAGACTTTAACTTCTTCCTGTTAGCTCCCTTTCCCTTTCTCACTACAAATATATTAAGCATTTATTAGTCTTTCAGCCACTCTCTTTGTTCCATACTCAACACTCTCAAGAAATAACTTAAGATTTTCAGGTACAGTCTCCCTCAATTTCCTTCATCTTTCTAGATCTACCTGTGGCAGTGTGCACACTTTGGGAGGCTGAGGCAGGAGGATTGCTTGAGCCCAGCAGTTCAAGACTAGTAAGGACAACATAGTGAGACCGCACATAGTGATGTGTGCCTGTGGTCCCAGCTACTCAGGATGCTGAGGCGGGGGAATCACTTGAGCCTGAGCATTCAAGGCTGCATTGAGCCATGATCAATCTACTGCACTTCAAGATAGGCAACAGAGCAAGACCCCATCTTGACAACAACAGCAGCAACAAAAAGTAGATTGCTTTTAAATATGAGGGTCATCAGTGCCTGCAGACTGCCTAAATTAAAAGGCCTGGCAAAAGCTACAAATCAACACTTTTAAAATATTGGACATGAGGCAACAAAAGATGATGATTTCTGAGAGAGGGCTGAGCCCTTTATTTTCCCCAGCTTATTACCTGGGCTATATTAATAAGTTTCTGGGCTGTGACCTTGTGTTGAAGAGACAGAGCTAGAAATCTGGGGAGGCTAAGAAGGCTATAATTCACAGGGCACAGAACTAGAGAGGAGAGAGCTACACCGAGAACTCTGGAAATTAAAGAATTTCCCTTAAATTTTCGGATGAGAAATTATCAGTGACTATGTGAGGAAACTACTTAAGGCAAGGGAAAGAACCACTTGAATAATTGGAACAACCCTCCAAGCTCAGAAAGCTCTGAAAATAGTTTTTGTTTCCATGACTAGGGATGAGAAAATCTCATCATTTCCAGGGAATCAGGTAGAATTCGCAAAATGTTGCCTCAATAATGGGGAAATAAACCCTAGACTAAATGCCTCTTGGGTAACAGTTAAGAGTCCTCTAAAGCAAAACCTGAAAGGATAAAACTGTTTCCAAATAACCATGCCAAAGAGTAAAACCTCAAGAATATTTACAGGAATAAACTATTCATCGAATAATGCAAAATTCAGAGTGCCTTCAATCAAAAGTTATCATGACTGGGAATAGTGGTGTACAGCTGTAGTACCAGCTATTCAGAAAGCTGAGGCAGGAGGATCACTTGAGCCCAGAAGTTCAAACCTGCAGTGTGCTATGGTCACACCTGTGGATAGGCATTGTACTCCAGCCTGGACAACATAGCAAGACCCCATCTCTGCAAAAAAAATTACCAGGAATGCAGAGAAGCAGGAAGATATGACACAACAATGAGAAAAAGCAATCTAAACCAACCAAAGAAGACATAGATGATCAAATTAGTAGTCAAGGCCACTAAATTATTATAACTGTGAGAACAGACTAATACAGTAAATCGGTACCAGTAGAATGGGGTGCTGCTATAAGGATACCTGAAAATGTGGAA